GTATTCCCATCACTCCGTATTCCCGCTACGCATGACCTATTGCCAACAACGGCCTTGCATTTTCCAATCTGCATCACTGTCATTGTCAGCATTTTTGTAAATTATTATTGCGCCCTGACCTTGGGTAGACAAGTAAACAGCTCTAAGTAAAGGTAGCCTATGGCCTCGCAGTATTAATAATACATTCATCAGTTCATAAATACCTCAGACAGTTTAGCCTTAAAAATGAAATTAAAAATAATTACCCTCGCCTCCGGCTCGGGTAATTATCAGCACCCAGACTCTAAGCAGTCTTAAACAGAGTGATTAAAACCTCTCGAACACACATTTAATTCCCTTATTGTAGTATTATGCTAAGCATGCTAAGGTCTACTCCAGATTCGAGGCCAGAATAGTTCTAATGTTAAGGCTCATTTTCCAATCTAAATTTACAATTCTAGACTAAGTTGTAGGCTTAGGCCTATAATGTAAATATTTAAGCATAGGCTCCTAATACCCTTTTTTTGCATGGAGCTAGTATAATTATAAGACGAGCTCCATGGACTTGTAATACTGCCATTTAACTTGCAGTAAAAACCTCATCATTGATTCTCCTAGAACTATGGGGCTTGGAGCAGTTCTATAGCCGGCCGTGGGTAATCATTGATTTGAAAACAATAATCTTTTGAAGCAGGAATTATTGGGCCCTAGCTGTTCATTTTAATGATAATGTTCTTATGATTTGAACTCGCCTAAACAGCTGATGAAGGCTACATTTAATTTTTCTTCCTGATTCATGGTAATGATGCATTTTATTTCAAAGGGAAGTATAAGGCCAAGTAAAAAAAAACATGTACAGCATCCTGCCTTTTTGAAAAAAGGAAGGAGGAGGCCCTTTTTTTCCCTTCCAAAATGGCCGCCTTACCGGGCTATTTTTCAAGATAGCCGCCAGCTTTTTTTTAAATGGCCGCCACTTGGACTCAGGAAATGACATACCAGCTTTATATGGGCTAGATGCAACAGACAAAGAAGCCAAAATGATGTCACTGTTAAAAATGTATCATTTTTTTTCCATTTTTTTTTTTTTAAACGAGGCAGCCGGGAAAAAAGGAAGTGGGCGGGGACGACAGACTGGTTTATCTTTTAACTTGGCCTAAAACGGGGTTAGGTAGGTTCAAGTACATTGTAACTCACACTGGTACATGTAATATTAAATTAGGGGCAAACGGCTTTATTCACGAGATGGCCATGATATTAAAGTGAAAGCGAGGTAAAATCTGCAGTTTTTCAAGAGATGGAGTAGAAATGAAAGCAATGAAATAAAAATTGATTACAAATCAACCTCAGGCTGCTGTGATTAATAATTACAAATGTGTGATTAAACATTAACTAATATGTTTTAAGCCACATTTAAAAAGAAAATTGAAAGTGAGGTTTTGAACGCACTCCATCATAAAATAGTCTGGCACCATCCCATTCAGCTGTTTACAATTTATAAAACAGATTCAGGGAACACGATTGAAAATGGCTCCCTTGTCTATTGCAGACTTGGTGTGTGAAACCTACACAGCATGTAATGAGATTCCATATTGATTATGTACTGCATTGGAATACTACACATACATGCAAAGTGTACAATGTACATATATCCCATGCTGTGTGCATATTGCATTCCGTATAATTCATCCACATGCAAATTTATCTGTGGTGGTCATTTTTCAGCTAAACACTGAGCTTCATGTGAAAATCAAATTCAGAAACAGTCGCACAATATTGTTACATGAAAATTTATATTTTATGTATGATTGTTTTTACCAGATGCCACTCCCTACCCTGATCAACATTGCCCATTGATGCATAATGTCTACCTCAACGAGTGCAGCGAGTCTTAAGACCCAGCAAGCTCACATTGTCAAGAAGCATCGGAAACGTCGCGTCTCATTGGGTAGCGTAGTCAATGTAGCTCGGGTGAGTCGCACTTTCAATGGTCATTTCTCAGCTTTTGAAAAGAGCCGACAATTAACAACTTTTTAAAATGTACAATATTGTTCAATTATTCAGTTAATTTTTTCCCTTTTTTTTTTAAAAGAGGGAGTAATTATTATCAATAAGTAATGCTAACCTCAAACATTGTACCCGTAGAAAGTATTGATTGCAGTTCTTTGGCCATTGATAAAGATTCCACAGTCAGATACGTGTATCTACCTGCATTTGTCTAGGGGGGAAAAACACACACACTGGTCAATGCACATTGTGTCCCACTGTTCCCACAATCCCAGAACTTTTTTTCACAGTAACGAAAGTACAAACCATCAGTGCAGCAGACCATGAAGTCGTCTTTGTATGAGATTGATTGAGTGGCCTCCACCGTTCCGTTTGTTATGAAGAGGGTGTAGTAAGGAATAAAGGCACACCTCGCTGATGTATAGATCCATATTGCCTTGGATAATTTGATCCAAAATGTCCCGTTCACGAAAGGCGAGATTGAGTCGGCACACCAACGTCTCTTCAGTGGCAAGTGCCAGTCTCCTTGCAAACAGGCAGAGTTCACTTCAGAGAGCTCTGCATGTCCATAGGGACGATGACGAAGTCGATGAAGTGCTTGAAAACTTGTGTCAAGATGAACAGGTAGTACAGTGTGAAGAGTTTGCTGTTAGCTGAATGTTGGCCAGACCAGTGCAGAACTTGTACCCATTCAGTTTTGGTTTCTGTTCCATGACGTACAAACACCTAGAAGTTCCTTGACGTGCATTGGTCTGGATCAGGTGGTGTGCAACAACTAATTCTTTGGTTTTCGAAGTCAAAACTTGATGACCATCATGTTATAGTCACAAGACCTGCGGGTATATGCAGGTCACATCAATGTGTTGTGTATTCTGTTTTGTTTAAGGTTACTCATGTACTTCCTTGTGGGACTATTCACATAACCCTTCACTCTTGCCAACAGTAGTGCGACATGGGTCAACATGGCAATTATCCATTTATAAATCCAATTCCAGCTTCAAGTGTATTTATTGAAGTGGTACGTCACATTAAGGAAGCTGTGAAGCAATCTGCTTTGTAAATTTTAAGTAGTGTACATTTTGGAAAGATTTCCATATACGAAGTTCACTCAACACCCTGTGTACAAACCCTATGAGATTGGACTGAAAAAGTTTTTTCTAAGAAAATGCTTGTATTTTCTCACTGCTCAAATTGACTTTGATGACATGAAATTGCTATCTGGGGGCTTGTTAGTCAATACAGAGGAAAATTAGTGAACTTCGTATATGGAAATCTTTCCTACATTTTTAGGAATAATATGGATGCTGTCGCAACCATCCTTATAGATGAGGCAGAGGTTTTGAAAAGTCTAAGGAATAATTTATAGTCCTTGAAATTTCCTATAAATCCATTGATGTGTGCAGAATTAACAAATACTCCAGCCATTGTGAGAGATGCTCTTCCCATTTTTTTCAGGAGAAATCTTCAAAATTAAATCTACTTTCAATTAAAAACAGAGTACAGTACTGACGTCCACAGCTCACAGCCCACATGAAATTTGTTTGTATAAATTTGCATTTGAATGCAGATCGAGGCACTGTGAAGCCAATTTGCATACATGTGCACTACAATACCATCATTTAAGCGAAACTAATATACTACATGTAGTTTTGATACACATGTACATTGTATGGTACGTTTATACTCATTGTGCATTTTCCCTACTACAAAGCAAATGAAAACTGATACTGATTCCCATATAAACATTGTATCCATTCTTTGCTGGCCTGTCTTTTTCAGTGTGTCAAGGGATTTCTTCATTCACTGGATTGCCATGTATGATCCAAAATTAACATTTAAAAACAAACCAAATATATCCAGCAACCAGCATTAGCCTGTGGCCCATAGGCCCAGCCTGTGCCCTTCCAAACTTTCCTGTCATCATACCTTTTGCACACATCTCCTGGAAAGTGAAAGCAGTTTGCCCATAGAGCTAGTAGTTTGCCATATGGTGTAACTTGATACTCACTTTGGGAGGGTACAAGTGTGGAATGTGCATTGGTCGCTGTAGCACTGCGGATGAGAGAAAGTCCCTGGATTTGCAAGTGTGATCCCACTGTGTTTTTTAAACACAATTGCCTACATCTTCATATGCTGATATATTGAAGTGAAAGTCATCAATCTGCAGCATTTCCTCTTTCGATATTCCGCCCACAAAATCACGTGCCGTCCTTTTACAAAGGCAGGAAATGGCTAAACCAGTGCCCAAAAGTTTGGCACTGATTGCAAAGCACAAGAAGTAGTATAGGAGAAATATTCTGTGTGCAGCACACTTGTCTGTTCCAACTTTCTGAGTGTTTTGGGCAAGCATGTCATTCCATAGAGAATCCTTGACTTCGCCGACACTGACCAACTGGGGTTCGGATGAATTCCTGCAGCAGCTTTTGCACGATGAGGAGATAGAGGTATATTGGCAGTGGTATTATTGTGTTGAATTTGTCTTGGGGAACATGTCAAAATATTCATGGTGTTGTATTTGTAGCTGAGTGGAATACAAGTTATGTACATGAAGAGGCGTGTCATGTACAAGTGGTAATGTGTAGCCTTACACTAGTTACAGTACCATTTTGGCATGACTGTACAGTGTTGCACACTACTGGATCATGGAGGAATATTCCTCCATGACTGGATCATGTTGTTATCAGATTTTATACTTTTTTTTAAGAAAAATGAATCTCTGCTTTTAGCATTAGTGGCAGATTCAGTCTGGTCTATAAACACCTCTCATAGACTGCCATCTTTGTAGGAAAATTACTACCCGCGTATTTAACAATGTCATTTGAGAGAGACACGTTAGGGCCTTGTTTGTCACAGTTGACTGATCAAGCATGGTGCAAAGGTTAATCCAGTAAATGTATTTTTAATATGGTTGCCATCAGATTTACACATTAACAGGTATTCCTTTCCACTCAAGAATATGCCGCAAATAGTTTGTCTGATTTGAGCTATTGATTTGGATTTCAGCAAATTTCATTTTGAAGAATTACTGAGTGTGACCATGCTGTGACCGTCATAATGCATACATGTGTATGCAAGTGTTTTTGATTTAAAGTCATACAAAAAGGTCTATTATCCTTGAAATGAATTGCATAAAAACAAGAAATTTGCATACATACCAGCAAGATGTTCTGCTCTGGGGTTTTATTAAAATAAAGACAGTTATGCGCCATGCCCATTATCATTTTGTAGTCTGTGCATGTTTGTCCATAAAAACATCGATCTAAAAAATGCTGACAAGTCTTATCTTAATTATTGATCCCCTGTTTAGACAGAACAGGAATATGTGTTGATGAGGTCATACCTGTAGCTTCTTCTGTAAATTTGGTTGTAAAACTTAAAAAACAAAAAAGTAAACAGCTTCTGACCAGTTGATGTACGTGAGACAGAATGTTGGTATCGATGGCATACATGGTTGCCTGTAGCAAGCAAGTTTTGAAAGTCACTTGACAATCTATGAAACCGCGCCCAATTGTTGGCAAATATTAACTGAACCAGGAAAACCCCTTATTACTCCGACTGGATGTGGAAGTGGGTTCTGGAAGTGGGTTCTCGGCCCAACTCCAGTGAATGGATGAATCATCAATTTCCTGCTTACAGGCTTCCACTAGAACTACCATGTCTGCAAAACCCAGTCAGGAACTTTGAAGTTATAGCACCTGCAAATGTACAGTATACATGTGTGTGTACTACAGCTAGGCCCCGTGATTTTGTTGGGTACTCTGAGATATTAAAGCCTAAGTGCTGCTGTTCTTCACTGATGTGAGAATCTGAGGCAAAGTTGATTGGAGTCTTAAAACTCTTTACACTTGGAGGAAAAGCCTGAGTACATGAGGCATCAACAGTGCAGAGCTACAAAAAAAGTAATTTTTCACGAGTTTACACACAAATTATTTCTTCACTTGGACTCCTAAAATGGCTGACATTGATGAGAATGACTTAGTCCGCCAGGCTGACGTTTCTGTTTACAACAAGAAACTGGCAAGTGTGCGCAAGAGGTCTTCAAAATCTCGCTTGTCGATTTGTCATCATCGCCGAGGAAGTTCAAAGAAATACTTGAAGTCACGGATATGTCAAGAATGCCACGCAAAGGTAATAGATGTGCATGTCGTCAGGGATTAAAGCATCGGAATGGCACTTAAAGTAAAGCATGATTTGCATCATCCATCTGAAGCAAGCATGGATCCAGATTGCAGGTTTTGGGGGTCGAAACACCCCCACATCCCCCCCCCCCCCCCCCCCCCCGACACCAAAAAAAGAGAGAAAGTTATAAGTAACAATGTGCTGCATATATAATGTCTGCCTGTCTGCAACAATTGGACATAAAAAATCTGATGGGTCTGAACCCCCCCCCCCATCCTCAACCAAAATTCTTGGATCCACCCTTTGTGAAGTTATGAAGCTGTTACTGTCAGAAAAGCGGTGCTGACCTCACAGTTATCAACTAGTGATCTTTAGCACTTGGCATGGACATTTCCGTTAAGCAAACATTGCCGCCCAGATATTTTCTCTATTTATCACTGTGTACCTAAAGATATTAACGTTGATAATTGTGGTGTGTTCAGAGAAAAGGTCAGAGAAAAAACCTCAATAGCTATATCAATTTCATTACATGAATATGCATTGACCAGCTGTGACAGCATAAGAGCTGTGCATTTTTGCCCATTTTAACCATAGGAAAACTGGTCTTTAACTTTAATCATATTCCTAGTTTGAGTGGTAATCCAATGAGATAGCCTACCCCTTTTTTAATTAAAAATTGAACATGCTGCTCTAGCTCTTGAATCTGATATGGAAGAAGCATAGACACATCCGAGCTGAGCATGCTAACAATCCTATCACAAAGCCCCCCTTCAGTGGCGAAAGCATTGTACCAGATTTTGTTGTTCAGATAATCCATCACGAGACAGTGAACGGTTTCTCCATTAATGAGGATCATGTGTGTATACGCATGATCGCATGACCGGATTCGTCTATAGAATAATGTCACATTTCTTCAAGAAAGTAATCAAGGACACATGTATGCATTTGTAATTTCATCAGGTAGATGAAAATTGCATATACCCCGGGCTGTTCAAAATATTGAATTTGTGTTCTCCTTAACCCATTTTCAATTTGTATGTTTTAACGAAAAACATTTTTGCAACCTCTGAAAAATGGCTTTCATTTTTGTGTAGTAATGAATCGAACAGCCAAAAATTTGAATTTTGTAAGTAACTTACTAAATGTAGGTGGATTTTTTTCGTTCAACATCATATGTGAATAACTTTTATTGCTATGAAAAAAGCAATTGAAAAAAAAAAATTTGAACTGGTCCGGTATTCTAGAGGTACCGTCACAGGTACATATCCAACCTCAGTTGTTTTAGTTTTCTTTTGATCAACCAGCTTAGTTTGATTTTGTGATTTCATTTTCAGCACAACCCATCATGGATCCGAAACAACATCCGCATGAGGGAATGTATCCGGTTCACTCCGGCTCCTGTCGATCCGGAAAGGCCGGACCCATTGTAAGCAGTCAATTATAGCCATGGGCGTCACTAGTTTGAGGGGGTGGGGGTGGGGAGTGTGCTCCCTTCCCCTCCATTAACCATTTTTGTCGGCAAAATCGTCCTCCTTCAGACAAAATCTTGTGTCCGTCGTCAAATGTGCATCCTTAGTCCGATAGAGATGAAATTTGCTAAAAAGGAAATTGTATTACAAATTAAGCTTCAAAATGGAATTACCCAAAATATGTATTAAAAAAAACCTTCAGAGTTTGGAGGTTTGACATTTTGATATAGTATTTGCAGTGCAGAGCAGAATAGTTTGCTGAAGTTTGTAAATAAGTGTGACATGGCTTCAATGTCCATAAAACAAGAAATTCTTTTTTGAACTTTCAGTCCAGATGATCCCAAATGCCAGTGTGGTAATCGCAAGTCAGACCACGATGACCGTTTCTGCCATAACCCTGACACTAAGGCAAAGTGGAAGGTGGAGACCCACACCCACACCTGTACCACCAACGCCTTCGGGGAGATTGAGTTCATTGGAGCTGCTGGGGCTGGGCTGGGGCTCAAGCTCAGAAAGGTAAGCTCATTACAGAAACATCTTTACTTAGTAAAAACTGGTTACCTACACCTTCCAAACTTCAGAGAGAAAAAAACTTTTGCACGATTTTCCAATTTTATTTTTGGTTGCACATTGAACCCTTTAAAAATGCCCCTAAAAAAGAAAACAAAAATCTGACAAACATGTTATGTTGCTTGATGTGAATGGAGATAATAATGGTTTGTCAGAATTTGTCAACTTTAAAAAAAAAAATCTTAAATGTTCACTTGGGAATTTCTGAGATAATGTTCTAGTGCACCACGTTAGGGAACACTCGGCTGATTTTGTGCCCAATTTCCGGATGCCACCGTTTTTGAATTTTGGACTAATGTTTATACGGTTCAACAGCAAGCATTATTAAGGAAATGGTACCAGTTTTTAACTAAATTAATTTGAAGCTTGTCAAGCAAGAGGTTCGGCAACACTGTGTGAGGAATGTAGGTGGTAAATGTCAAAGTACGCCACGTTAGGGAACTCCGGTATATAAGTGTCTTTCCTTCCATACACAGTATGTACGAGTGGACCACAACATCCACCCAAATCGCCTGATGCAACTTCTGAACACTCAGTGGAATCTAGGCACTCCTAAGCTCCTCATCTCAGTCACGGGAGGGGCCAGAAACTTCCACATGAACACCAAACTCAAGAATGTCTTCCGAAAGGGCTTGATCAAGGCTGCTCTGAGCACTGGTAGGTTTAAGATTAGGACACAGCACAATTTCTTGACGTAGAAAATTGTGCTAACCTTATGAGCACTATTTCATGGCATGGATGTGCTAACGGTTGCGGGCGCATGTAGATTTCTATTGTAACGTAACTGATTTGAGCATATATCTTTTTCCTCTGAGGTAAGTGTCCTTTCTGTGAAATAGACGGAGGCTAGTTAGCAGGAAATTGTGTGCTTAGCAGCGCTATGAAATTGGGCCTTGGTTGAAATTTTGTAACAAATTCATGATAGGCATTAGTTTCCGGAAACTAGACATGTTTTCTTTCATTTTTCACCCGACATTTTTTTCCCATCGTGTTTTAACTTTTCAATTGTTTTCACCTGAGAAGGGATATTTTGTGAGTGTCAATTCTGTCTGATGCTCACGTTTATGTGCATTCTTTACACATACATGATATTGATTTGTGAGCATTTTGGTCAAAATTGTTCATGCACACTCAGCGGCGTACGTGCACGGCAGCGATACTACATGTCCTTCACTGGCTCTTGTTGTTGGGGAAAACAATGTCATCTAATGTTTCCCAGTGGAGTCCATGTGGGTGATATGACAATGCTAATTAGTGTCATTGTACACGCCTGATTCAGCGCCTACCTTGGTAGATTCAAACAATAAGGCAATTGCCTATGCGTGTGCCACATTGCTCATACATGAATGAAGGCCAATGTCTGTGATCAGTGAAATAAATCCAAACTGCCCAACCCTCCAGCATGATTTTCCAATCAGCGGTCTTTATCATTTTCACCGTTGAGGGCGTACTAGTGCAATCAGTCCGTCAGTCGTTGTATTATTTTGATCACAGGTGCCTGGATCATCACCGGTGGTACCCACGCCGGCGTCATGAAATACGTCGGTGATGCCATCAAGGATTATTCCCTAGCCAGTGGCATCACAGGACGATCCAACGTGGTTGCCATTGGCTTTGCCTCGTGGGGTGTTTTAGACCAAAGAGAGAAGCTTACAGCTGAAGAGGTGAGATGGATTAATGAGATCCAAGTCTAGTGTTGCTGTCAAAACAGTCGTGATGAATCACAAGTACAGCCCAAATCCAGTCCCAATAAATCACAAGTCCTCTCACAAGCCCAGTCACAATTAATAGGGGAAGCAGAAAAACAGAGGGATGCCTCTTTTGTTAAAGGTAATATCCAACATTTGCAAACATCAAAAAACAAAACTACGAAATGATTATTAATACCTTACTTGACTGTAAGAATAATAGTCTCAAGCATCCTGTAAAATTATGGCAACTGGTGTGCTGTCATTTTAAAGAAAAGTGGAATTTAATATCAATTCCCAACGATGGTTGGCAGATCATCTTTGAAAAAAAAACTGACGTTTCTCCTATACCACCCCTAATTTACCAACTTAGATGGTCCACGTTTTGTTTGCAATTGGTTACTCATCCGGGAACGGGTGAAAGCCAGCTAGTCTGGGTCCCTGACCTGACAATTCCCGATGTCTATAAAGTGTTCCATTTCGTCTGGAGTAGGGTCTGGAAACCAGACTGTTTTTTCCAGCATCTATGAACACAAAACTTTAAACAGTCATCCATTTCTGAAAATTACAGCAAAAGCAAATGTATATTACCTTTAAAGTTCATTGCATATATGTGAGTTGACTTGGAACTTGTTGACATATGATTGACTTGTGATTGACTTTTATGATTCATGACATGGACCTAGAAATAAAGACTAGAAATAATTTAAACTGTAACCGCTAAAAAAACGTTGATTTTTGTTGTTCCCACAGGGTCGATTTCCAGCTTACTACCGCATGGACGCCAAGAAGCCAAAAGGGGTGCTCCTAGACCCAAACCACACCCACTTCATCCTGGCAGATGATGGGACCGTGGGTGAGTTTGGAGTGGAGATCAAACTCCGTGGCAAGATGGAGAAGGAAATCTCGGAGCAGAAGGTGTATGGAAACACAAGTGAGTCCTGTAAGACGCAAAGATACCAGCAAACTGCGCTTGGTAGAGGGAAGCACTGCTGAGCAAAACGTTTTTCTCCAAAAATTAATCAAACTGGCTGGAATTCCACAAGAGAGTAGTACATGTACTCCAAAAGAATCCCTAAATAAGAAGATTTTAACCAATGTTTGAATAAGTTTTGTGTTTCAAGCTAACGTCAATTTTTCTTACCTAACGTGTATGTAACCATCCCATATCTCTCATCTGCCAAACACAAACAGTTTGGATCATATGAGTATTGAGAACATGTGTAGCACCTACCATGAGTGTGGTGTCACCACAGAAGCAGCGTCGATATGTTGGTTGCAGGATAAATCTATGGTTAGACACAGATCCCATAGCAATAGTCCATTTAAACAATTAAACATTAAAACTGGATATTCCCTGAACGATAACAAGTGGTCGTGGTGAATTAAAATTTCTCCCCAAAATAATTTTTATTTTGGGGTTATTTCAGATGTATCTGTGCCAGTGGTGTGCGTTGTGGTAGAGGGAGGTCCCAACACCATAGCCACTGTCTATGAAGCTGTCATGAACGGCACGCCGGCTGTCATCATCGCTGGATCGGGAAGAGCTGCAGACATTCTGGCGTTTGCTTTCCAGAGGGCGCCAGAGATAGAAAGGACTGTTAAGGACAGTGCAGGAAACTACAGGAAAGAGTGAGACATATATTCTTAGGCTACATTCAGATTACATGGCTACGGCTAACAATAGCACACATGATAATGGGGAATGGATTCAGCCACATCCATAGGCGCATGTGTAATTGTAAGCCATATAGCTAAGTGACGCAGACATAGTCTTAAGAAATTCCATGATTCTGGCCTGTACAGTACTCAAGCATCCGGAAGTGAAATGCCCTTCAAATTCCATTATACTACTCCTTTCCTTCAGGAAAAAGACCATGATCAGTGATTCATTGATGGTGCGGCTGGCCGACATGCTGTGTAAGGAGTTTGGTGAGAAGGAGTTGGACATTCAACTGAATCGCATCAAGGAGATGCTGATGAGAAGACATCTCGTCGCTGTCTATGAGCTGGGAAGCGGGGATATTGACAGTGTCATCCTACATGCTCTCCTCACAGGTACATCTGAAAAAGACTCATTTTTATGACCTCAATTATTAGTCGTTACTCCTACCCTTGAGAAAACACAAAGCATTGGACATTTAACTAGTTAGTAATATTTGTTGATGTTGCTTGTTTCTAACAGCCAACAAAGGCAGCGCCCAAGACCAGTTGCAGCTAGCTCAGATGTGGAACAGAGTGGACGTGGCCAAGCGAGAAATCTTCACTGAGGACTGGGAATGGAAGGTAAGCTATTGACTGGTTACCAGTGTAAGTGCCATGCAGTGTTTATATGCTTGCCACTGGTTCTCAGCAGATTTTCTTTTAAAAAGTGCATATTTGCTGAGTTATGTTATCTGCTAAGAATCTCCAACATATTGGACAGCCGTCACTAATTACTATGTAAGTGCACTCCCTACCATAAAATCTAGCTATTATGTCATCCTGAGTGAATCCCCTGTCAGAACTATGACACTTTTTTTCATTCCTTGCCGAACAGAAAGGCGATTTAGACGACGCCCTTCACTATGCCCTGGTCAACAATCAGACAGACTTTGTCAAACTCTTCATGGAGAACGGAGTCAGCTTGAAAGATTACCTGACGATCAGAGAACTCACCCTCCTCTATAATGAGGTAAAGCACAGAGACATCGTGGTGGACTTGTAAGCAGTTGTTTAATGCAGTAGACGTTACCATAGTGGACACGTAATGGTCCAAAAGCAGTCACAGTAGAGTTGCAGCTGCCAATGCTTGTATAATTGCACATGAAGTTCTGAAGGCAAAGTGGATGGTTGTTTTAGTCCAAAGTTCTACTGCAGCTACGCACGTCACATTGTGCATCCTCAAACTTCTTTCAATTTGTGCTCTCCAAACGCGCAAAATCTAGAATCAAACTGCTATTATCTGGATTGGGGATGGCTCACATTGTTATCTTTTTAAGAAAAGGTTTCATTTCAGGTTTTTGTTTTACAATATATTTCAGGTTAAGAAGAATACTTTGTTGTATGAACTGCTCGACAAACAAAGGGGCAAGGTGAGTGTGCATTTTTATTTTTGAGTATTTTTGCCATCGTTCTTTGTCAATCAAAGTGTTGTGAATTGTGGTGTCTCTCGTATAAATTCCTATTGCTCCTCTTAAGTTCATTTTTGTGATCCTTTGAATTAGTCTTCAAGGTTCACCCTGATCGTTGTAGGAGAAGTGATCCAGTAACTCCTTATAAAAACTACGGGATTATAGTGCTGAGGTCTTGGGTTCACATCCTGGGACAGTCAAAATTTCCATTTCCTCTCAAATGAATTCAAACATTTGATCCATTTATTCAGTCTTCGAGGAAGTTCACCCTGATCGACGTGGGTAAAGTGCTTCAGGAACTGACCACGGACACCTACAAGCCCTTGTATCTCAGTCAAAAGGACAAGTTCATGCTGTCAGAGAGTGAAATCAACAAGGGAAGGGAGCGACCTGTGACGGAGGTGGGAGAGGTAGGCAGCCGGCTCTCAATGGCAGAGGGCATCAGGAACATATCCAATGCAATGGCTCGACCGGGTAAGGAAAAAGATTTTTTGTTCAAATCTTAGCGGCAGAGAGTCAAGTTTGATACTAAATCTGCTTGGACGCATATGCCCTGAAAACTTTGTAAGTTTTCACACGCACGTAGAATGCACTTAAACAATACATAATTTGTTCAGGCAAACATGGTAAATAGTCGGTGTCCTTGGGCATGATGTTTTACGGCAATTGCTTCACCAAGAGCGAATGGATGACGTTTGAAAGCTTAAGATCAATAACTAATACTATAAATATACATGTATTTTGATTAATGATATTTCTTAAGGGATTTGAAAGTGGTAGTTGGACTATTATCAAAAGGTATGAATAAAGTTATGATATTTAGTAATTATGTTTGGTATTTATTATTAGTATTCTTGTTCTGTTTTTTTCTTTCTGTACCAGACTCACCAGAGAAGAACCGTGATTTCCGCAGTCCTGTGAGGGAGCTCTTCCTGTTCGCCGTCTTGCAGAATCGGGCCGAGATGGCACGCATGTTCTGGGAAGAAGGCAAGGAGGCCATACCTAGCGCCCTGACTGCAAGCAAGATATTGACATCATTGGCAGCCAAGGAACCTGACCCTGACCATAGTGTCGTCATGGAGTTACATGCTGCGTAAGTTTGCACTCTGTATTACAAGTTGGTAATTGGCTTTTCTAAACAGAAGTATCCTGCACTTGTACATTATTTCAAATTTTTCTGGCTGTGTTATGCTGCAAATCTGGCTATGTGCAAAACTTAGTGGTTATAAATTGTTCATTAAATTGGATGATATCAATTGCTACTGACTTCCAACAAACATTATTATGAACTCTGTGACTTTCTTGTGATGGACTGTGCTACATCACTGAATACATGCAAAGTAATGGCCTAGTGTCTATGAGTCTCTCCCACATTTTATCCTACGCACAGGAGTTACGAAGAATTGGCCTTGGGTGTTCTGAACGAATGCTACAACGACGACCAAGACCGCACCTCCCTCCTGCTGGTCAGGGAGCAAGAGAATTGGGGCAAGACCACTAGCCTGAGTCTAGCCAAACAGGGCGACAATAAGAACTTCATCGCTCACACAGGAGTCCAGAATCTACTGACGGAGATCTGGAATGGCAAGCTGTCGGATGAGAACAATTACTGGCTGGTGAGTATAGACACGGAGTTACACAATATGAAATTTCATCTTAACGTGTGATATCATCCAAAAGATTCCACACCTGTACCTGGATCGCATTGACTGGATCAAAAATTAGTCTTTTCATTGTCTGAGAATTTATGAAGTAATTTGTATCGTTGGTTATGGGGACCTGATCCAAACTGGAACTGGTTCCTGATATCAACGGTCTTTGAGAACCCAGTTCTGATGCACAGCCGTACCCCTTGAAATACTTTGGTAATGGTATGCTCTTGGAAGTCACAGATGGTGGGGTCTGGTCTATGTAAAGTCACATCGAAACATTTCATTATTAATCAGTTGGAATCACAAACTTCCAAACTGATACACAGTGAAGGGTCTGTACAAGCCACTGGATGTTGAATACCATAATCATTTTTTGTTGTTTTGTGTTGCTATCAGCTGTGGGTGTGTACCTTCCTACCTCCCCTGATTCCTTGCATCGTCAAGTTCCGGGAAGATGAGAAAAGGGAGGAAGAGGACGTCATCTTGAAACAGAGGAAGAGCATCAAGAAACAGGTCAGTGTCTTGCAATGAACCCTTCCTGCATGTCCATCAAACAGTAGAGTCAGTCAAGTCTGTCACGAGCCAATGAGCATTTATCTCCAGTTTCAGTGGCATGAAACGACTGAGAATATTTCTATTCCCCTGGATGGGATGCAAGTCCATCTCAGGTTTTTCCCCAGCAAATATTGGTACCCATTTATACTCCTGGGTGGAGAGAGACAAGTGGGGGTGAAGTGGCTTGCCCAAGACCGCAATCAAACAGTACGCATTGACTAAACTGAACTTTTGATCAACTGACCATGATAGCTATGTCAAAAATCAGTCACAAAAACTCTGAGAAATGTACGGAAATGAAATGATGGCGGGGTGAAGGCCAAATTGTGTAGAGTTCATTAGGGAGAAACTTCTACGGGTTAGGTTTCGAACATTCTCGTTTGGAGTTTGAGTGGTGTTATTATTGGAAATGCATGAAAAGCAAATGATCCTATATGCCTATGAATGTAGTGACATCATTCTTGGTTAACATAGAGTTTTGTACTGGAGCTAGGTGGGGAGGAGGGGGCATTGTTGGCACCTTGCTTCCATAAGATTGCTCGCAATTAAACAAAGCATAGAATCATTACATCTCTAGTCTATAAAAAGCATGAGTTTGTATTAACAAACAACAAATTGAGTTTAAATAACTAACACTTGTACCGTTGAATTGTGATCCTGTTGCAGTCAAAAACTCATGAGGTAGCTGGTGGACAGAACGGTGGACAGAACGGTGGACAGAACGGCACCTACAATGAAGTCTTGGAGTTGTCTGCGCTACAAAATGTTGAGGAAAATGAAGCCCCGTACGCCAACAACGTAGAGTAGGTTTATGACGTATTCATTGAAGTTGCTGCACAAAATACCATGTCGTGCAGTCACTTCAGTGGAGTGATTTTGTAATTTTGTTTCTTCTAGGGATTTGAAAATTCACTTAAATGTGTACTTTATACTTGTCCTTTCTGAGTGATTTTGGAACTACGTTTTGTTTTCATGTGTAATAAAGGCTTAGCGCCCATCGTTTGTAATTTGTGCATTTCAACATTCTAGGATCTCGATTTCAAATCAAAAGTTACTGAATTATGTTTTGAATTGGGCCTGAAGTCAGCGTCCGTGACACGTTCTCACTGAGCCGATCCGACGAATTATAGCAACCAGGCGCATGTGTGCGTCGTGTCAATGCTTGTGCACGCCTCGCCGAATAAAAAAACGAACTACTAACGGAAATTTCCAACGATGCATCCTTAAACGCATCGTTGGAAAGGCCTTCTTTCATTGATTTCTTCAAAATGACAGCTTGCCAGAAGAATAATTTCACAGGGAATTTAGTCCCATAACTTAAATCCAGTATGTTTCTTGACAAAAATTATGTCAGTTACTTTTTGGAGAGCTGCAAATGATGGACTGTACCTTAAATGTCATCAACACTGTGGCTTTTGGAATGATCCAAACTCAGAACAGCTAGGTCAACAGTTAAAGGAACTGCAAACAAAGGGCCATGTTGCTCAGTAGGTATAGCATCCAGGTTTTTCACACCACAAGTCAAAGGTTCGCATCCCGCTTTAAGTCAATATTCTCTAAATCAACTGATCAATAGTAGATTATGTGGGGATGATTTTTAATATTCCAGTGACGGTGATCAAGCAGAGAATGAAGATCCAGATAAGTATCATGAGACAGCGGACATTGACATCACCAGCAGCGGCAAGAAACTGGCCTGGTGGCAACGCTTCTCTCTCTTCTACAACGCACCGATCATCACCTTCAGACACAACTTGGTGAGTGAGCTTTAAAAGATTGCATTTTTCCCCCCAGTCAACACAGCCTGGATATTGCCGGAAACCTGCAAGAAAAATTGCATTCATTTACTTCTTACTAAGAATGTCCCATACTTGTTCCAAAAACAGCATCCAGAAAGAACTTATGAACAAAATTAGAAAACTTAAGTTTTTCAATTCTTCCTTATCACCCTCAATTAATCCTAAATGCCAGGTTTGCAACGGAGAATAAATCTGATGTTTACAAAGTGTAATATCACCAAAGTTTAAAAAACTTTAATTGCCTGTCCAAAGATAATCGCATCTCAATAAAAAAAAAATTGTGGTGCCAATTAATGTTTTGAATCTGATGTATTAACTGTCTCAGAAAGAATTCCTCACATGGATATCACTAATTTTTCCCTTCAGTGACCTATCAAACATCAGAAAGCGATAACATGTCCCTAAAGAGTCCAATTTAGAAGGGAAACTATTTAAGCATTTACTGAGAAAACACTTGTTCATTTGTTCAGATTTGTTCAGAATTTTTCAGACCAGTCTCGTAGGGTTTGTGCACAGGGTGTCAAGTGATGTCCAGGTATGGACCTCTTTTCATTTTCTTATCCCTTGTTCAACATCGTAAAACCTTGCTTAATCGTTGTCTTTGACAGTTGTCTTACTTGGTGTTCTTGCTGTTGTTCAGCTACATCATCCTGGCTAATTTCACGCCTACCATCTCTATCTTTGAGATGGTCCTCATCGGCTGGGTGGGCTCACTCTACCTGGAGGAGTTACGACAGGTAGGAGGATACCCATAGTATACAAATATTGAGTGGCTCAGAGTGGAATGGGAGGAATATTATCGCAAGGTAAAATCTAGACTTTTCCATTTCACGAGGCGAAGCCGAGTGAACTGGAAAAGTCCAGATTTTACCGAGCAATAATATTCCTCCCATTTCACAATTTAAAGCCACTCAATATTTGTTTTATATAACTGACAAATAGATCCTTGTCATTTGATATACTTGAACTTTTATTTCAATATAAAATTGGTGGAAAATGTATTCTCTCTTCAAAACCACCCCTTCACAAAATTGTTTGAACCCAACTCTGTAATAATAATAATAATAATTTGGGAGGCTAATCATCCTTACTCGCAGCTGGTATGCTGAATTGCCAAGGACGCGGCTACAACGTGGTCGTCATCGGCTGGCTCTTTGGAACAATACGCAACGCTGAACGCGCACACCATCATGCATTTGCTTACAAATACCGCGTCACAGAACAAGGATGATCCTAACTGTTGAATAGTAAATCCCATTTCCTATGAGCGAATGGGACTTTTTGAGCCCCGGCGTGAGTGGGAGCAATAACAAATGTCACGTGATGTGAGTTCCACCAATCAAATGACAAGGATCTGTATGTCAGTTATATAAACTGGATTAGAACACCGGAGCCAATTTTATCGTACTTTATTGACAATGAGGAGAGATTGTATACCCTGGTTTGCTGCCTACCGTACCGTTGGCTTTGGCTATCCAGCTGAGAATCGGGTCCAAATGTTCATCATTATTATAATTATTATTTTTTTGAAAATAATTTTGTTTGCAGTACAGCTTTTACGAGAACCCCTTTGACAAAAGACAAACATCTCTGAGAAGTGAAACCAAACAAATTCGTGTCTAAAGATCAGAGAAAACCAAACGTGAAATTAGTTTATTTTTTAACTTAATTTCTTTCTTTATTTCCTGAGTAGATTGCTCAAGGGGAGTCCAACAGCTGGCGAGTGCGCTTCTGGTTCTGGATCTCAGATTACTGGAACATGGTAGACATTGCCACCTTGGTGCTCTTTGCTGTCGGGGTAGCTCTGCGATTCTTTGATCATCTCTTTGACTACGCTCGCATCATCCTAGCGTTGGACTTGGCCATCTTCTACATCCGCATCCTGCAGATATTCTCCGTCAGTAAGAACCTGGGACCAAAGCTGATCATGATTGCCAAGATGGTAAGCAACTCTCTGACTTAAACCTCACAGAACTTTCCAAATCCACTAATAGACCGATCCACTTGGTCCTATGATTGGTCAGATTGGGTTATTGGATCGTTCTATTGTCAGATTACGGAGGTGCAGCCCAGAACCAGTTACGTCGGATGACATGTATACACCCAAATGTTTTGCCGTATTCGGGACGTATAAACACGCAGTGAGCGAGGCCGGAAATATCCGTCTGCGACTCGCTCGCAGCGAGTGAGGTCGGAAATACCAGGGTGTGCTACCCGCAGATGACGGCTTGAGCCCGTCTGGCATCGAGGTTCGCAAAAAATATCCCGCGCCTGGGTCCGGTCAATGTCAAAATAATCCCGGCGCGAAGTGGTTAATTATGAAAGTTTCAGCATAAAGAATTTGTTTCCAGGTTCCTGCAAAGCAGTGGATGTTGGAAAATTTAAAATGGTGCCTATAAAACTGCTGAAGGAGTAATTAGCAATAAGAGACCATTTGTCAAGTTTGGATGGATTGAAATAAGCTCATGCAGTTCAGCCTTGCTCCCCTTCCCAAAAAAAAAAGAAATTATGTCCGTTTTATTTCTTAGAATCGACTTTGATAGCAAATTTGATAATCTCTGTGCAGCTGAGTTTAGTCTGAAGTCTACTTTTGACGTAATACTTTAGATGATGTGAGTGAGAATTAAATGGCCGAATTGAATCACCCTGGTCCAATTCATCAATTCAAACTCTTTTTAATTATTTTTCTAAATAGATGGTTGACCTGGCCTTCTTCGTTGCCATCCTGTGCGTGTTTCTCATCGCCTACGGTGTAGCCTCCCAAGCGATACTCTACCCCAACGGCACAAGCTTCCGAGAGGTCATTACCGGGGTCTTCTTCAAGGCTTACTTCCAGATGTATGGAGAGTTGTTCCTGGAAGACATCGAAGGTAAACAATTTCTGTTGAAAGGAGCTATGTCAACCTTGGCCTGGTTTGGGCCATGTCCGAATCACTACGGCTACAGCTGTATATAACACTTGCACCTATGGAAGCCATTGGCTAGCCACTGCAGTCACTTCCCATAGACTCCTGCATTATTGCCGGTTGTAGGCGAGTGATTCGGACACGGCCTTTGTTCGTTGATCAGTGGAATGTGGGTATTTACTGTCGTTGTTGTTTCCGTCTGTTTTAGTGTTGGGAGGGTTTTCTCCAGGACAGGTCTGGACAGCACAGGTCTGGGTTTTTAAATGACCTATTTTTCCATTTTTGGGTTAATGGCTTTTGATGAATGCCTTCTCAACACAAACATTGACAAACCACTAACGTTAGGGTGTGATTGCTCAGTTTGGACCCCATTATGATTTCCTTCATTTGTTTGATTGTTTTTAAGGCAACAACGGCTGTTCTGATGACCCCGCACTGATTGAGGCTGGGGCCCCACGATGCCCTCAGTATTCCACTATTGGTGTCATCCTACTGGCCATATATATGATGCTGAGTAATGTACTACTCCTGAACCTACTCATTGCTATGTTCAGGTAAGACAAGTGGCAATGATTAACCTAATATTGATATGATGACCCCGCACTGATTGAGGCTGGGGCCCCACGATGCCCTCAGTATTCCACTATTGGTGTCATCCTACTGGCCATATATATGATGCTGAGTAATGTACTACTTCTGAACCTACTCATTGCTATGTTCAGGTAAGACAAGTGGCAATGATTAACCTAATATTGATATTCATTCATTAATACCTCAGACAGTTTATCCATTCCCATTTGTTGAGAGCCCGTCACGTGGGTAGTTTTAACCAATTCATGCCGGGATTTTTTTGACAAGAACGGAACGAGGCGTAAGATTACTTTTCACTCGTCCTCATGCCAGGCGGGTTGAAGTCATCACCCTCGGGCAGCACACTCATATTTCCAGCCTCGCTCGCTGCGAGCCAGTCGCTGATAGATATTTCCGGCCTTGCCCCCTGCGTGTTTATCTGTCATCCATTCCGAATACCGCAAAACCTTAGCGGGTATACATTTCATCCGGCGCGAACTGGTTAAACAGTTGATAAAGCAACGGCTGGCTGGTTTTATTCGTTTTTCCGGTGTGACATGAAATCTGGACCTTTTTACCTGTTTATTGGTTTACAATCTTCACTAAGGCATGCACAATACTACCAATGAGTCCATATATTGAGAGTCCTAAATTCACACCGTCATAAACACTATTGCAAACGTGATGTAACCTATGTGCAGTGTAGTATTTACGTGACTTAGTTAATAGATGGTACAAGCCGGTACAAGCTACAGCATTGTGTCAACACTCACTTTCAGAAACAAACTCGACCACTAGAAACGCAGTATTCAATTTGTGACATCACGTGTTGTAGGCTTGTTGGAAAGTAAATTTCTGCCTATTCACTAATAACATGTCACCATATTGCCATTCAAGGGTTACTTGTACATAGAGTCTGTAATAGAAGCAATGATATATCATCCCATGAAACCAGTATCAGCACACCTTCATCATTTAGCACTTGTATTACATTGTATGAATTTGTATTAATTCCCACATTGATTTATAGACATATGCAGTGGGTGGGTGGGTGGGAGGGAGTAGGGCAGCACGGGGGGTAAAACGCAGGGTGGTTTGGGGCGGTACAGGGATTAACGTATAAAGTAAAGAACTCTAAACTGAACTCAATGATCTTCATTGCAGCTACACCTTCTCAGCAGTACAAGAGAACACCGACGTCTTCTGGCGTTTCCAGCGTTACGACCTGATCAAGGAGTACTTCAATCGTCCAGCCCTTGTGCCACCGTTTATCATCATCGCTCACGTCTTCTTTCTGATCCGCTTCCTGATCCAAAAGTTCTGTGGATGCTGCCTCAGATTCCGTACAGGGGAACTAAGTAAGTGACGTTTTTGCCTGCTCATAAAACTTGTAAACATTCACAATTTTTTTTTTTTTTTTTTTTTAAGAATATGCTGACACAGGGCACAGTTCCTGTCATTATCACAAGTAATTTCTACATCCACACTACCTTGGAAGCATCAACTCATTTCATATAGGAACAGGAATACTCCATTTCTTCAGGAGCTTTCGTAACATCTTCCTGATAATATCTTCAGTTTGCTAATCATGCACAATACTCTCATGGCCTTTTGATACATAATTCTTATGGTTTGGTTATCCTTCAATTAAGCAGTAAATGCATGTCAGACATTTAAGATAACATCCACACGCTTTAACACTTTTCCTTTGCTATTCACGTGCCTTCCCGGAATCAAGCAAACGACCACAATTATCGGCCGTCTTACCGGAGGGTGGCTAGTATTTTGGATGATATGAGAAAGGGCACTCGGGGAGCATTCGTTGGTAGACGGCACTTCATAGTACAGAGTATGTACCCAGAATTCTATGCACGGCACCAATGAACCTCTTACCCTGGTTTTAGGCTACCTTGAATTCCTCCCCATATAATTGCATGAAATAAAGTGAATGAAACCAGGCTGGAAACATTTATGAAGGTTTATTCGGACATAACAGCATGATGAATGATTGAAGTGACACAATTGATTTATAAGGGTGCCCTCAGATTGACCTTGCGATGACACAGATCAGTCGGGGACTGACTTTTCAGGATCAAGCTGCGTCTGAGCTACGACCGTCGGGAACATATCAGTCATATCAGATTAAATGAGTAGACGTGGCCGTTGAAGATCGTTTGATTGTTATCAACACAGCATCGTCATTTTGGAGACATCACATGATCATGTCTATGCCAAGGAATCACTTTCACGTCATAGGTGACGTGAGCATGTTCCACGAGACTCGCACGATTTCTCATTTTTGTGACCTGAGCAAGACTTTTGTGCTTGGTGCTGACAGTTCGACTTAATGTCAAAGGTCGACCTGAGGTCACCCTTAGTACTAATCCTAGAAAATTGATTCATACTGCTAACAACAGTTCTTTTCTTTGTTGTGAGTCACATGAATTTAAGTGGTTTTGGAATTTCTTCTTTTATCTCTTGTAAGTTCCACAGTACTTTTCCAATCCCTTTTCCCGATAGCACATGTGCATTTTGTTTTGACTACTTTTCACCATAATCGGTTGGTGAAATACCAATCAAAACTACACTCTCAACAGCAAAAATCAGCGGAAAACAATACTGGTGACAGGGAAACCTTATCGCAATCCAGCTATACACCCATACATAAAAAGGCATGTTCATCTTATTTAGAGACATGCTGAATTTATGTATGTTTGGTGTGCAGTAACATCATTTATGCACACGGACCATCGCCTGTGTATGTTTTCCGTGTTGAGTTTGCCAAATGTAACATTTTCAACAATATCTTGCATGAACTCTATACTAACCACGAGGTGTGTGTCCTGTGTCACCTCAGATCCCTTCTAATGAAGTCATAACTTCTTTATTGATTGGTTTTGTATTTGGATGGTTTTTGGTGAGCATTTTGATGGCATTCAGACTAAGGCATGAACTTGTCTCACTGGTATGTGACTCTTCCTTAACAGTCTTCCTGAAAGTGGAAAAACACAATATAAAGTCTTGAGAAGTTTGAGAATTTCAAAGCAATCAGACCATATTACAAAGAACTATAGATTTTACCAATTACCAAAGAAAATTACCTTCAAGAGCTTCAGTGATTTTTCTTTGTTCGGTCATGTCGGTCAAGAATAGCACCTAGACTGTATTTCCCATAGTTTATTTAAAGGAAAAACTTGGCGCTGATTTAATTTATTTTTCCCCCACAGAGCAACGTCTCTCGAAGTCTCAAGCCAAGCAGTTAGTTCTATGGGAAGCCATCCAGAATGATGAGTACATTGCTAAGGAGAAGATCCGTCTGCAGAGTGACATCAGTGAACAGGTCCGAACCACTGGGGAGAGGTGAGCTAACCGTTCTGAAACCATGGCCATCTTGGTATTGACCCCATTGCATCACATGTTAAACTCATAATGGATCATGGGTGCCTGACTATGAAAAAATGTTTTCATTAATATAAAGATTAACTTTGGTTTCAGTGGTACTTATTAATATCTGCATCAAGCTTTTCCTTGGCAATGTTTCTCCAAAAAAAAACTTATTTGTGTGATTCCTGTAACCACTTCAAAATATGCTTTTGAACTGAATGGGACACAGTAGCACAAATTATCACGATTTCTCTGGTAACAGTTTGTCGAAATCCTTTTTTCCATGTAAACAACAACCACTTGATGACACTTCTTCCATTCTTCCAGAGTTGAGGACCTCCTTGGTAAGATGGAGGAACTCTTTGCTGATCCAGAGACCGGAGTTCCTTCCAAAGCTCTTGGCCTTCTCGGCGAAAAGGCTCTGGAGGATAGACTCAACAGACTGGAAGATCAGGTAACATTCAAGGCCAATTTTTTAGTGATGAAATATCTTTTTAAAAAATTTGAAAATCTGTTGCCAATGTTTTTCTAAAGAGTCTGTGACCTATTCATGGAAGATCATTATTCAATAGTATTGGACAGGGAAGCAAAACTGTAAAAGCCATAACTTTATCCACCTCTTTTGTTGAAAAAAAAATCATGTTTTAATCAATAAACTTGAACAGAATAAAGCTACTATTGGAATTTTTCAAATCAAGCAGGATTTTGCTTGAATATGAAATCTTGATTGGGTTCAGTTGTATTGTTTATTTTGTTGGGTTTAATTTTTTTTTGGGGGGGGGATAATTTTTATGTAATTGGATACGTTTGTGTAATGTGCTATCACTGTTGTTATAGTTAGACATTCGTTTTGGGATAATATTAAATTTGTGGTTCTAGCTTGACCCATGTGACCTTTGACCTTTTGGCCTCAGATGGAGAGGACCAATCAGGCAATAGACTGGATCATTACAGCCCTTGACGACAATCAGCTTGGGTCCAAGGAGGGGCTGCCCTCCCTGAAAGAAGTCAAGCCGAGAGAAGGTAGGACCAGGATCTTCTTACACCTCATCATCAACCCCAGAGATTCATCAATGCTACTCAGTAAAACTTCTTATGATGGATTAAACTCCCCGAATCGGCCAAAATAAGTGGAAGAACTCAAAGCATACCCTTGCTCTTTAACTTTCAAGGAATATCAAGCTCCTAGTCAAGTAATAGTGACTACATTCCTCTGTTTTGCAAAATTCTTTGAAACCTCCTATTGGACTTTAAAGGATCTTAGAGAGAGAAGTAAACCCCACATAACAAGGGCTGAAAACAGACCTCTTTCTTCTTCTAATCCTCTATTAATATTTTCATCATTTGATTTTGAGGTATTTTGTGTCTTTGTATTTCTTTTTAGAGAGTGACATCTATGAGTTTGGCGAGGACCCTAAAGTCCCTACCACCCTGGAGGAGCTAGGCATAGCCTTACACCTGAAGGCTCGGTCCAGTCCTTACCCTGGCACTGCCATCAAACGGTTCCCAGTACCTGATGAGAAAGTACCATGGGAGGTCAGTTTCAATCCTATACCTTCCCAACTCCACCACTGTTATTATTATTAATCATTTCTGGTAACGAAACCAATTGTACCACTTTCATTCCTATAGGATAGTCCTGTCCCCATCTCCTGGCAGTATTCAATAAACTAATAGCAAATAGTTCCCTATACTCGTACTTGTTATAATAAATCCAAATAAATCCAATTTTTCATCCCAATCTTAAAAGAATTTCAGTGTTTGACCAACACCCAGGGATCTACACAAGGCCCCTTAAGATACATTGTGACATTGATTTGAAGGTTATAAAGTTAAAAAGAAAAGTTTTGATTTTGTGGAATTTATCTTCTTCTCACAGAAAAGTTTCCGCAGCTACAAGCCCGTCACCTACACCCACCCTAGCATCCTAGCCATGCCCCACTTTGCAGACGTGGACTTGCTCAACTTCCCTAAGCAAGAGAGACCCATGCTGAATTTCAACATGTTGGACAAGTCTGTCAACTATGACCGTCTGAGCTTCCTGGGCCACTACATTGTTGTGGATGGCATCCCACAGTAAGTCAGTTGGCCAGCAGGAACAATTCCATTACAAGTCCAATCACTAGTCCAATCACACACAAGTCCAGTCAAAGGTGACAAGAGACAAACTGTGACAAAGGAATGCCTTTTTATTCTATTTCTAAAACAAAACATTTGAAAAGAAGTTTTATTATTCTTTTCTTCACGCATCCTAATTAATTGCTTTGTTCATTTGTTTTACCCAGAAACCCCAGGGGTCGTACTGGCATGATAGGTCGTGGGTTACTGGGACGGTTTGGACCCAATCACGCCGCAGATCCAATCGTTACCAGGTAAGATAATAAACGCTGCCAGTATGTTACGTGGAGAATTCTATGCAGACGTGAAGAGATTGTGTGATAGTAAAGAAATAGTAACACTCGTTACAGTTATTGTTGACATTGATTGAATGAGATTCTGGCCAATAAAGTTTGCACAGTTTTGTTTAATAAATTACCAATTTCTTAAGGAACACTTCATACGAAAAGAACACGACAAAACACCATGTTTCAAATGTATTCTCAACTGTTACATACCACTTAACATGAACGCCCCAAACCACCTGTCTGTTTCTCCCCAGACCGCCCAAAACTGACCAATTTTTTTTGGTACTATGTTGTGGATCTAATTTTGAATGAATACAAAGTAATTCAAGTAGTAGTGCAAGTTTTGTAAGTCATTCTTTATCGTTGTTATTTTGATTTGCATTTGTGATGACTTTGTCTTGTCTTATTACAGATGGAAGAAGAACCCAGACGGCTCACAGATGGAAGATGGCGGCTTGAAGGTTTTGGAATTTGTTGCCATACAGAGGAAAGACAACCAGCAATGGGCCATCCCTGGGGTATGTAGGGGTACTAAATGGGTACAGGGAGGGGTGTATGGGGTTCATAGAGGGGTACAAAGGACATGGAGTTTATTGCCATATAGAGGAAAGACAACCAGCAATGGGCCATCCCTGGGGTATGTAGGGATACTAAATGGGTACAGGGTGGGGTGTATGGGGTTCATAGAGGGGTACAGAGGACATGGAGTTTATTGCCATACAGGGGAAAGACAACCAGCAATGGGCCATACTGGGGGTATGTAGGGGTACCAGAGGGGTACAGGGAGGGGTGTATGGGGTTCATAGAGGGGTACAGAGGACATGGAGTTTATTGCCATATAGAGGAAAGACAACCAGCAATGGGCCATACCGGGGGTATGTAGGAGTACCAGGGGTACAGGGAGGGGTGTATGGGGTTCATAGAGGGGTACAGAGGACATCAGCTGTGGCTTAAATTGGTCCTAATTGGGTACAGTGTGAGAGGTCACAGGACTTTTGGTGATTTTCGTTTTTGCTCAATCGCTATCAGGGTATGGTTGAGCCAGGGGGCGTGGTCAGTGAGACACTCAAGAGGGAGTTTGGTGAGGAAGCCATGGGATCGATGGACAAGTCACCAGAGGAGACAGCTGCAATCCAGAAGAAGATTGAAGAACTCTTTCATAATGGTGTGGAGGTAAAAAAAACTTGGATTTCTTAATAGGGCTGGGACAGTTACCTAGTAATTGATGCCCAAAACCCGGTACCCGATACCCAGTACCCAATACCCGGTATCTGATACCTGGTACCTGATACCCATTAGTTCCTGATACCTAAACCCAGTACCTGATACCCAGTACCCGACACCCAGTATCCGGTACCTGATGCCCAATGCCCGATACCCAATACCCGATATCCAATACCCGGTACCTGATACCCAATAGTTCCTGATACCTAATACCCAGTACTTGATACCCAGTACCCAGTGCCTGACACCCAGTACCCAGTACCTGATACCGTATGGTACGTGATACCCAATACCCAGTACCCGATACCGGACTGAAAATAGTAGTCACATGGTTCTGTACAATATTTTTTACCGAAAAAAGGGCAACACAGCTTTCTTTTGACCGATTGCTGGATTTGAATTGATACAGATGACCAATTTCTTGAAATATGGGATTTTTGTTTTAAGGTTTACAAGGGTTATGTGGATGATCCAAGGAATACAGACGATGCCTGGATGGAGACGGTGGCTATGAACTTCCATGATGAGGAGGGAACATCAGTGGGTCTACTGGAACTACAGGTAAGAGGTGTTTTTGGTCACTAACATCATAAATGGCAATTTCCTCCTGGTTGTAGAGTTCCATTTGGGTCACCCATTGCCATTACTGACCATATCTGCTCAAAGCATTCAATATGGAAACACCTTTCCGGTTCAAAACTAAACCAGTCGATAATGTTTTTTTTGTTGAAATTTAAAAATGCAATTTTTTTTTCACGAAAGTTGTGTAGTTTTAATGTTGAATTTTTTTTGGTCTAGATTCAGGAGATTTTCGGGGACTAATATGAGTAAATTTTTGCTTCAGGATCATTAAGTGCTGCAATATCAGGCTGGAGTTTTTCTATTCGTAATGATCCTGCACCCATAGATGAAGCCACAGCTGGAGCCTAAGCCTGGGTTTGGATAACACCTATGTCTTGTGGCTCATCATTCTGTCATTGTGTCTTGATTTAAACAGGCAGGTGATGATGCGCAGGGCGTGCGATGGCAGAGAGTCAGCTCTAAGATTCCTCTCTTTGCTAGTCACCAAGCCATGCTCAGGAAGGTAGCTGAGCTGCACAATGCTGCCTTCTAGATTTGAGTCACAGGATACAGCCTTCTGGAGCTATGGGTATCAAAGGCAATGACCGGGGCGTCGCGTCTACAACAGTAGAAGTCAGCTCCAAGATTCCTCTCTTTGCTAGTCACCAAGCCATGCTCAGGAAGGTAGCTGAGCTGCACAATGCTGCCTTCTAGACTTGAGTCACAGGATACAGCCTTCTGGAGCTAGGTATCAAAGACAATGACAGGGGCGTCGCGTCTACGACAGTAGAAGTCAGCTCCAAGATTCCTCTCTTTGCTAGTCACCAAGCCATGCTCAGGAAGGTAGCTGAGCTGCACAATGCTGCCTTCTAGACTTGAGTCACAGGATACAGCCTTCTGGAGCTAGGTATCAAAGACAATATGGTGCCCAGCAAAGCGTAGGACAAAAGCTGAGCTTCACATAAACTGCTGTCTAGCACCTAATTCCCATTTAATCAGTCTTTTACAGTAAAACGTATCCTGTAAGACTTCACAGGGTGGATTGTTCCAGAATGAATTATGCAAAACCGACAATTCTTAACGTTTCCTGCCATGTTTTTAACCTGTGGTAATTTTTGTCTGACATGATTTTGTAAACTGACAATGTTATCATTATATATTCTAATTTCCATGAAAATTTCAATGGACGCAATTATTAGCTAAATTTAAACTCAAAGAGTGGATCAGTACTAGAACAAATACAATTGTATCGTTATAACATGATTTCAAAGATATTATTATAAAACAAAATTGCTTCCGAAAGCCAAATTTCATTTATTTGTTTCAAATTGAAGTTTAAAAAGACTGTTGACATTTGATTGCAGTGACTTTGTAATTTGTTTTATTTTGAAAAGAAAAGGGTCTTCAGTTACTTGTGGTTAGTGGCAGATAACAAGTATAATGTAAGCTAGAAATGAATGTGAAATTGAAAACATGAAAGTTGATCAATCTTGCCATGATAATAAATAAGCAGAAATTTGAAGAAGAAAAACACAGTAAATGAAATGAAGTGAAGTATAATGAAAGTCATTCAAGAGATATTTTTGCCATTTGTGCATGTAGACGTAGAATTGAACATAAGTGGATGTTAAACTTGTTTCTTTGAAAAGTAACTACATTTGTGTATACACGTAGGCCTATATGGAGATATTATGTCTAATAAGATTTTATATTCTGTTGAAATTTAGTATGAAAGTCTTCAGCAAAGGAAAACAAAATGGATGTAGGTTTGACATCAATAATGCAGTGTAATCCATGTATCATATATTTTTGCAGAGGAATTTTTATCATGTTTATCTACAAAAATTTGTTTTTAACATCAATTTCAAATTATATTAAGAGTTCAAATGTAGAAAAGTTTGGTGAATGATATACAGTGTTTTGGGGACATTTACATATACTTATATATATTTTACTAATGATGTATGAATATTTAATGACCACCATCGTGAAACCAAAACAATATTTTAAAGGTTTTTCCCGCAAATCTAAATTTTTGTGAACTAACAATTCCAACAAGAAGGTTTTCATAGTCAGATTGCTGTGCATGTAGAAAATGATGGTGTTAACTAATTGAGAAAACAGGAAGAAATACACACATATCTGATAATGCCTGGCTTATTTTTTTGCAGAGCAGGGCAATCGTACTTAAAGCATTTGCTGTAGTTTTTCACTAGATTTTCATTTGCACAATCACTACTTTTAAACTAAAAGTAGTGATTACTATTATAAGTGTAATTTAATAATCATCACATTTTTAAGGGCTTACAATTTAAAAAATAGGTTGGTTGTTTTTGTTTGTTATATTGTTCATCTTTATTATACTGTAGACTGCTTGTACTTGAAATATTTAAGATTGAAATATTTATACTCTTACAACTCTAAAGCTTAAAAAAAAAGATGTTTCGATATAAGAAACTAATAGTAGTACTGCAATTTCATCCACAAAAGAGCTGATTTTTCATTGAAACCTGATGTTTTCGGTAAAGTTTTAGTCCAACTACAAGTAGCTCTTTTATGGCTGAACCAAGTTAAAAGTAGACAGTGTTAAGACAAGTGGTAGATTGGCAGAAGTGAAATATTATAGTATTGACAATTTCTTCCATTCTTTAAGAAAGACTGTAGTGAGTTTGTAATAGAAAGGAACCATCCAAATACAATTTTATAGCAAAGTGTTTTGTACATTAAATTTAATAACAGAAAACTTTTTTTCAGGAACATGAGTCCTCAAACCTCCATGTGCCTTTCATTGTATGGAGTTAGTGGTGGAATTTGAGCTGAATTAGAAGATTAACTTTCATTTTACTAGTTTCATTGAATATTATATTCTCAGAATCATAGTCCTGAAAATATTCTTTTAAATTCATTTTAGACACGTGAAACACATCTTTAACATCACTTATGTGGCAAAGCGAATTTCAAAATTGTAATGTTTTCCAAGTACAGTAATTAAAAAAAAAACATCTCTCTTTTTATTATTAGGTATGAAGGCATTGTTTATATTGTTTCATTCAAAGGATATACTACATAAGCTTTAGAATTATAATTGTAATTATTAAAATGCTTAATCATGCCAATGAAAACAATAGAGTAAACTAACATAAGAGTTTTTAAATTGTAGATTATATCATTAAACAACAATTATGTTTGAGGTATAGTGAATATTGCCCAGATTTTAAAGTTACAAAATTTGGTAATCTTGCCCAACAGTCATTTTTTTTGTTACTCAAACAGACAGAGATTGAAATACGCTTCTTATTGAAATACGCTTCTTTATCTATTATATTCAAATCACCAGTTGAGGTTCCAATACTGTCCAGATTATAAAGTTATGAAATTTAGTGATCTTGCCCAACAGTTTTATTTTTTTGCTCAAACAGACAGATTGAGATACACTCTCAAATTTCTTAGTGATTTGTAGGTAATAAATTAAAATAACTTTTTTTTAAATTGTTTAGTGATTGCTTAACTAACTCAAGGCGCAGGTAATATAATGAAAAAAAATGCACATATTAAAATACCAAGTAATAATGTAGCAGGCCATGTGGGCTTCAGGAGGCAAATTATTAAATAATTATGAGATTTAAATTAAATATGAGAGTCGTCTGTGCTTGCCTCTGTTCTCACTTGAGTATTCCAAGAATCTCTCCAAGAAAAATAGTGATATATAGGGTACCATGTAACATCATCAATGAACACTTGGCCAATTAGACTGATTGAACCAATGCACTTCAAGATCTTAATAGCACATAACAAAGAACGAAATATCAGATTTTGACTTGAATTTTAGATTATGAAAACATTCTTGGCCAGCAGCACCAGTTAGGGATATGGTTCATTCCTCCCCCTCCAAAAAAAAAAAAAAACCACCTTTGCGCTTTCCCCCTCCCCCTGTTACCATATCACTTTTATCAGTATATTAATTTTACCCCCCCCCCCCCCCAAAAAAAAATTAGCTGCCTCCATAAACTGAGACCCCCCCCCCCCATTCTTCAGTATCGACGCGTATAGCTTACTTGGCCCCGCCTATCTCTAATTCTCTAACATGAGAGCGCCACCTATTGAGTATTGGTATATAAACATTAAGGTATGTCAACAAAATGGCAGCAATCAGGAGGACAACGTGCAGGGAAAGTGCTTCAAACTGCGATCGCTTTTAGCCAAACCGGACCGAGATGGGATGTCCGGAGGTGTTTTTCAGGTAAATACATATTTGAACTTTCCTTTGGATTATTTAAACACGTGATCAGAAATTATGTTTTTATTTTTTGTGCCATTTTTCAGGACATTCATTTTTTCGACATACTGGCCATGCTTACTCCTAGAACTATGAGGCTCCGCGTGAGCGGAGCCTCATAGATGTAGAAGCCCGCAAAATTGTCTGCAGCACAAAACACTAATAAAGTACAAAAACGTCCATCAAAATTGCAGACATTTTACACAGAACCGCTGCACAGTTTGCCCCTATACTCCGTACTTTACCTCTTGACATACTCACGTATCTGGGGCACAACTAACATAGGTGGATTCTGTCGGTTTTTAGGCCAAAATGATGAAAAATATGCCCTTTCCGCACTGAGCCAACCGAACACTTGAAACGTGCACGCATATGATCGAGCGATGATTTTCGGTTCGCTCGGAGCGCGCCGCGGGGGGTACGGTACATGCACTTGTACGCATGCACATACTATCATTTCGCCTGTACCGTACCCCCTGCGGCGCGCTCCGAGCGAACCGAAAATCATCGCTCGATCATATGCGTGCACGTTTCAAGTGTTCGGTTGGCTCAGTGCGGAAAGGGCATATTTTTCATCATTTTGGCCTAAAAACCGACAGAATCCACCTATGTTAGTTGTGCCCCAGATACGTGAGTATGTCAAGAGGTAAAGTACGGAGTATAGGGGCAAACTGTGCAGCGGTTCTGTGTGAAATGTCTGCAATTTTGATGGACGTTTTTGTACTTTATTAGTGTTTTGTGCTGCAGACAATTTTGCGGGCTTCTACATCTATGAGGCTCCGCTCACGCGGAGCCTCATAGTTCTAGGAGTAGGCCATGCTGGCACTGCAGTCTGCACTCAGTAGCACTGCAACACATGTGCCACTCGATTGACTCCAATGCAAACATGTTGGATATTATTCATAGCTGTGATTGGTCCAAGCTGTACTGGGCGGAGCATTAATAGGTTGGTCGGAAAAAATTCCGTACTCGGACGTCACTTTTTTCAATTAATTTTCTAGCCCCAAAAGTTACATCTTTTATGGTTGTTCCTCCACTTTCCCTCCTCTACTCTCACCCTCTCCTTTCCTTTATTTCTATTTATTAATCAGTCAGTTACTTCATCGGGATTCGAACCTCTGACGCTTGCTTGATACACGAGACTCTTAACCGCTAGGCCGCGCACGATCGCTGTTTCAATAATCAATCTTTGGACGTATTTGAAGTATCCATCGAAATAAACTAAATATTCATGAGAAAATAAATATTCATAATGACGTATTGCACTATCATTGGCAGGCTCATGCGACGTCATGGTTGTTGATGTCACGTGTATAACGTACCGCTGTCTTTCAGCCACTACAATCAGTTTTGACCGGCTGCTTCAAGTTAGTTCTGCACGACGTATGCATCCAAAATGTGCTCTAAAAACACATTTTGAGTAAATTTTTTTCACCTTTACACAGCTTCCTGGATTTCTCTTGGTTCAAATGACAAGGTGAGGTGACAATTAATATGTTTGGCAGCAGATAAATTGACGTCCGAGTACGGAACTTTTCCCGATTGGTCTATTACTCACAGGGCACAAAGAGAGAATTATTATGCCCTGTCCGCATAATGGGGGGGGGGGGACCATTTTGTACATTTTATGACTGATTTTATGACCAGCAAGATGTTCTGCTGGAAATTCATTAGAATAAACACAGTTATGCACCATGCCCATTAACAGTGTGTTGTCGGTGCATGTTTCAGTTCAGTGCAGTTTATTGCCACAGTACCAAAATATCAATGACAATGACAATCTTAATCTGAGAATAGTAGAAAATAAAAAGTTCATAATAATAAAACATAATATATGCAAATTATATGCATGACGTCAATAGGTCTGGATCCGACCTCTTTAATTCAAAATCACAACGGTTATGTTTGCATGCGACCAGCCAAATAGCATAGGCCTGGCCACTCATTTACAATTTTGGAGGTAATGCGTTTCGATTTTTGCTGAAAGTATCTCTGGCAAGTATCACTAAAGAGAGAAATATTGCTGTTCAAAATTTACAACCTAAGCAGTTGAAATGCTTGAAAATGGCTTTCATGGAGACACTGGTGATTTTGTGTACTTTTTATAGGAAGATAAGCATCAGTTTCTTGATAATCATGTGTTGAAAGACCGCGTCCATGCACAATTGAACAGCGATATAAAAATGAACAATCATGCTGGGCGTGCAGAGGTGATCCAATCAAGGGCTTTAATAATGGGAGCTAGTTTCCGGTCCCCTCATATTAAGGGGGGGGGGGGAAACAGTCTTAAAATCCCTAGTTGCTCTGACTGGATGTGGAAGTGGGACTTGGATGAATCATCAATTTCCTGCTAACAGGCCATACTATGTCTGAAGTTACTAGGACTACTACTTGCAAACGTACAGTGCATGTTATGTACGTGTGTACTGGGGTTCAAGCACCCTGATGTTGTTGGATACACTGATAGGTTTTGGAAAGTAGCTTTCTACAAGATTATGCACAAATTATTTCACCACTTGGACTCCTAAAATGGCTGACATTGATGAGAATGTGTTCTTTCGCCAGGCTGACGTTTCAGTTTCCAAAAAGAAACTGGCAAAGTCCGTACTCAAGAGGTCTTCAAAATATCGCTTGTCGACTCGTCATCATCGCCGGGGAGGTTTGAAGAAACATTTGAAGGCACCGACATATGAAGAATGCCAGGCAAAGGTAATAGATGTGCCAGTTGTGCAAGTAGACAGCATCTGAGTGGCAATTCAAATAAAGCAGGATTTGTACAATCATCCATCTGAAGGCAATATAGACCTACCTACTGCAGACTGTCATTAATGCATCTGGTTGGAAAATAACACGTTTTTTTTTAAGCTTCCCTCAATTTTTCAGAATAGGAAGTGTATTGGATTGGATGGTTCCACACCCTCGGGGGGGGGGGGGGGGGGGGGGGGGGGGGGTGCAGAAATAAACCAATAACTAAATGTCAGTTGATTTTGTTCATTCAATATCTCAAAGTGAACAACTTATATTGCTAGGAAAATAGCACTTGAAGAAAAACAGCATTTTTTTTCGAGCTGAAACTCGGAAGTAACACAGGAAACGCATTTTTAAGAGAACTAATGACAGTGATTGAATGGCTTCTAACTACCACTCCCAGCAGAACACAATAATTTACAATAGGAAGACTGGCGACATAGGGATAGTTCATTGGTATATCTAGAGGTCCTAGGCTCGTATCCAACCTCAGTTAGTTTTCTTTTGATCAACCAGCTTAGTTTGATTTTTGTGATTTTGTTTTCAGCACAACCCATCATGGATCCGAAACCACATCTGCATGAGGGAATGTATCCAGTTCACTCCGGCTCCTGTCGATCCGGAAAGGCCGGACCCACAGTGAGTTGTAGTCAGTTATGGCCACCAGCATCGCTAGTTGGGGGGGGGGGGTGCCCCCTCCCCCTCCATTAACCATTGTTGTCGGTAAAATCCTTCTGTCAGTAAAATTGTGTGTCCATCCTCAAATGTGCCAGGATGACGATTGCTACCTATTGTCCGATTGAGATGAAATTAGATTTTTTTTTTACAAGTTAAGCTTCAAAATGGCATGACCCAAAACGTATATTTAAAAAAAAACTTCAGAATTAAGAGGTTTTATATTTTGATACAGTATTTGCTGTGCAGAGGAGAAAAATTTGCTGAATTTTGTAAATAAGTGTGACATGGCTTCTTTATCGTCCATAAAACAAGAAATTTCTTTCTTAAATTTCAGTCCAGATGATCCCAAATGCCAGTGTGGTAATCGCAAGTCAGACCACGATGACCGCTTCTGCCAAAACCCTGACACTAAGGCAAAGTGGAAGGTGGAGACCCACACCCACACCTGTACCACCAACGCCTTCGGGGAGATTGAGTTCATTGGAGCTGCTGGGGCTGGGCTGGGGCTCAAGCCCAGAAAGGCAAGCTAAGCCATATAGAAAATATTTGCTTATAGCAAAAAAACCCAGGTTATTTACACGTTACAAAGTTCAGAAAGAAATGTGAATTTTCCAATCTTATTTTTAGGTGCACAGTGAACCCTTTAAAAATTACCCCTAAAATAAGTTAATAATTTTCTGACAAACAAGTTGGTGGATATGCGAGTTAGGATAATATTGGTTTGTCAGAATTTGTCAGAATTTATCAAATCTGTAATGTTCACTTGGGAATTTATGAGATTTGTTCTAGTGCAGCACCTTAGGGAACACTCGGCTGATTTTGTGCCAAATTTCCGGATGCCACCGTTTTAAATTTTGGACTAACTTTCACAAGGGTTCAACAGCAAGCATTATTAAGGTAGTGGTACCAGTATTAAACTTAATGAACTTGAAGCTTGTCAACAAAGAGGTTTGGCAACACTGTGTGAGAAAAGTTGGGGGAAACGTCAAAGTACGCCACTATAATTCCACTATATAAGTGTCTTCCTTTCCATATACAGTATGTGCGAGTGGACCACAACATCCACCCAAATCACCTGATGCAACTACTGAACACTCAGTGGAATCTAGGCACTCCTAAGCTCCTCATCTCAGTCACGGGAGGGGCCAGAAACTTCCACATGAATACAGAACTCGAGAATGTCTTCCGAAAAGGCTTGATCAAGGCTGCTCTAAGCACTGGTGGGTTTAATATTAGGACATGGCACATTGACACTCACGAAATATCCCTTTCCATCAGCGGTCTTTATCATTTTCACCATTGAGGGCGTTCTACTGGAATCAGTCCGTCAATCGTTGTATTTTTTCTATGACAGGTACCTGGATCATCACCGGCGGTACTGACGTTGGCGTCATGAAGTACGTCGGTGATGCCATCAAGGATTATGCCCTAGTTAGTGGCATCACGGGACGGTCCGTGGTTGCCATTGGCGTTGCCTCGTGGGGTGTTATAGAACAAAGAGAGAAGCTTATAGCTGAAGAGGTGAGATGGGTTGGTCAGCGTTTTGATCTCTTTATGAGATCAAAGACTGGTGTTGCAGTTCAGACATCTGTGATGATCACAAATCTAGTCACAATTAGGGGATGTAGGGTAACAAAGGAGAGCCTTTGTTAAAGGTAAAATACAACATTTGTAAACATATTTGTTATAAAATGCTAACCCTCAGATCCATCCATTCCTGAAAATGACAGCAAGTGTTGTATATTACCTTTAGAGTTCATTGCATAGCTTGTGAGTTGACTTGGAACTTGTTGACATATGATTGACTAGTGATTGACTTTTATGATCCTTGACATGAACCTAGCTATAAAGACCTAGAAATATTTAAAACTGTAAATGCTTAAAAAGTGTTGATTTTTTTGTGTTCCAACAGGGTTGTTTTCCGGCCTACTACCGAGTAGACGCCGAGGACCAAAAAGGGGTGCTCCTAGACCCAAACCACACCCACTTCATCCTGGCAGATGATGGGACCGTGGGAGAGTTTGGAGTGAACATCAAATTCAGGGCCAGGATGGAGAGAGAAATCTCGGAGCAGGTGTACAGAAACACAAGTGAGTCCAGCCAGACCTTGCTCGGTGGAGCCAAGCTCTGCCAATTTGTCTGCAAAATACTTTTCTTTAAAAATTATTGGACCTGGCTGTAACTCGGCAATCGAGTAATACTGCAAAAAGAATCCCTAAATCAGAAGATTCCAACTGTTGTTTTGAATAAGTTTTGTGTTTCAAGCTAAAGTTTAGCTTTTTCTCAGCTTTTTCTAAGCTAACGTGTGTGTAACCATCCCATATCTCTCATCTGCCAAGCACAAACAGTTTGGGTCAAAGGAATATGGAGAACATTTGTACCACCTACCATGAGTGTGGTGTGAAGCAGCATCTAAAATTGGTTTTCAGATAAATTTATGTCCATGCACAGATCCCATAACAATAGACCATTTATAAAAACAGTTACATGAACAGATTTTGCCTGGACAATAACAAGTAGTCTTGGTGAAGAAAAACTTCTTCACCAAATAAACTGTGCTTTTTGTTATTATTTTAGATGTGTCTCTGCCAGTGGTGTGCCTGATGGTAGAGGGAGGCCCCAACACCCTAGCCACCGTCTATGAAGCCATCATGAACGGCACGCCGGCTGTCATCATCGCTGGATCGGGAAGAGCTGCAGACATTCTGGCGTTTGCCTTCCAGAGGGCGCCAGAGATAGAAAGGACTGTTAAGGACAGTGCAGGAAATTACAGGAAAGAGTGAGACATATATCCTTAGGCTATACATTCAAATTACACGGCTACGGCTAACCGTAGCACACATGATAATGGGGAAAGGATTCAGCCACATCCATAGCCAAGTTATTCAGACGTAGCCATATTCTTGGGGAATTCCATGATTCTAGATTGTCAATTCTCAGTAGAGAGGGCCTTTAGTTTTCTTTTAATTGGAGCATTCGGAAGTGAAATGCCCTTCCATTATACTAATCCTTTCCTTCAGGAAAGAGACCATGATCAGTGATTCGTTGATGGTGCGGCTGGCCGACATGTTTCGTGAGGAGTTTGGTGAGAAGGAGTTGGACATTCAACTGAATCGCATCAAGGAGATGCTGATGAGAAGGCATCTTGTGACTGTCTATGAGCTGGGAACCGGGGACATCGATGGTGCCATCCTACATGCTCTCCTCACAGGTACATCTGAAAAAAAACCTCATTTTTATGCCCACAATTATTAGTCATTACTGGGATGTAATGAAGCATTAAATAATCTGTTTATTGTTGTATTTAATCAACAGGCAACAGAGGCAGCATTCAAGATCGCTTGCAGCTAGCTCAGATATGGAACAGAGTGGACGTGGCCAAGCGAGAAATCTTCACTGAGGACTGGGAATGGAAGGTAAGCTATTGACTGGTTACTGTGTAAGTGCCATGCAATGTTTATGCTTGCCACTTGTTCTCAGCAGATTTTCTTTTGAACCGCATAAATTTGCTAGGTAACATTTTCTGCTAAGACTTTCCAACATTTTGGATAACTGTCACTAATAACTATGCAAGTGCACTCCCTACCATAACTCTAGCTATTATATCATCCCGAGTGAATCCCCTGTCAGAACCATGACATTTTTGTTCATTCCTCAATTTTTATGAACAGAAAGGCGAGTTAGACGACGCCCTTCACTATGCCCTGGTCAACAATCAGACAGACTTTGTCAAACTCTTCATGGAGAACGGAGTCAGCTTGAAAGATTACCTGACGGTCAGAGAACTCACCCACCTCTATAATGAGGTAATGCATCGACAGAGACATTGTGGTGGACTTCGGAATCCAAAAAATAAATTGTACGAAAGGGATTTTGTTGGGTATAGAACTGTTGGTTATAGCAGCATTCTAGTCAAGTTAGGCAAGTTTCTTGGCAAATCCTTAAATTTTTGTCTCGCCTGGACTTTTTGTCCAGGAACTGAGGAAAGAGACTATGCAATCACTATGTCTGAATGTATGTATGTTGTATGTATGTATGCATGTGGTATTTTGCTTAAAGTTTCAACAAATTGGTCTCATTTCAAAAGTTGAAGTCCAATTGGAAACAAACTTGGATCATAGATGCAACATGGCAACCTTCATATGATAATGATGTCGAACATATTTACAATATATTTATATTTACAATATAACACAGGTTGAGAAGAACACTTTACTGTATGAACAGCTCGACAAACACAGGGGCAAGGTGAGCTATTTTATTGCCATAGTTGTGTCTTTTAAATCTAAAGTGTTCTGATTATTGGTTGGAACATTTAGAAAATTGAATATAGTGTGACAGCCTCAATTTAACTGTAAGAAGGTTGTGCACAGAAATCGTACCATTTCGGTCTTGGGTTCACTCTCTGTCACCATCCAAAAATTGTATCGCTCCTCTTAAGTTCAGTTTTGGTAATCCTCTGGATTACTCCTCCAGGAAGTTCAATCTGATTGATGTTGGCAAAATGATCCAGGAGCTCATTATGGGCACAATGGAATTACACTCATGAGGTCTTGGTTCACATGCACTGTCAAAATTTCCATTTCTTCTGACACAAAGTTCATTTTTTATGATCCATTTGATCAGTCTTCGAGGAAGTTCACCTTGATTGACGTCGGTGGAGTGATCCAGGAACTGACCACAGACACCAATGTGCCCTTGTATCTCCATCACAAGGACAAGTTCATGCTGCCGGAGAGCGATTTTTGCAGTCCAGCGAGGGAGCTCTTCCTGTATGCAATTTTGCAGAATCGGGTCGAGATGGCGCGCATGTTCTGGGAAGAAGGCAAGGAGGCCATACCTAGCGCCCTGACTGCAAGCAAGATATTGACATCATTAGCAGCCAAGGAATCCCATCCTGACCATAGTGTTGCCATGAAGTCGCACGCTGCGTAAGTTGAAGTATAAGTGTCCCTCAGTATTTGCCTGCACAAGGGGAAAGAAAGTTCATCATTGTTTCAATTTTTTATGCTGTAAATTTTGATGTGTAGTATTTAGTGCTTAAAAATGATTCATATGATGGACTTAACTACAAACTGAATACATACAAAGAAACAGCCGTCTGTTTATTATGAGTCTCTGCCCCATGTACGCACAGGAGTTATGAAGAATTGGCCTTGGGTGTTCTGAACGAATGTTACAACGATGACAAAGACTTGACTGCCCTCCTGCTAGTCATGGAGCAAGAGAATTGGGGCAAGACCACTAGCCTGAGTCTAGCCAAACAGGGCGACAATAAGAACTTCATCGCTCACACAGGAGTCCAGAATCTACTGACGGAGATCTGGAGTGGCAAGCTGTCATACAAGAACAATTATTGGCTGGTGAGTAGACACGAAAATACAAAATCTGAATTTTTTCCTGTAATATCTAAAAGATTTGATACCTGTGCCTAGATCCCATTGGCTGGATCAAAATGAGTCCTGAGGATTTTTTTCCAATATGCAATAGAAAGAGCACGCTCTAGATTTCATTTTGTACAAATCACTGAGTTTGACTTCTAAATAAATGCTGATAATATGTGGGCAAAAATGTTGACTGTTCTTTTAGATTTCACTTTGTGTGAGACTTGTAGATTGGGCTTGTTGCTCAAAAGTAGTGTCTGGCAACTTGTCACTCGACTTGTTCGGTTGGGTCACATTTTGCTACTTCATGTAAATACCTTTCTTTGCTGTGTGAAAGTATTTGAAGTTCCATGAGACTCATCAGGAAGGTCGATTCCACTCTAAAAGTTTTGGATTGACAGCTTAAATTGCCAGTAAGTGATTGTAGTTACACATGCCCACAGACCACTACTGACTCTTGATAACAGGCTCCTGTCCAGGCTACGGTGAATAAACGTTTGTTTTTGTTGCTATCAGCTGTGGGCGTGTACCTTCCTACCTCCCCTGATTCCTTGCATCGTCAACTTCAGGGAGGATGTCATCTTGAAGTCGAGGAAGAGTGTCGACAAACAGGTCAGTCGAGACGCCAGACGAAGTAGGGACTGTCTGATGACACATAGGAAAGTGCACATGTAAACAAAGCATGACGTCATTAGGTCTCGGGCCTATTGAGTATAACTGTAACACTTGTTCCGTTGAATTGTGATCCTTTTGCAGTCAAAAACTCATGAGATAGCTGGTAGACAGAACAGGGGACAGAATGGTGGACAGAACGGGGGACAGAACGACACCTACAAGGATGTCTTGGAGTTATCTGCGCTACAAAATGCTGAGGAAAATGGAGCCCCGTATGCCAACAACGTAGAGTAGGTTGATGACGTATTCATCCAGAAATTAATAAATGGAGGCTCTCTTAGTGATTTCTTGAACTTGCTACTCACTTGCTGACATTGCACTTTGAATGAAGAAATTTACCGTACACTATATTTTACAAAAATCTGTATCCTTCCTGAGTGATTTTGGAGCAGTGTCTTTCACAAGTCCATCACAAGTCCTTCAGTCTCAAGTCAAGTCACTAGCTATTCAAATGAACTGTAACACAAGCATTCCTTTGTCATTGTTCATCCTGTTACTTGAGGTTGGACTTGGGGAAAGGGCTCGTTAAAGGACTCGTGATGGATTATAATTCGGAACAGTAATGTTGACAGTTAAAAGAACTGTCAACAAAGGGCCATGTTGCTCAGTAGGTAGAGCATCCAGGTTTGTCAGTCCATAGGTCACAGGTTTGCATCCCGCTTCAGTCAATATTCTCCCCTTATCTTGTGGAGATGGATTTTATCATTCCAGTGGCGTTGATAAAGCAGAGAATGAAGACCCAGATAAGTATCAGGAGACAGCGGACATTGACATCACCAACAGCGGCAAGAAACTGGCCTGGTGGCAACGTTTCTCTCTCTTCTACTGCGCACCTATCATCATCTTTAGACACAACGTGGTAAGTGCGCTTAAAACATTTGCATTTTCCCCGATCAACACAGCCAGGATATTGCCTATTACACATATGCACAAAAACTTAAAAAGAAATAATATCTAAATTGGATTGTTGCAAGAAATATGGCATTCACATCTTGTCTTAAAAGTTACAAAAATTCTTTTGAACTTCTCAGCCCTTGTTCATCATCTTAACACATTGATGTTTTGGGTTGTCTTTGACAGTTGTCTTACTTGGTGTTCTTGCTGTTGTTCAGCTACATCATCTTGGCTAATTTCACGCCTACCATCTCCATCTTTGAGATGGTCCTCATCGGCTGGGTGGGCTCACTCTACCTGGAGGAGTTACGACAGGTAGGAGGATACCAACAGACTAGATTAATGAAATACCAGAGCCAATTTTATCATACTTTTGACAGTGAGGGAAGATTGTATACCCTGGTTTGCTGCCTACTGTACTGTCAACTTTGGCTATCCAGCTTTAAATCAGATCGAACTGCTCATCATTTTGTTTGCAGAACAGTTTTTATGAGAACGCTTTCGACAACAGACAAAAGTCTCTTGGGAAGCGAAGACCAATGAATCTGTGGCTAAAGGTCAGAAAAGCCCATAAGCAAACCCGAAATCAGTGGATTTTTTAACTTAATTTCTTTCTTTGTTTTTGTTTTTTTGAGCAGATTGTACAAGGTGAGTCCAACAGTTGGCACAGGAATTTCTGGTTCTGGATCTCAGATTACTGGAACATGGTAGACATTGCCACCTTGGTCCTCTTTGCTGTCGGGGTAGGTCTGCGATTCTTTGATGATCACCTTGACCACGCTCGCATCATCCTAGCGTTGGACTTGGCCATCTTCTACATCCGCATCCTGCAGATGTTCGCCATCAGTAAGAATCTGGGACCCAAGTTGATCATGATTGGTAAAATGGTAAGCAAAGCTGTAACCCTCACAAATCTTTCCAAATCCACCAATGGAGAATTTACGTGGACAATTAACACGTGCTCCTCTCAAATGCCACACTACATGTTCCAGCGACAGACACACGTGCTCACATGGGCCTTATGCACGAGTTGGCCATATTGAATTGAAAGTGAGGTAAAAGCTTCATTGTTGGAACTTGCGAATAGAAATGAAAGCAAATAAATCAGCATGGGACACACTATTGCCAGACATCGTGGTCATTGTAATGCATGAGCCAAAGTCGTATAGTTGACAACTAATGACAAAGTCGTATAGTTGAGATGCAGGTGGTAATTGAATGGCTCAGTATATTTGCCTAAATCCAATTCATCAATTTAAAATCTTTTAAAAAAAATTCTGAATAGCTGGTTGACCTGGCCTTCTTCGTTGCCATCCTGTGCGTGTTTCTCATCGCCTACGGTGTAGCCTCCCAGGCGATACTCTACCCAAACAGCACAAGCTTCCAAGAGGTCATTACCGGGGTCTTCTTCAAGGCTTACTTCCAGATGGACGGAGAGTTGTTCCTGGAAGACATCGAAGGTAAACAATTTCTGTTGAAAAGAGCTATGTCAACCTTGGCCTGGTTCGGGCCATGTCCATATCACTACGGCTACAGCTGTATATAACACTCACACTCGCTGGAAGCCATTGGCTAGCCACTGCAGTCACTTCCCATAGACTCCTGTGTTATTGCCAGTTGTAGCCGAGTGATTCCGACACGGCTTTGGGTATTTTATCAGTGGAATGTAGGTACATGTATCTGTTTATTTGTTGCTCCCGTCTGTTTTAGTGTTGGGAGGGTTTTCTCCAGGACGGGTCTGGACAGCACAGGTTTTGGTTTTTAAATAGCCTATTTTTCTATTTTTGGATGAATGGCCTGCCCTGTCAACAAAAGCATTGACGGACCACCAACATAGGGTGGAATAGCTCAGTTGGTGGACCCATTCTGATGTTGAAAGGTCAAATCCTGCTGTTGTCATTTTGATTGTTCAACCTCCTTGTACACCTAGGCAGTTTGCTAGACTTTATATATTTTTTCCCCTTCATTTGTTTGCTTATTCGAAGGCAATAACGGCTGTTCTGATAACATCACCTTAATCGCTGCTGGGGCCCCACGATGCCCGCAGGATTCCACAATCGGTGTCATCCTACTGGCCATATATATGATGCTGAGTAATGTACTACTCCTGAACCTACTCATTGCTATGTTCAGGTAAGACAAGCAGCAATGAGGGACTTCATATTTTAACACCTGTTGACTGTTTTGATGTGGGCAACGGCAGTTTTAATAAACCACTTATCATCCGGTACTTTAGTTGGCCCCCTAGCAGTAGTAAAATCTTTTGAAGAGTTGATCGTAATAAATGTAAACACCGGATGTCATTGATGTGTATTCCAGCATTTGTGGGCATAGTTAATATGCAAGTCGGTATGGGCTTCGTGCACAAGTACCCCATCCATCCACTACGTATTTCGAATGTATCCAAGGTTATTGGAGGCTAGGATGGTCTCCGAGGTCTCAGAGACCATCGCAAGTTGAATTCGAATATTCAAATGTATTCATGCGCCAATGACGCCTGATGCTCATCATGTGAAGACGCTGTGGCTTATAGCTTTTGCACATTCAGGAAGTGGTGCATACTTCGCACACGAACCTATTCAGTACATGCACGCTGTGTGTCCCGTCCACAGAGGTGTTAATGGGTTTGGACTCAATGTTCTTCATTGCAGCTACACCTTCTCAGCAGTGCAAGAGAACACCGACGTCTTCTGGCGTTTCCAGCGTTACGACCTGATCAAGGAGTACTTCAATCGTCCAGCCCTTGTGCCGCCGTTTATCATCATCGCTCATATCTCCTTCCTGGTCCGCTTCCTGATCAAAAAGTTCTGTGGACGCTGCCTGAGATTCCACACAGGGAAACTGAGTAAGTGATGGCCTTTAGGACATAATTCTTATTGTATGGTAATCCTTCAGTATATGAAAAATCTACCATTAGGGAGATGTTGCCAGAGACTTGTGCACAAATAATAATCCAACTTTTGTGATACCACGGTATTTTTACTAATTGAACCTCGAGCAATCGATCTAGCCTATTTGCGACGGTAAAATTTTGCCTTTAAATAGGAGCTGAGGCTTTAATGAGACATTCATAAATACCTAAGACAGTTTACCCATTCCTATTGGTCGAGAGCCCGTCATGTGGCCGGTCTTAAACGGATGATAAAGACATGGCTAGCTGGTCTTTTCCAGTGTTACATGAAATTTTTAGCACCCAGACTCCAAGCGGTCTTAAACAGAGTGATTAAAACCTCTCAAGCACAAATTTATTCCCTTATTGAAATGCAGATTTTATTAATTTTTTTATCCCCCACAGAGCAACGTCTCTCGAAGTCGAGAGCCAAGCAGTTAGTTTTGTGGGAAGCCATGCACAGTAATCAGTACATTGCTAAGGAGAAGATCCGTCTGCAGAGTGACATCAGTGAACAGGTCCGAACCACTGGGGAGAGGTGAGCTAATGGTTCTGAAACCTTGGCCATCTTGGTATTGACCCCATTGCACCACATGTTAAACTCTTGATGGATCATGATGTAATGGGTGCCTGACTATGGAAAAATGTTTGCATAAATTTGAAGATTAACCTTGGTTTCAGTGGTACTTATTAATATCTGCATCAAGCTTTTCCTTGGTAATGTTTCTCCCAAAATACTCTTTTTTGTGATTCCTGCTACCACTTCAAAATATTCTTTTGAACTGAATGGGACACAGTAGTACAAATTATCACAATTTCTCTGGTAACAGTTTGTCGAAATCCCTTTTTCCATGTAAACAACAATCACTTAATGACACTTCTTCCATTCTTCCAGGGTTGAGGACATCCTTGGTAAAATGGAGGAACTGTTTGCTGGAGAAAAGGCCCTGGAGGATAGACTCAACAGACAGGAAGATGAGGTATGATCTTGATGTTGTAGGATACACTTTCTTCAATGTTCAGCATGGGAATACTATATCTTCCATTAAGCTAGATTGAATTTGTGTCCTAAGGCTTACCCTTGTGACCTTTTGACCTCAGATGAAGAGGACCAATCAGGCATTAGACTGGATCGTTGCATTCCTGAAGGACAATCAGCTGGGATCCAAGGAGGGGCCGTCCTCCCTGAAAGAAGTCAAGCCAAGAGAAGGTAGGACCAGGATCTTCTTACTCCTCATCATCAACCCCAGAGATTCGTCAATGCTACTTAGTAAAATTTCTTATGATGGATTAAACTCCAAAATTCTGAAATCTGTGCAAGAACTCAAAGCACATCCTTTGCTCTCTAACATTCAAGGGTCGTCAAGCTGCTACTCAAGTAATAGTGACTACATTCCTCTATTTTGCAAAATTTGTTGAAACCTCCTGCTGGATTTTGAGGGCTCTGAGAGAGAGAAATAAACCCCAAATAACAAGGGCTGAAATCAGACCTCCTTCTTCAAGGCATCTTTCATTAATATTTTCACCATTTGATTTTAAAATGTATTTTTAATATCTTTGTATTCATTTTCAGAGAGTGACTTTTATGAGTTTGGCGAGGAACGTGAAGTCCCTACTACTCTGGAGGAGTGTACGCACTTGTAGGAAATGACTGTGTTCACTAATTGAGAAAACAGAAAGAAAATAGTTCAGAATTAAGACTAGTTAAATCACACAGCCCAAAATTTTGAGACACATCTGATAATGCCGGGCTTGTTTTTGCAGAGCATTTGTTGTCGTGTTTCACTAGTTTGTCATTTGCACAATCACCACTATAAGCAGTGGAGAGCCGTGGCCTCGTGGTCTGGAGCATTGAATTCGTGGTCTGCAGGTAATTCTGCAGGTTGTGGGTTCGAGTCCAGCCTGCGGCTATGGTGCTCGTACCCTTGGGCAAGGCACTTCTCCCCACCCAGGAGTAAATGGGTACCTGTGAGGGCCGAGGTGGTAATTGTGATTGATTTCTGCTTTGTGCTGAAATGGCAGCATCGAGCTGTATACTCCCCAGGGAGCTGAGATTGTCTTTGGAATGTTTCATTGGCCCAATGAGCAGGGTAATAATGATGTAGCGCCTTGAGCACCAATAATGGTGGCTGTGTGTGCTTGTAAATACACATTATTATGATTATTATAAGTGTAATTAATCATGTTTTTTCCTTTTTGTAACCATTTATTATTCCATTATACTTCATAATTCCTTATCTTGCAAATTAACTTTCTATTCAGTGAATCAAAGTTCAATCTTACTTAATTCCAGTGTGTGCAATTTGTTTCATTATGTTTTGTCAGTTTGGCTGGACCATTAGTTTGCCTATTTTTGTTTTATATATTTGGACTGTATTGTTGTGTATATTTTAAATGCTTTCATATTTAAATATTTGTGCAATTTGGCCTGAAGGCCACAAGTTGAATGAAAAACCAATATAAATAAATAAATACGAAGCATTCCTTCATTCTATTTCCAAAATATAGTGTTTTGATTGGTCTTTGCTGCCAATTTATAGTTTTCTTGGAGATTTTGGTCTGGATTAAAATTGCCAGTAACAAGTCCAGTCATTTCTTCCAAATTATGTAACAATGCTTTATTGATGGATTTAGAGTCAAAAAGAGTTGCATCATCTGCGTATATAGAGATGCGAAGAGTTGCCTTGTCTGGTAACTGTACCCCATCAACCTTGTCTAAGCCCACATTTCAGTGTGAAAACTTCAGACATAATTTATAGCTGTTATTAATAACTGTCTCCAAAATTAAACTTTTTGAGTTTTTTTTAGCAAGAAGCTTATTCTAAGGTGTCAAAAGGCTTTTCGTAGTCTGAGAAAAGAAATTGCTTTATTGGTATTCATTTCTTGACTAAAATTAGTAATATCATCGATTAACCTAATACCTTTTTCGATAGATCTGCATTTGATGTAGCTAGACTGGTCATTCTTGATGTCTCCTATTACACCCGACAGTCAATTTGCCAAAGCTTTAGCAGCTATTTGCAATGTTTAGGAAGCTGATGGGTCTCCAGTTTTTTTTCAGGACGGTTAGCTCACCTTTTTTTATACAGAATTGATATTTTTAAAGGTTACAAAAGCACACCAAAGTCTTCCGAAATAGCCTGAAACACTGCTTTCTGAAAAGAAAGTAACTTTTAAAGAATATTTTTAAAAATATATTTTTTATATTATTAGGCATGAAGGCATTGCTTATACCCATACATGTATATATTAATATTTCTATCAAACGTTATATACAAATTATATACTATATAATTATAATTGTAATTATTGAAATGCTTAATAATGCCAATGAAAACAATAGAGTAAGCTAACAACATCAATTGTAGATTATATCTGTTCTTTTTCCCGAGTTATAGCGGTACTGAGCTCTAAAAAAACATCCATTTTACAGCTCCCTGGTCATAGAGAATACTGCTCGATTCAAATTACAAAGTCATGGATTTTAATAATCTTTCCCACATATTGATTTATTTTTTGCTCAAACACAGAGATTGAAATTCTCCCAAATGTGTCTTATTCAAAAGCAACTTTTGAAAAATGATAACAAAACTCAGTCTGACATACTGAGTTCAGACCCTGCATTTTTATTTCCCGATTTGTTGGATCAAAATTGAAGTTACATCATATTTTTTTACATTTAATAAACAAATATGCATAAACATCAAATAGTTATATAGTACACAGATGCAAAGAGGAATCAATAAAGATGGGATTATAAGAGTTGTGGTTTCTTGCCTCTTTCCTCACTGGAGTATGTCTTAATTATCTCAAAACAGATAACCAATTGAAACACTTGTATAGCATTGTGGCCGGCCAGACCCAGTGACTGGGGAACTATTAACTCCCTTTTTTCAAATTGTGAAGGCTTTGGTGGGCTAGTTTCACTCCACCACCCCTGCAAAAGGACTCAAGTCCATCAATATTCCAATATCTCAATCGTATTTGTTTTACAGAGAAAAAACTATTCCCCCCCCCCCCCCCCATTGGAGACCACCCGGTTACCACGTGGCCCCGCCCATATCTCAAATTCTCAATCATGAGAGCGCCACCTATTGGCCAAATAAGGTGTTGTGTCAACAAAATGGCAGCAATCAGGGGAATGAATGCAGGGAAAGTGCTTCAAACCGCGATCGCTTTTCGCCAAACCGGACCGAGATGGAATCTTCTGAGGTGTTTTGCAGGTACTTTGACGTTCAGGGTTTCCGTTGAGTATTTGAAATGCATGATCAGAAAACTTGTTTTATTTTTAGTGCCATTTGATATTTCAGGCTCTGACCGCCGCCCACACACAGCTGCCAGGTCCAAACATAGCAAGTACTAAGTAGGCCTGGGCCTAACAGAAGCTGTACCACTACTCCCACCAGAACAGTCATTATTGGAAAGATTCCCTTATCTGGCCATCAGTAATTTTTCCCTTAAATGTCCTTTCAACCATCAGAAAGTGATACTGATAATATGTCCTAAAAAGTCAAAATTAGCAGGGACAAATGTTGAATTTTTACTGACACTGAAAGTGACAGTGACTGAGAAAACACTTAGACATTTTCAGACCAGTCCCATAGGGTTTGTGCACAGGGTGACAAGTGATGGCCAGATATGGGAATCTTTCCTCATTATTTAGCATTCAGACTAGATGCAACTTGTACGATGTCTGTTGTGGAATGTTAGCATATGAAAAGAATATCTTGATAAGCACATAAAAAGTAGGTTCTAAGAAGTTCTTTGAAGTAAAGTCTGAGATATCCTACAGAATCGACCGATAGTGCAACGCGATCGATCGATTGCACAGATCAACCAATAGCGCCCAACATGTTTAACATAATAAACGAATTGGAGTTTTACAATGACAACATTGAAGAAACCATTTTTATTTTTAATGACTTGAACTTTTTGTTTCTTTTTTTATTTTCAGTGTCTGCCCAACAAAAGGTGAGATATTTTTGCATTAGTGCTCGGATGTACAGAATGCTTTGCCCAAATTTGTCCAATCATTGCCATGTCAATGTTTGTGCTTGAAGTCTCACAGCACTTTACCAGCTGAGAAGATCACTTCAAAATTTATAATACATCATAACACAGATAATTTTCCGATTAGGCCATCAAAAGTGAGCAATTTTGTTTGCAGCACTGAAGATAAGAGTTACTGCGCTGATATCTTAACAGCAACAATTTCTTATGGGCCTGTATCTCCCTGAGCCCATGGGACTATCATTGATATCCATTGTTGTTTGGCTGAAAGGGTCCAGTCTTACTGGCTACCCTTTGTCAAGAATACTGTTGATGGACATTTGTCATGGTCTTATCTTCAGGCCTCCATGACGCCCATCGGTTTCGTCGGTCTGGGCAACATGGGAGGTCACATGGCCAAGAACCTCCTGAAGCAAGGCTACCCGCTTGTCATTCATGACGTTTACCCAGAAGCCATCACTGAGCTGCAGGATCTTGGGGCCTCGGTCGCTGATTCGGCTGCTGATGTCGCTGAGAAGACTGACCGCATCGTGACAATGCTCCCGTCAAGTCCAAACGTGATTGAGGCCTACAACAGCGCAACTGGCATTCTCTCGTGAGTATGGTACACAGGTTATGCTACTTGAGTATTCATTGAATCAGAGTCCTTGAATTTTGCAATACAAGTTTTTAGAATCAGCAGTATTTGTTTGGATTTTATTAAATCTCCCCAAAGCGCCCTCTATTGATAAGAAAACATAATCTTTGTGACCTTATACCAGAAATAAATATTTTAGTTGAAAATTCTCAACCATGCCTTAATAATTAAATTCAACACATTTTTTTCTCTTTTTCCCCCCAGAACTGTAAGGAAAGGGGCTCTCCTCATAGACAGCAGCACCATCGATCCGTCCGTAGCTAAAGAGGTTGCGGCTCAAGCAGAGAAGAAAGGAGCCGTTTACATGGACGCACCGGTGTCGGGAGGTAAGTCAATACACGAAGGCTGAGGGCTCTTGTGCATGCACGGTTGAGGGCGCTTTACAGCCAACACACAGGAGTTGGTGAGGCAGGCCCTTTAACCCTCATTGTTTTGTGTAATTTAGCTCGTGTCAGTTGGACATTCCAATGCACTCCAACAGACATGTATTGAGGCAGCTTTGACTTCCCAGCCAAGTGAGAATAAAATTCTCCTCACAATGCTGTTTGATGCACTTTGATCGGACATTCCGTTGACAAGTTGTGGCTGCTTAAACTTTGAACTTATCAACATGTCAAAAAAGTAAAACACTGAAAAATTTTTTTTAAAAAGGCCTTTAAATATTCGATTTTTGTAGTCGTGAAAAAGATTATGCCAATCGTTTTTCCTTAAAAACACTTTTATTCCACAATTTTTTAGTACAGTTTCTTCAAACTATGTGTAGTAGACATATCAAAGATTACAAATATCAATAAATTTAAAGATAAAACAAAATCACCCCATTCGTTTTTTTTTTGGGGGGGGGCAGTTTTCTCCACTTCGGCCTGTGATAGGGCTTGCCAGTTTTTTGCCATAACCACGTTCATCCTTTTTAATGAGGGGTTGAAAACATTTTGTTTGTTTGTAGGTGTGAACGCGGCACGAGATGCTTTGTTGACGTTTATGGTGGGAGGCAAGCCTGAGGAGTTTGGTGCAGCTAAGGAGTTGCTACAGTGCATGGGGAAGAACGTGGTCAACACAGGACCTGTAGGAACGGGACAGGTAAGGCAAGATTGGCAAAACATATATCCCAGCAAAACACATTAATTGGGGAGGGGGTGGGGTTGTGGATTCATTATATGCATCATTATTCAAATTTAAGATCCCAAAAATTTAGAGATGCATATATTATAAAATGTCCAATTTTTTTTGCAGGCTGCAAAAATCTGCAACAACATGATGTTGGGGATCACAATGATTGGGACCTCAGAAACGATGAATCTTGGAATCAGGTGAGAATTCTGAGAATGAAGGATGTGTCCAAGGAAGGATCAGCCCTGAACATGAATGAATAAGGCTTCGCATGAACAGTGCACCACGTATTTGCTGTAAGGAGGTTGTGCCACAAAGACAAAAACTTTTGGCATTGTATTCCGTGAGAATAGAGAAAATAGACTCATTGCCTCACTATGGAACTCTTGTATCTTGTTTTGCAGTTGATTTTGATCCGTCCCAGTTCAAGTGTAACATCAATACTTATCTTCCTACTTGAAGTAATTTCTTTTTATGTTTCCAGTTGTAGCCCTTCTTTGTGTACCCCTCACCTTGAGTGGTCCTTGTGATGGCCTTGTGATGGGCGGTTCTCATTAAAAAAAAGAAAGGCTTTTTGGCGTAACAAAATTTAGACTGCATCAGAAACACTATGAATATACAAAGCCAAGTTAATCAAAATGACTTGGGGGGATTGTTATTTCAAATTTGTTAAAATGACTTGATTTTAGTATTCTAATTCATTTCTCAGAAAATATTATTTTCCAGAAGTGCTCTTTTTTGTGAATTTATTTGCTGAATGTTGGATTTCTAAATGAAACTTATTTAATTTCACATTAAGTAATATAAATTGTAAGTGACGTCTGTCATGACCCAGTATGGTCCATCAGGCTGGTGTTTATCTCCAGTTTCCTTGGCATGAAACAACTGAGGATAATTCTATTTCCCCCCCCCCCCCTCCTGGATGGGATGCCAGTCCATCGCAGGTTACTCCCCAGCTAATGCCATTACCTTGTATACTCCTGGGAGAAGAGGGGCAAGTGGGGTGAAGTGGCTTGCCCAAGGACACAACATATGGCCAGCAGCTGGATTCGAACCCCTGACCCTCTGATCATGAGTCACAAACTTTAACCACTTGGCCGCACTTCCCCACATTCACATTACATTTTCTTAAATTTATTTAATCATTTCTTTTTTATTTTCATTTTTCCTAAATCATTAACAGGTTAGGCTTGGAGCCCAAGATGTTAGCCCAGATTCTGAACACCAGCAGTGGGCGTAGCTGGTCCAGTGATACCTATAACCCAGTCCCTGGGGTGATGGAGGGCGTACCGTCGGCCAATCAATACAAGGGAGGATTCAGCACGGGGCTCATGACCAAGGTAGTTAAGGATTTTTTTTTTAAGGATCATTTTTCCTTAGAACTCTCAAAAGTGCACGTTTTTCCTTAGGATTTTTGTAACGTTTTTGCTTGTCCTTTTTGGTCAGTTCATTGTCCTATTTGTGCCTATCTCACTGACTGACGAATTTACTGACTGACTGACTCCCCGACCAGCACTCAATTGTGTGCCGGGCAGTGCTATTGTATAGGATTACCCTGTAATGCCAATGAATGGGCTAAATCCAGCCCATTGTGTACACAGATACATGAAAAGACTTCCAGTGAATAGCCATGAAGTTGAATAGAATTTGGTGGGCTTGTCTTGTCCTGCTCCTCAAATCTTTTCAAAAAGTCGCAGTGTTTTCCTTAAAAATGCTCCAAAATGTCACAATTTTAATCCATATAACGGGAGGCTTTTGAGACGTTTGGTGGCAGCAACCAAACTGGTCCTTTTTTGCTTGTATCATTTTTGGTATTATTGTTTGCATCATTTTGAACATGCACAAAATAAACATGACGTAAAATTTGAAATGAACCCTTGAAAATCACCGGTGTCTCAAAGGTTTCCTATGCTGAAGGAATGGGTGACAGGAGGCAAAGCTGCCTGCCTGTTTGAGCTGTACATGTATATTTATTCTCTAATGTATCTGTAAAAGCACAGTGCTTGGATGTACAGGGAAACTAATGGATTAAACTGACTTTCCGACACATTTTACAGGACCTTGGCCTAGCGCAGAATGCCGCCACTAACACCAAGAGCCCGACGCCGCTGGGCTCCCTAGCTCATCAGATCTACAGAATCATGTGCAGCAAGGGATACAGTCTCAAGGATTTCTCATCAGCGTTTCAGTATCTTAAAGAAGAATGAGACGTAAGATTTATTGACGTCATCCCTGTACATTGAAAACAAACTGTGGTGACACACTTTGTATTTATACGCAGATGCCCCTACAAAACAATTGTGCATTTTGAAGAAAACTTTTCTTTGAATAACCGTTTCTAGTTGGTAATCTGTGTCCATGTTTCAAACACCTAGTTCTGTTTGTTGTCGTCAGAATTGACCCAGTAGCAAAAATAAAATAAATGTGGGGTGGGGAGGCGAGTCCAGAAGGCCATCGTTGTCAGACTAAGGAGAATGAAATAGCATTAGGAAAAATTACAAAACTGGTTCGGTTTTCAATTTTTAAAAAAGCAGTAAATTTTTTTGAAAGGATGCTGTGCTTTCATATAGCATATGTAGCAACATATGTGTCTTACTTGGAGAGAGTAGATCATTCTTTCAAAATTCCACTCAGGTGTTTGGAACATGGAGCTTTGTATTATCGCAACAGGGTTTGACTTGTACAGAAAAAAAAAACAGATCATGAAGTCAATCTTTGGTGCCAAGTCTTCTTTTTTAATCATGTCAAGAACGTGGATCAAATCTGCTGTATTTCTTTAGCTTACAAGCCAAAAGGTTGTGATCAGGAAGCAAGTTTGAGTGTTGAATTATAGTCAACCACTTGTTATTTTGCATACACTTTGGGTATGTTTGTACATGGACATGAAAAAGGTACAGAAACTAAACACTAACTTTTTATTGTTAATTTAGTTACTTTTTAGAAGTATTACATTCATTGAACTGGATCACTTATGTGATGTAGCACAACCTGTATCTGTATTTTTTTTTCTGGGATACTTTCGGTATCCTAAAAAAAACCTCCACTTTGCAGTAACCAATTTTGATGAAAAGAGGAAGGTCAACCCCTTGCAATTTGTTATTTGTCAGAAATATCAAGTTTTGCCCAATTTTCATGATTTTGATGAAGACAGCAAGGTTAACCCTTTACAAATGTTAATTTGTCAGAAATATCAAATTTTTCCCAATTTTGATGAAAACAGCAAGGTTAACCCCTTACAAATGTTAATTTGTCAGAATTATCAAATTTTGCCCAATTTTAATGAAAACAGCAAGGCTAACCGCTTACGAATGTTAATTTGTCAGAAATATCAAATTTTGCCCAATTTTGATGAAAACGGCAAGGCTAACCCCTTACACATTCTAATTTATCAGAAAAATCAACTTTTGCCCAATTTGGATGAAAACAGCAAGGCTAACCCCTACAAACGTTAATTTGTCAGTAATACCAACTTTTGCCCAATTTTGATGAAAACAGCAAGGCTAACCCCTTAGAAATGTTAATTTGACAGGAATATCACATTTTGCCCAATTTTGATGAAAACAGCAAGGTTAAGCCCTTTTAAGTGTTAATTTGTCACAAAAATCAACTTTTGCCCAATATTGAAGAAAACAGCAAGGTTAACCCCTTACGCATTCTAATTTGTCAGAAAAAATCAAATTTTGCCCAATTTTGATGAAAACAGCAAGGTTAACCCCTTACAAATGTTAATTGGACAGAAATTTCACATTTTGCCACATTTTGATGAAAACAGCAAGGTTAACCCCCTTACAAATGATAATTTGACAGAAATATCAAATTTTGCCACATTTTGATGAAAACAGCAAGGTTAACCCCTTACAAATGTTAATTTGACAGAAATTTCACATTTTGCCACATTTTGATGAAAACAGCAAGGTTAACCCCTTACAAATGTTAATTTGACAGAAATATCAAATTTTGCCACATTTTGATGAAAACAGCAAGGTTAACCCCTTACAAATGTTAATTTGACAGAAATATCACATTTTGCCACATTTTGATGAAAACAGCAAGGTTAACCCCTTACAAATGTTAATTTGTCAGAAATATCACATTTTGCCCAATTTTGATGAAAACAGCAAGGTTAAGCCCTTACAAGTGTTAATTTGTCACAAAAATAAACTTTTGCCCAATTTTGATGAAAATAGCAAGGTTAAGCCCTTACAAGTGTTAATTTGACAGAAATATCACATTTCACCAAATTTTGATGAAAACAGCAAGATTAACCTCTTGCACATTCTAATTAGTCGGATAAATTAACTTTTGCCAAATTTGGATGAAAATAGCCAGGTTAACCCCTTACAAGTGTATTGTTTTCCAGAAAAATTAAACCAATTTCATTTAGCTAGTATCACAGTTATACATACATCAATTTTTTAGGTTAGTTTCATAACTATAGCTATATTTTAACAAGATATTTCTGAAATGGCTGTCTTGGTAAAGACATGTACGCAGCTTGAGTAATATACAGGGATTTATTGGACTGTAATATACCGGTAGCACCCAAAATTGCTCCAAATTGACCTGACTAACACCAACTGGGGATTACGTCTGGCCACCATCAAAGGAAAAATGTAGAGAAACACCACTAAAAACAGTGCATACATACTAGATCGGCAATTCTGGAATTTCTAGCTGTAGTGCGGTACCTTTGTAATTGTATCAACAGTTCATGCCACTTTGTGAACAAGAACATACTTGATTAATTTCACCATGAAATATGTGAATATTCAAATGCTGATGAAAATTCCCACTTTTGATGGTATACGAATTTATTCACAGTTAAGGACAAGGTGTTTAAAGACTGCAGTATAAACCTGTTAAAATCTGTCTTTTTAAACCCTCAATTAAAAATTAGCAGAGAAATAGCAGAATTGCCTTGTGTAAATGTTTGTCCAATTCTTAACGTTCCACCCTTTTTTAAAGTTTAATCTGACAACTGTGATAAATAAAATTGAAAGTTTAAAACAACTTCAGGTGTATTAAGCCATTATACAACACATTTCTTTGCTATGGATTCTCACTGTGAACAACATTTGATGCTGTCCATGTTCATGATAATTCTCCACATTTTACACACAATTACCAAATATGTGTAGTTTGAGAAAGTCTTTTTATATTTGCTAAATGGCTCCAATAATGTATAATAGAAATATTATTTACTCTCTTATCTGGAATTTTCCCAAATCTTTACAAACAAGTCTTAATGATTACATATCCAAGTGTTCAATGGATACAAATCTCATGTCAAAATGAAGCTCCAATTATTTTAATGGAGCATTAATGCTTCTTTAATATTTGTTGCCAATCATGTCAAAGTATTCTTTAATTTGTGAATAACACCACATTCTCCTATAAAACAATAATTGTTCTCCTCTGATTATTGGTTTTCATATTAACGTGCTGTTTATGAAAAGCAGTTGTTTAAATCCAGCAAAAAGTTCCTATAAAGGACGTAGCTTTACATGTACATGTCCCACAGATATTCAGGTTTTTTGTTAAACAATCAAAGCTATCATTGTTGACATTTGACGACACTGACAAGAACACAGCATATTGCCCACCAGTCGTACAATATTTTACATTGCCCAATGTGTTTTATAACACAAAACAATGTACAAATAATCTTCACAAATTTTCACTTTCTATCAGTTTTCAGCTACAAAAGCCGATGTAAAAAAAAACAGTAGTTGTATTAAACACTTGCTTTGAAAATATTCTATTGAGCAAAGTGTTTAGTATAAGCCTCAGTGAAACCACAACCTAGTCTCACAATTTTTTGGCAAGTCTTTACGAGAATAATTTGCAACAAAAACACTTCAAACACCTAAACCACAAAAAAGAACTAATTCTTTCATTTAAACCATTAAAATAAATTATGAAACCATTTTTGTAGCATTTCTTCTGATAAATAATTAAAACCATTCCTCTTGATTTCTACACAAAGCAAAACAATTCAAGAAAAAAAATGCAAAATTTCAGAATATCAACAGAAAAGACAAAAATCGTAGGGTGTGCTTTTACAGGTAGTACATGAATCGGGTACCCGACTGAAAAAAAAAGTTACACAGTAAGTGTAAAGAAACCAGACCCCAAACTTCAAATCTCTGAAGTTACTGTTCATGTTGTTAACAAAGATCAGCAAGATAACACTACCACATCTTTGTGTCAACACAGCAAGACACAAGTGTGAACAGGGAGCTTAAAGCTCAAACAAGAAAAACATATTGTCTTCCCATGTAGCCTGGTTTTCATTTTTATAATTCCCCAAAAAATCACATTCAAAAGCTTTCCTTTTCCTTGCCTGAGAACTTACTAAGTAATTTGTAAAGTTGGTTTCAGGTACCCGATTCCATAATCTGGAACCTGGCATCAATTGCTGGGTACCCGGTTCCAATGCACAGCCCTAGAAAAAAAATGGGGGGGGGGGGGAATTGGGGGGAAGTGTTTCTTCTAAGTATAACCTGTTCCGTGTTGCATACCTTTACGTTTTCCTTTAATAACCAAACATGTAGTATTCAGGATCCATTGCATGGATTATTTTTTCAAAAATCTTATTCATCTTCTCTTAAAAAAATTATTTTTTGGATTTATTATAATGAGAAAAGTATCTTTCAAGAAATTTAGAACTGATGGCATTTAATGCTGGCGGCAATGAAAGCTTGAGAGGCTGAAACACTGCAAGCTTGTTTAATTTCCAAGTCTCATGAAGTATTTCAAATTTTCTTTTAAAAGTTCCTTTTATGACCAAAAAAAAGGACAACATGTTTGCTTTGATTCAACACCAAAACACAAACATCTGTGTATCATAAATCAATATTTAATATAATAACTTATTGAAATCTGAATAAACAAGTCTCAAAAAAATGTACAAAGTATCACAATCACATAATAAATCTGCATCCTACCGTTCTATCAGCTTGCACTTTCCCCCTGTATATCCTCTACCTCTGTCTCATCCATCTCCCCACCGTGTGTATCTGAGGGTGCCTCACCGTGTGTGTCAGCAGGTGTGTTGTCGCTTTCGTCATCCTGTGTGGCTGCCCCCTCCTGCACATCCCCACCGTCTTGTGCTGTGCCTTCTGTCTGGGTGTTTGGTTTTGGGACAGATGAGGGCAGACTGGAAGAGGTTGAAGCAACGTCAGAATCCGATTGGCTGCCTCCTTCACTGGTACTGCTGCGCCGTGGTGTGCTTTCTAAACCTGCAAGGTATGAAAAGAATGGTAACACGTAAATTTATTTGCAGGAAAGCAGTATTACATTAACAATTATTTTGTGTAGGCACAAAATTCGTTCACAAAATATTTGGGAAAGAACTGTGCATGAGTTTTGATACTTGTATGATACTAGTATGGATCCAAAATCATTAATCCTTAAATAAAGAGGAAATGGGGGAGGATGCAAAAAGAGGACATTTAGAGAAACATGAAGCATTTAAGAAAGAGGACTTGAAAAGAGACACTAAAGTGAAAAGGAAACAAGAGTACAGCAAGGATCTCAGGTAAAAGATTTTGGATGGAATAAAGCAGTAGAAATTGAAATGATTCAATTGGAAAAGGTCTCACCTCGGCTAGGAGAGCCTTGTCTTGGAGACGGAGATGCTACCGGAAGCTGGGGTGCCTGAGGCCGGACCTTCTTAGATGGATTGAAGACGCCGCAGTAAGCACACTTGAAGGCTGAAATGATACACACAAAGACCGTCAATACGATAGTAGATGCATTTCATATGAGTCATATTATACATTTGAGGTCCACTTTTTCCTGTCCTTGCCACATTTGACATCTATAATTGTATCATCCTGATGCACTCCTTAATGCAGTCGTCCTCCAAGAGTGATAATGAATAGCAAACTACCTAGCTTGGAAAAAAATTTAAAATTGTTTGAAGTCATTCTTTATGACACTTGAGTGGCAAATTACAAAGTACCAAGGTAACAGGGACAGGAAAAATGTCGCACTATGGATCCTAAATTTATTGAATGACGCATTTGCATCTGATACACAATTACTTTTTCTGGAACTGAATTAGTTTCTGCATATTATATGAATGAAGAACTTGAGCAAGATGGTACAGATACCTTGACTGTTTTTACTTTATTAGTAAAAGTAGTTTGAAAAAAAGTACGGATCTGAAAACCTTTGAAAAAAATGTTAGTAAACTACTTGTGGAAAAATGGAAAAGTATTTGAGGCCAGAAAGTTTGAAAACAGAAGAAGTATGGAAAAAAATGGGGAAAAATATTTATTCATATTTCATACTCTGGAATAAATAAAAAATACATTACAAACAATTAAAACTGTTCAGGACAAACATTTTTAGCAACCTGTCACATTTTCAAGCAAAACGGGAAAAAACAATTGGGCTTACCAAGATATTCAAATTCTTCTTGTAGTGCCATGCCGTTATGGGAGTAGCAATGCCTACAGATCAGGGCATAGCGACTGGATGGGCCATCACCAACTAAGAAGTCAACTAACTTGTCTACTGTGCCTCGCTCTCTGGGCAGGATGGGACGAGGCGGTTGGGGTCCTGAGAAATGTGGAAAGAAGAAAGTAAGGTGTTTTTATTTCTTAGAGTTGGGAGAGAATCATAGCTTGGTGATTTGGGTTCATGGTGTGGTTGGTGGGTTCCAGGTTCGATTCCTGCTTAATAAGCTTTGTGTGGTTGGCTTCCAGGGTCAGGGGTTCAAATGCTACCTTAAATGTGGAGTTTCTAAAACAGACAACAGGAAATATCGTGTAACTACCCATATGTTTGAGCTTTTTCGACTTGGATAAACTCGGTGGTTTATATTTACTTATAAGACACTTATCCCAAATGAGGATTAATCCATACTAACATTTATTACAGCCAAAAAGCTTTCATTATCATTGTCATAAGAGTTGTCGTTTTCACTGGATCTTCACATTTTCTCCACAAAATCAGATATCCTGATACTTACTCATCATTAGTTGCTGTTGCGGGGTGAGTTTGGGTGCCAGGCTGGGTGAGGCCATCTGCTGGGCTCTCTGCTGGGCTCTCTGCTGGGGTCCCTGTGGGGGTGTGTTGGGGGTTCTGGTACCCCTGGCTGTCATGGGTCTTTGGCGAAGTTTAGGCACTGCAAAAGGAATTGTCAGAATCATTCGTTGTGAATGCGACAGATTGCACATGCAGGACTGAGAGGGTTAGGGTAAACAAGCAACTTGGGATCCACATAAAATTCAATACTATTTTTCATCCTTCACTGACATATTTTTATTTAGTTTTTAGCACCATACTGAGCGTTATGTCAGCCGAGCCCATGAAATCATTTTTTCAATAGCATGTGCATTTTTATCGTTTGCTATGTGTTACCATTCAGTACAAGAACCATTCAGTTTTATGCAAATGGATCTGAGAATGAGATAAGGATATTTCAGAAGTTCCTGGATGTCTGCGTCAACCTATATAACAGTTAGAAAGAGTCAGAGGGGTAAACCTTTCATGGAGCTTATCCTACCTGGTGCTTGGCCAGGTTTAGGGCCGGCCACTGCCAACACTGGCTGAAGGGGCGGAGGGGAGGAACTGGGGTCAAATCGATCCAGGATCTCCTTGGCTTTCTTGTAACTCTCCTTGTCCTTGACTTCCTCCAGCTGAAAACCATCAGAATCACATCAAAATAAAACCTTTATAAACTGGCAATTGTAATCTCATAGCAGGTTTAAGATTGTTTGAGTGACGTACTGAGTGTATTTGACTATGCTCTAAAACTACAAAGCAAAGCAGTACTTCACTGGAAGGCCACAACCTAAATTTGGAAATAAATTCTGAACTTTTTTTATCAAGTCTTTATGCTTCTTTTTGAAATACAAACATTATGTCGTAACAAGAATTCATTTTTTGGTGTTGGAAATGGCATGATGACGGCACAACATTTTCTTCTGTGAATTATCAGATCATGATGCAAGAACAAGGATGTTCAAAAGTCAAAAGTATCTAATCTTGTTGAGGGTGAATGCAAAATTAACAAGGTAGCATGTCAAGGTTTACCTCAAAGTTTTACAAGCACCTCAGGTTCAACCTTAATTTGTCATTTGTTTAATTTTGTATTCTTTCCATAATATACTCACAATTGTCTTCTTTTCTGCTCTCAAGTCCTCTAGAGCCATTTCTGAAAATCGGACATAAAAATAATTATTATTGCATACTGCTCATAAATTATGGACACTTTGGACAGACCCTAATTACTGCATATCTCTCATAAATTATAGACAGAGAAAAAGTAGTCATTTTAGCCTATATTTTATTCAGATAAAAGAAAAGACAACAGGTCTAAAGACTATCTGGAAAACTGTCTTTTAGAAAAACTGTCCTCGGCTAAATGGGGAACACATCACACAAAAATGTCAACATGAATTGTGATGAACACAAACAATATCTTCCCAAAGAAGTGGATTTCCCATCTCAAAGCATATAAAAAAAGAATTCTTTTCCCCACAGGTATGTAAAAGAGAAAATGATCTTTTGTCACAGATTTCAACACGTCGCAATTGCAGTGATTAGAGTGAAGTAACTTACGGTTTCTTGCTATTCTCTTGACATAGTACCACTGAAGCAACTTCCTAATGCCAAAGATTCTGCACAAGAAGAAAATCAAAAACAGACTTTGCTTCAGAAACTTTCTTTTAAAAGTTAAATGTTTAGATTGCACTTCCCATTTTCAAAATTGTATTGAAATAAATTTCTTCTAAAACTCTTTTCAAAAGTTTTAAAGCAAAAACAAAAATTTAAGTTCACTTTTTCCATGGTCAACAGACAATTTTGCTGGATTCTTGTAGTTTTTTTCTTAAATGTACTCGATATTGGTCTTCTAATGCCACAGACATTTTTAATTGCAAATTTTATTCCAATTCCATTAGACAAAGACAAGGTCCTCAGTATTTCATCAGCCAAGTTTGAAGTCTCAGTTTAGGAGACTTTTCTGCAGCAAGTGATTTAACAGTAGTCTGGGGTAGACTATGGAGAGATGTGTAGAAATAGAGACCAGTACCACAAGTTTCTTTTGACAGTTTGATGCAGTGCTAAAAGGGTTAGGGGCTGGTTGTTTCATGTGCCAATCTATTTTCTTGTATTGCATGTTTTTAATATATTATTTTTGGGACACAGTATTAAGAGTCCAAATGTTCGGACTTATCCAAACCACAGAAGTGACTTCCCCAACTATAGATAGGAGTAATAGGACTGTCCCAACAAGTAAGGGCCACTGCTATAGTTGGGGAATAACACATTTGGTAGTGTTTTCTTTCAACTTACAGAACTGGAAACAGAAGGAAAGGAAGGATCTGTGTTGCCCTTCCCTTCCAGTCCCTTGCCTCATAGTAGAAATAGAAGAACAGCGCCATCAGTAGGTAGACAATGACGGAGTACAGAAGTAATGAACCCATCATCTGTTTTTCTCGCTGCGTGTCTCGACGTTTCAGGCTCAAGAGGGCCTCCATCTTTTTCTCAATAGCTTCTAACTGCTCCATGGTCGACTTCTTGCGCTGTTATAAAATACAGGTATTCAAGAAACTGCAGTAAATATAATATGTACTCTAATCAGTGAAAAAGTTTAAACACAGGCTAAGGTTTTTGTTTGACATGTTGGAAAACGGCAGCAATATTCAATTTTACAATAATTTTACTTGCATTATAGGCCTAATATTATTAGGCCTAAAAATAAATGTTTCTGTTTTTGTACTTGTAGAAATCAATGAAACGTGGCACGTAAAAAATGACATAGGCCCCTAATTAAATCTGGGAGTACGGATCTGACTGAGTGAGACAGTGTGTGTGAGAGCGAGACTGAGATTTGAGAAACAATTTGTAAAAATAAATGTATTAAAAATACTTTAAATTTCTTCTTGACTCTCCGTAGACTTTCACCAGTGAAGTGGCGCGATACTATACTGAATACTCTTTCCAAAGTAATATATTTTAAAAGATCAAGGGGTCTATCATTAGTCAGTTGGGGGGGGGGGGAAGGAGTATTTAAAATCTTTCACGAAATTGATGCAATGTAAAGTCCATGAACATAAATCATAATATTAGTGACACTGGCCTACTTACCCATATCCTTGAAATTATGCTCCCCATGATAGGGCGTCTAAATGAAACAATTCTGTTTGACAAAACCAAAGTTATTATAGACATTCAACTTAATCAAAATTCTCGGAAATTATGTGCAAACAGTGACAGTGCGTTCGATTTCTTCACAAATTTCCCCGTGTTCGCTAGTCGGTATGGTACCCTGTGAACTTTGACGATAGGAATAAGAGATGCCGTGTTTTAATTTCACCAATTTATCTAGGTCAAGTGGTGCCAGACTAAAAACATAGTCGGGTACCAATTTTACTTGTACGCAACATTATATTGTTGTCGCCTGGGTGCATTTAGTTTCAGATGGTTTATTTCCGTTTATTTCACAAAAGTAAATCGAGAAAAATCCTGCAATTTCACGGTTTTGTGACCTCAATAATCACTTCAGTTTATGTGGAACCTTTTTAAAATTCCAATGCTTGGTCCAACCATTTCACGGTTGAATGATCCCAAACTAAACACGTGTCCTTCTCTGGCATCGACGACTAAGTACACGTAATCCTAACTGCAGATTGGTCGGTCGCTAATTTATTGACCCCGCTATATTCCAACTTCCTTTTCTCGTCTGCTCAGTACAGTTTTGTAGAGCGAGCTAAACAATGGCTGTAGGCAGAAGAACACTCCGCATTTGCCAACTTCTCGTTGCCCTTCTCCTACTTTCAATCTGCTTGAGGGTTGACGCTGGAAAGAAAGACGACGACAAAGATGAGAAACAAGACAAAAAGCCGAAGAAGAAAAAAGATATTCGGGATTACGACGATGCCGATATGGAGCGATTGTTCATGGAGTGGGAAGTGAGTTTCCGTTGTGTTTCATGGTTCAATCAATGGCATCATGGAGGAATAAAAAAACCACATGAGTGAAAATATGTTTTGAATTTTTAGCCTTTTGTCATTAAATCTAAATATTTGCCACCTCTCCACGTGGTGCCTTTATTTATTGTTTCGGCGTTTTAAGAATTAATAATTTAAAAAAAAAAAATTGTTTTATAAATATAATGAATAAGTCATCTGTGACTTTACTGATGAGATTTTTAAAAGGAAGTTTAGTTTTGGGGAAAAAAATGCAACCTGACGCCACTTCAGCGGTCAAGAAAATTGGAAATGTTTCTCAGTCCCTGACGCCACCTTTTTCTTCATATATCATCTCAATGAAGGTCAGTCATTGCAAAAATGATTATTATTAGTCATTTTTGCAATGACGGACCTTCATTGAGATTATACTATTGATAGGTATATGAAGAAAAAAGTGGCGTCAGGTTGCAACATTTTTTCCTTAATTTTCAACAACAACGTGGTTGGAAACCACGATATAAATTGAATTTTAAGAGACCTGTTAATATTTAAATTGAACTAAATTGATAATAAATTTTTATCCATTTTAAAACTTTCAGGAACATGAGGAGGAACATGACCCCGATGACCTTTTGGAACACGAGCGACCTCCCGCCAAAATTGACATGTCCCAGATCGACCCCAGTAACCCCGAGTCGGCACTCAAGCTGACCAAGAAGGGCAAGACGCTCATGTTGTTTGTCACTGTTTCGGGAAATCCCACGGAGGAAGAAACCGAAACAATTACGAATCAATGGCAAAGCATGCTGTTCAATGCCCACTACAATTTCAAGAGGTACGTTACTTGTGTGTGCTGTATGGCTTTAGAAGCAGAGTTGTAATCGAAACAATAACCGGTCAATCACAAGTCACCTCATTGTAGGTCAAATAAATGGTGACAATGATAATTCTTTCACTTCTTTGTCATCGTTCTTCCCTTATTACTTGAGGTCTCTCTTGTGACTGACTGACAGGGTTTTGAGTTCTTGAGGGACAATGATGGGTAAAGCGATGATGAAGACAACATGAAAATAAAGACAGTGATCAGCTTGACTCACAGTGAACGTGCAAAATCGCGCTCATCATGTAAGAAAATCGCATTTCATACTGCAAGAAACTGTTCGAACTTACAAAACATGGTGTCATTAGAATTAAGAGAAGTCTGCTTTAGGATGAAAAAGTTATTTTGAAATGATAAAAACACATCCTTGACTCTAATTTGATCAAAACTAAAGTGGCCCGTAACTACACAATCGCCGAAAGTTTATCTTCCTAACTGCATCAGTTCTGAAGATTAACAGTAAGTGTAAGACAGCATCCGTGATCAGAAATCAGTTTGCATAATTCGTCCTCTGTTGCTTGTTTGTCTACTCTGAATCCATCAACATCCACACACGTTTTGCAGTATTTTGATTGATGCTAATATGAAAGAAACAGATGTTGCATTTTCTTAATACTGCACTAGATTTCAAATCTAGTGCAGTAAGACAATGCCCCAAATCATTTGGGTTGATTCAGGGATAATAAGTGTAGAATATTTACTGCAGCAAATGTATATATTCTTGGTGATTTGTCCAGGTATCCAGTGAGCAGCAACCGTGCTATTTTTCTGCTGACGGACGGAAGCTTGGCCTGGGAGATCAAAGATTTCCTCATTGAGCAAGACCGATGTGATGAAGTCACCATCGACAGCCAGGTCTATTATGGCAAAGGCTCAGGGAAGAAGGTCGATGGAAAAGGAAAGACCATCGGGGTTGATGATGACAAAGACAAAGACAAGAAATCAGACAAGAAAAAGACAACCAAGAAAAGTCCACCTAAGGCCGATAAACAAAAGGAGAAACCGAAGAGCTCGTCCAGCAAGCACGATTCCAAACAGGATTCTAAGGAAGAGCGAAAGAAGACGGTCAAACCAACAAAAGATAAATCTGAGGACAAAACTGTGAAGAAAGAGAAGGAAGAAGGCAAGGCTGATACGTTCTTCCCGCAAGTGGACGAAATTGATGAGGAGGAAATGGATGGAGAGCACGTGGAGCAAAGCGAACCTGCTGACCGCGCCAAGAAAGCTCGGGAAAAAGTCAAAGGGTACAAATCAGCACAGCCACTGGAAATGCCGAGGAAGGACGGAGATAGTGATCTACCGAAAAAAGACAAGCAAAAAGAGGAACTATAAAACCAGGGTAACATCAAATCAAGGCCACGAAAAACAAAAGTATGTTTTGCCATCTGAAGTTAATATAGTTGCACGACGGTATTCCTAACAACTCTTCTTTCTATACAAGTTTGGTGGTGTTTGGTTCAATTTTTATTAAAATATTTTCTTTCTTCAAATGTTATTAGAGGCTTGGTCTCGGTGCCAATGAAGCATATTCAGAATTTTTACATTCCTTTTATGCATTCTTGAAGATTTTGTACATACCAGCATCCTTGTTTTTTTTTTTTATTAGACATGCATTGAAATGTGTGCAAATGACTTTCTGACTCGGATGCAAAATCTGTGATCTAAATTTTGATTTTATATTTTAGGGGGAGAAAATACTGAATTAGATCAATTAACAAACCCACCAATCAAAGTAATTGAAATTCTTTAATTAAAATAGCACCGAGGTGTACACTTGAAATGATTCGGAAATATTTTCACATTTACTGTTTTGTTCAAATTTGAAACCCTTCAATAATTTGAAGGATGGTAGCTCCTGTCACATGCATTGTTATTGAACTGTTGAATATGTTGTGCCCATTCTTGAAAATCACGCATTCTCGAGAATGGGCATGCACATTCTCGAGAATGAGCGCGCATTCTTAAGAATGAGCGCCCATTCTTAAGAACGAGCACGCGTTTTTAAGAATGAGCGCTCATTCTTAAGATTGGGTGGGAATATCACGTGCACAATTTATGAATTTTGCCCAATCTTAACAAACATTGCACGACATAATTATGTTAAATGAATGGTATAGCGGTTAAAAGGGAAACAATTCATATAAAGAGGAAAGAAAATGTGCTATGCTTCTGTACTCGTATAACTACGATAATTTGAATCAAATTAAACCTGTTATTATTGCTTTTTTCTGCCCACTATGGGAAGTTTTGTAATAACGGAGGACTGGGAACTAGTCTGGGAAGTGCTTTGTTTAGGCTAGACAAGTTACAAGTCCCTGCATGTATCATATGCGTGCCACGAAAAAAAAACGATGTCCAGAAGCTGCCAAAATTGCTCTTTTGACTAGATAGAATCCAGCTCTGCGACGTTATGGTGGGATGTGAACAATAAATTGTGGCAATTTAAATGGGAAATAGCATTAGCACTATGGGATGTCGCAGTATTCATTCTCATTCTTCACATCCTTCATTCTTACGTCCCCCCCCCCCCCCCCCCCCCCCCCCCGCTTTTATTATCCCAAAAATCAGAATTCTTTGCACTAGTATTATTATGTCTCTTATATTTTCCCGGGTCCCCCCCCCCATATTAATACGCCTTTACTTATCATATCCACTCTACTTTTCAGCGCCTTGCGTTGCAACAGTATAATTATTGAGAATCAGTGAACGAGGATTCAGCTAGACTTGCCAAGCTCAGCCGGTGCTCGGCATCGACAAGACCGTTATCTTGTCGCGCATTCTCGAGAATGTGCGCTCAATCTGGAAGAGTTATTTTTTGCCAAGATTGAGCAAGGATCCAGTTGCACATTCTCAAGAATGTGCATGCCCATTCTCGAGAATGCGTGATTTTCAAGAATGGGCACAACAAATACAAGGTTGTAGCCAGAGGGGTGTCTGTGTATAACACCAAGTTTTGTTTGGCAAATTTTTCTAATTACAGCAAATTTGGATCAATGTGTTAAATTTCTAGTTCAATTTATGACCTAACTTTGTAACATTTTAAGAGGTTTTTGCTCACATTTCTGGTCCATTTGTAACTTTTTTCCCATTTGGTAATGGTTACTTCTGGTGTTCTCCTCACCTGTTTATCGTCTTTCATTTGTTTATATTCACAAACATTGAGAAGTTTTCCAGATGCTGTTGTATTTTTATTAAAATTGTGAGTTTTCCATATTTGACACAAGTGCCTAGGGAGTATATGCCGATTGCCAAATCAGGTCAGTTTAGGTATGTGTTGGTCTACACAGAAAGATAATCAACTATATGTACATTGTATTGTCAACAAGCTTTCTCATAATTAATTCACCAGTATACAGGTGTCACTGTTGTGTTGTAGCATAAACTATAACTAAGTCTACGATTTTCACGTCTGAAATCTCCCAACAATCCACCTCAAGTGAAATGAAGAACGGGACAAACACCACCATTTCAAATACAATTTTTCAGTTTTATTTTCAGAAGTTCCTACACTGAAATACATGTTACTTTGTACAAATGTCCGAAAAAATATTAAAATTACTCCATTTCTGAAAATCTGTTACTTGGAAGATTCCTCACTTCATTTATGTTAAGACAGCATACCAGTCTCACATCTGTGGCTAAATGTCCTTGGATTGTTAACGTGAATTCAAACCTTTCCAAAATGAAAAACACCACCAGATTTCAATAAATAAATAGCGAATGGAAATTTTCAAAATAGTTGTAAGTTTCCATTTCAGAAAATTACTTTTTATCTTATGTGTAATGACGATTTCTGACAAATGGAGTTAATGTCAGATTATATTTCCTGGTATTATTAATTAATCCATAAGCTTGACAATGGTTTTAACAAGAGTGGCATAATTGTGTGGCTTTTCATACTGATTTCGATATTTTATGCAATGGACAATTTCAAACTCTTCTATAAGGTGTGCCCCAAGCTGAGATTTTCACCTTATGATTCTCGTCCAAGTAATAATTTGTGATTTTGCTGGTCCCAGAGGGCCAGCCTTGTGCCCTCTTTGTTCCTATCTCACTCAGCCTGGTTGGCTGGTGAAGACAGCTGGGCAGTGCTACTGTATAGGATAACCACGTTATGGGCTAGATCCGGGCTCCAGTATACACCAGATGTACAATAAGACTTTTGGTGGACAGTATTCGCAACTGAATCAAATTTGTGCACTCTGGGATCAGTTTTACAAGGCCCTTTCATTTTTTTTGTAATCTTGTCAGCCAAATTTGGGTGTTGAATTGGCCAGATTAAATACCACTTAAAATGCAACAAAACAGCAGCATCACCTGAGGTGTAGCGAAATATTTTCTGACAAAAATGTGGTCGCCCCTTCGTTCAGTGAGGAGAAAAAAGTGGAACTCACGACACGACCTTGACTAATCTAGAGTGTTTTAAACTAAACCTATCATCCTTCACCTAGAGTGAAATTGAAGTCATATCAATACAAACTATGAACTTTTTACAATATTCTTTAAAATCTTTGAGCAGAGAACCAAGTGACAAAAATACACAGCACTATTTTCAATTCGGTAAATGGCTTTCTCTTTTTTTTTACCCCAGCTTGTTTCAAAACAACTGCAGTAAAATAGTTCCAGATCTGTACATCGGCAATATTCTAAGCGAATAATTTCATCAGCTGTTTTGTTGTCGAAGCTGGCAACTTACAGACGGTTTCAGTGTTGATCAAAACTGAACATCAAAAATAAAGAATTTTCCCAAACATCATATAGCTCAGTCTATGATATAATGTCAATTTCCCTTACACATTCACACTTGCATCCTCAAAAGAGCCATTTTCCAGAACACATACTCGACAGAAAACTATAAAAACGTTTCGATTACATTACATGAAGCTACAAATGGAATACTTTCTGTTACGATAAACTTATTTTGTGTGATATCAATCGAAGTAACATTAAAAGTTCTGTACAATGTGTTTGTCATTCAAATGTATTTACAAGGAATAAATGACTATTTTTTTTTGTTTACAAAATATTCACAGACTGAAAAAGTATTGTGTGTTTTGACAGTCCATCTGACAGAAAATGTTGTACAAGCCAATTTGTTTTCCGTCTCCACTTTTCTTTGTTGAGGCCCAACTTCGGAAGAGACACAAATTTCACAAGTCTTCGCTAGCAACTTCAACAAATTTGAAATTTGTTCAATTGCCTCTCAGTGTGATTTCTTAAGCAGCCTTTGAGAAGCTTTTACAGAAAGCAACGTCATGAAACTGTCTTCTTTTGGGGGAGAAAAAATGTGTCCAAATAGCCCAAATCTTCTCTGTCTATAAATATTTAATTTCAGGGAGGGATGGGGTGTAGATGAAGGGTAACTTTCAGGAAGCAATATTTCCTGATACCTTTGGGGCTTCGGTCTCGTAGTATTCCACCACGAACTTCCTCCTGATCCCATTGGCTGATTTGACCTCTTTAACCATGGTCTCGCAAGGAACGAGGTCGTCGACTTTTCCCATGAACCAATTCTCCACGTCGGCCTCTTGGCGTCTGGTGATGTGGTCATCCTTCCATGCGTCCAGAAACTTGTTGAAGCGGGCGGCTAAGCGCTCGGTGACCCGCCAATGCGACTGTGAAAAGAGGATGCAAAATGGTTGGTGTAACTAGTCAATTCTTGTATATGCTAGCAGGTCGGGAGTAATAACCTTGGCTTCAAGAACTCCACATTTACGAAATAAATGTACGGGTGAAATTTACAATACTCTACTTGTGTTGGGCGAGAGCTTTCTTGTTCCGGAAGACAACGCCGTCAATTGACGGGAAATTTGGAGACCTTTGTATACAGGAATTGCCTAAAGATTTGGGTAGTGGCTGTCGTTTGCCTGCACCTTACACTTAAGTTTGAAGTCAAAGATTTAGAGGCTTCACACTGCCAAAAGACTTCCAAAAATGTCTGAGAGTGTTCGAGGCAACTCGACTTACTTCTTTCGCTTTCTTGAGTGCAGTCCTCCTGTACATGTAGTCCTCCGAGTTGACCACGTAGACAATCTTGTAAGAGTTGAGGTTGAACTTACACTCCATGTTGTTGACCATATCCACTCCTTCCAGCGGATCCACCTCTTTCTTCTCTGCCCCTTTCTCCACCTTCTCCTTTGTCGGTTCTGGCTTCTCCTCCTTGGACCCTCCCTCCGCCGCCTCCTCTTTGGGCTCCGCCTCTGAGGGGGATGATCCTTCTTCCTCTTTTCCTTCTTCCTTGTTGTCTGCGGCGGTGGTGCTGTTCTTCTCGTCCTCATCTTCAGCTTTCTCGTCTTCTTTGAGCTTTCCATCATCGCTCGATTTCTCCTTGCTGCTGCTTGAGTCTTCATCAGTAACAATTTTCTGCTGCCGTGTCCTACGGATATTCCTAAATCATGGAAAAAAAAGGCACCCGATTAAATTGAATTGCTTAATTTGGGCAGTGTTATGGATTCCTTTAATCAAACTCTAATCAGAAAATTTTGATACTTTAATTTCATAATCTTAGAACAATTGGTTTAAGCAGATCATAAAACTTGATGCATTTACATAAAATAAAAAGAGCTATAAAAATGCTGACATATGGCTGCAGGATTACACTTGTTTATGATCAGCAATTTTTTCTATACTTAGCAAATCTGTATGCTAAGGGGCTCAGTGACATTGTTCCTAGTCCAATCTTGCCACTGACCTGGTGAGGAAGACCGGCTTCTTAGCGAGTTGGTCCCTCAGTTCTGCCGACGTGTCTTCACCATTCACAAACTTCTCCACGTAGTCCGACCATTTCTCCACCTCCACCGGATCATCACTGTGATCCTCCTCCGTGTCCAGAAGCTCAATGGTTAACTTCTTATCACTCTTATTCTGTCAAATTTTTTTTTAAAATAAACAAATAAATAAAATTAGTGAATTTATGAAGACGTACATTACTATAAATGGACCATTCCTGCTTGTTGATCAAACAGCACACATTGAATGATTAGATCAAGACTTTTGGTCAGGTGTCCACAACAGCTCTGTGAACTATAAATGGGCAGGGCTACAGTCCATTGATGATGTAACTATTTCAGTAACCATAGCTCCCGGAGGCAGTGAGCAATAAAATATCTCTTCAAGTCTGAAGGCTTTTAGTCTGAAGGCCCTCCAACATATAGTTCAGGTACAGGGCTTTCAAAATGCCTCACTTCACCAATCAGATTATTAATACTCATAATCACTAAAACAGAAACTTGATGTGAATAAGTAAAGACTCGGCTAATTTACAGGGTTTTAGGGGCCAGCAAAGGATTTTGCCTCTTGCGCTTATGGACATCCTGCGACTATTTCTGAGGATTCCTTCTTACAGGGATAGCAGGGAATGTCGGTGATAGCATTGTAGGCACAGAATGGCGATCATAAGAGGAGAATTCTGTGGTTAGCAGGGCCATGGACATCGGGACAAAGTGACTCACATAAATGACTTTGAAGCAGTTTTCCTCGGTCAGCAGTTGTTCTGCCCGTCGTTGGTAAGCGGACTCGGCGCTAACGCGAGCCGTGGCCGAGGAGTGAGTTCCTCCGGCTCCTCCTGACTTCATCTCAGCGAGATACTGCTCCATGACACCCATGCAGGTGTCTTCTGAGACAATGTGCTGAAGCTGCATACAATGAATATTCATCAACAAATACTAATTACAATGATGAATATTCATAACTTCTGAATAAACCCTATTAAATGTAGATGTCCTCTGAGAAAATGTACAGGAGCTGGAATGCATTCAATACAACGAATATTCATCAACAAATACTCATTAGAAATGATGAATATTCATAAGTACTTCCAAATACACCTTATTAAATGTAGGTGTCCTAAGATACAATGTGCTGGTGCTGGAATACATTCAATACAATGAATATTCATCCGCAAACGTACTTATGAATATTCTTAGGCAGGTGCTCTAGTTTGGCGTGACTAGGGAATGCAATCTAAGATAAGTGTTGCAAACTAAGCTCACCTGACGGACGATGTTCTGCACCACTTTGTCCATGGTGAATGCAATGTAGGCATGGATGCCAAACATCTCACGAAGCTGATCCTCGAAGGCATTACTCTCCATGTTACCATCGAGAAGGTTACGCACCATGTCAAGGAATGCCGGGTAATATTCCTCGGGTTCGATCTCCACTGATGAAGGGGAAAAAAAGGATAGGGATTGAATTGTCAAAGCAGTCAGGAATAGTGGCACCGCGCTCGTGGATAGATGGTATGCATACTCACTCCTCCTTCGACAATAAGATTTTCAATTTGCATGCCCACCTAAAATTCAGAACACCTGTTACATGTATGTAAGCGTGGCACTATCACACTTATGCTGATCGCCGGATTAATCTATAGGATTTCAGAGGCATGAGCAGAGACCAGCACTCACGTGGTTGCTTGAGACCCAGAGCCACAGCGGTGGACTCCTTAGCAGCCCTGCGATTAGGTCCTCCCTCCGCCTGGGCGATAGCCTCTGCTCTCTCAAACATCTTCTGTAATCTCTCACACAGGATGAAGTGCAGCCTCAGGAATAGGTACCAGTTGTTGTTGACAAAGAACAGGTGGTACACGTCATCCTGATGAAAAAAACCACAGACACGGGAGGAATAAAGTTTTGGTTGTGCAGGAATCACAGCTAAACAGGTTACTTTTTGTGGCTTCGATACTTAACCCCTTGGTCAATCTAGCACCAGAAACCCCCTTCCTATTACTAAATGTAGTGTGTGAATCAACACACTTTTATAATTGTAGTACAGGTGCGAATGGTTTAATTTTAAACTCCCAAAAGCTGATAACACCCTAACTGGTAGGGGGGACAACACACCCAGATGCCTCAGGCTAAACCTTCTTAATTCTTCTTGTAAACAAGATGAGACAAGTTCAATCCAAGTAACACTGTCTACTAACCGAATCCCAGGTAGTATTGTCACAGGGTCCGTTGGTCATCATGAGGGAGGATTTCTTGCTGTCTTTCGGCGGCGAGATGGTATCAGTTTGGGCAGTGTCCATCCCGGCCAGGGCAAAGGCTGCTTCCTTGGCTACAGAGGAAACGAAAACAGTTCTTCAATAAAATCAAGACACTCTTAGTAAGGCCGAGTTTAAATTCCTTGGCTATGTCCTACAGTAACAAACATCTAGAGGAAGCGGTTTCAGCCGCTTCCAGAGTCACAGGAGTAATTCGCAGGCATAAGTTACATAACAAATCCACCACTAGTCAATGATCTACAACTGATCTTACTTTCTTCTTCCTGGTCATCTTCATCGTCGGACAGCTCTCCACGCTCCAGGAACATGTAGTCTGGCAGGAAGTGATGTAAGAGCTGCTTGATCTTCTGCTTCTCCTCCTTGTGGATTCCTGGACAATCACAGGACAAATAGTTTATGCTTTATTGTGGTTTGACTTATTCTGTTGCCACCGAGTAATCTTTTGAGAAGTCCACCAACTCTACATCACATCTTTTCATTTTTCTCCAGTAGTAATACATTTTAGCAGATGATGCAGCTTTGAACTCCAGTATACAGCCACTTCTTTTTCTTTTTTATCAATGATGACCGCATAATAATTTCAGCACAAAGGGTCACTTCAGTATCTGATAAAACTCTTCAGATATTCTACACAAATTACCAAAAAAATTGAAGCATTTCATTGAAAATGTACACTTATAAATAAAAATTTAATATCAAATGATTATGTACAACCCCCAAATAAAAAAAAGGACCAAGAAAAAGCAATGCAAGAACTAGACAGTCATCCTTGCCCCTCCCACCCCTCCATCTCCCCCACCCAGTGTGACCTGGGTAGTGGCCAATCCCCCTCCCATCCTCACCTGTGTGCCTTTTCATGTGATGGATAATCAATGCAGCCGAATCGTCCACGATGTGCTTGTCCATGTAGACAAAGCTCAGATGTGGGGAGTTGTTATCGCCCATCGCTTCCTGCCTCTGAGAAAAAAATACCAGAGATGTGTTCATATAAGATATAATATGCATGGGCCAACGCATTGAAAATTACTGATTTCGATTTCAAATCAAACTTTCCACAACAGTAACAATTCTTTCAACTTTCATCGATGTACGTGGATCCAATCCACAGGGGATTACAAAATTCTTTGTTGCTTCATCTGAAGGAATCTGCTATCCTGGTGAACCATATTGGCTTGAATCAGACTTTATTATCGGAAGAGGTGACAGCTTATATCTACTTAGTGCTCATTCGGTAGGTTTTGTCGGACAACTGATCAAATTCAACATCTTCCGCTGATCATCGAGATGACCCAAGGAGAGTTTAAGAACCCTTACCTCATCAAAGATGGCCTCAATCTCATTCAGCAGGCTCTTGGAGCGCAAAGCCTTGGTGTCGTTCTGTTTGAAGTTAATGCCCTGATGGTCTAGCGACTTGAGGTAGTATTTCTCGTTCTGTTCCCTCCAGATTTTATTGAAGTTGCGCTGGGCCTCTCGCCACTCATCCTCCTTAGCTTTTAACCTGAAAAAAATTTACCAGAAAAAAAAAACCTATCAATTTTTCAAGTATTTGATACTGGTTGTGTCTGATGAAACATGGAAGTAAACCCGACAATTTGGTCTGACGCGGATAGAGAAAGAAAACAAATTGAGGAACAAATTTTGTGTCCAGTTTCTGAACACCAACATGTGAGCCAGTCAAATTTTGTGCAGTAAATGCTTTGCGAGTTCAGTGAGGGAATTTGACAATATACAAACTGACTGGGCTTGCTCATATCCTTTGATGGATCATCATAGGTCATATCAATCTCAATCCATTGTTATCCCTTTGTAAAAGGATCTTAAGTCTTAAAGACTGGCCTGATCTGACAATTTTTTTTTACATAGAGCCGAAACTGATATAGCAAAGAAGTGTCAGTCTAAAACATATCAAGCCATTACAGATTGTGTCAATTTAATACTGTTAACTTTGCAATTCATTTCTTTCTGACAACTAACTTTCCATAAAGACACCTATTGGGTTATTTTCCTGGGCAATCTCACCTTCTAAGAACCAGGGGTACAGCCACAACAGGGTTCTTCTTCAGCCCCTCAATGATGTCTTGCGCCTTGTCTCCATATATTCTACAAAGCCAAGTGAGAAGTGAAAGGTGAGTATGGTTCACCTCATCTGAGGTTAACAGTGTTTTTGGTAACACAGTTAATAGTGATAATATATATACTGCAGAGTTAAAGATACACAACATCATTTGCCCCTATTTTTTATTTTTTTTTGTAGCAACAAAATTGCTCAACATCTTTAGAAGGGTGCGTAACAACTAATCTCATTGGCTACTATACATTTTGAGAAAACAGAGAAAACAGAGAAAACGTGTGCACAGGTTTCGGGGTCTTGTGGCTGGATTAGTTGCTAACACACATAAAAAAAATCACCTGCAATAATTGTTTTCTTTTGAATGATACAATTTCTGGCAGAATAACTTTGCAGGATTTTTGGTACCAGTCCTGTCTTCACATGAGAACAGTATTACTCATTTAATCGGTAGGTGTGTTTCCCGGTAATTACCTATGTTCCTCCATGCCTTTCAAACACACCACGAAGAACAGACAGAATTAAAAGTTTTGACCACATTTCGGACTAGAAATGTTTACATGTAATATTATTGTGCTGGCACAACAATCAAAACTCAACTAATCAATCACTTGATTGAACTTTTCTCCATCTCATGAATACTGCCCTCTAGAGGCCGACTGCAAGATATACGTACCTGTGTATGGCCTTGCGATGGATGGTCTCGGAACTGCCTCCCAGGTGGTTGTCCAGTCTAAACTTGGCGGACTCCTCAGGCGACATGCGTGACAGCTTCTTGGCAACGTGCTCCAGGATGCGTATTGTGTGCGCGTTCACCTCGATCACAATGTCCAGCTGAAACCCAACAAGAACAGCAAATTTCGTTGAAATATTTGGTTTAAGTCAAAGTAAAAGAATATTTGGTTTTTTAAATACAAATTAACTCTGTTGGGATGGAGGACCAAAGAAATAAGGGATGCATTTACCTCATATCGTTCGTCTTCACAGCGATAGATATGCTCCTCATATAGTGTCTTCCTGGATGCCACAAACGTGGAGTCTTCAGACCAGGAAGGGAAAGACACCCAAGTATCGTTGATGACTTCATTACAGAGCGCCGTACGGCCGCTACACCTGGGCTGCTGGTAGCTCTTGGGCAGGGCTCGATAGCTGGCACCGCAACGCTTACAGTTGGCAAAATCTACAAATGGGGATGAAAAACTATCCGTAAGATCCAATATCAGGTTTTGCCCTTCACCGCCATATTTTATAAACACTGTATACTCAGTGTAGTCCTTCTCTCTACAGGTTTCTTCAGGCTTGTGAGCTACAGTGTCTGGGGCGCTTTTGAGGAATCCTTGGTTTCATTACAAGAAATAAGTAATCATAATAATAATGTACTCATTCATTGAATTACATATTTATGAAGTAATCAATGTTTTTTTAAGATGTGAAGAACAAAATCAAGATAGAAAGGTTGTAATTGTCGGATTATCTGACCTATTTCCATGGCTAGTTCTCCCTGGTTGCGTTCCTTGGGAGCATGATGCGAGTCAATCCTGTCAGATTCCTTGTAGCCCAGGAACTCCTTGAACCATTTCAGTAACTCTGGATATTTCCTGTTGAACAAACGAAGCAACAAAGTAGGAATAAACCTTTCTTTCCCATTTGAAGAGGTTGGACACACAGTATTCGCGCAATGGTTCCCATATTTTCTGCGTCCACACCGGAGTGTGTCACTCTTTCTGTCACTGCTCAGCGGATACTCAAGCACTATGTTTATAGATGACAAGGACAAATGTTGTGTTTATAGACCGCCTGTGTTACAACCAAATGATAGGATGCGTGCCACAATTACCACACATTTTTTTAGAGTGTGATTTCCAAAGCCCTTACCTTTAAGTAAGTAAAGTGAATCCTTGTATGTGCTTACACCACGAGCGTCTCAAGCCACAAATATGGTAATTTTTAATATAAAATAAAGTTAGGGATAACACGGAGCTATTGGTACAGGGCCGTCTTATGAGAATATTTTGGGAATTTTTTTTATTTCATATATATTTTTTTATGTCTTACCCGAGGAATGGAGTGACAAGTTGAACCAGCTCCGACCTGGAGACAATCTCTTGGTTGTACAACACCAAACATCGCAGGAAATTCTCATACACCTCCTGACTACGAAGTGCCTTGCGTACCTTCATTTGAAAAAAAATATATAAACAAATTAGACAATCAAGAAAAAAATCAGAAAACTGTACAGTAAATAATTTGTACCTTGAAAATCTAACTGAATACAGAGGTATAAGATGGACAAAAATCCATTAGAATTTTGTTAGCGCATGTGTGGCAAAAAGCCCATAGAGCCTGGAGTTGGGACTTCAATAATTTGGTAAGACAAAGGGTTGAGGTAGTCTTCAAGAAATGCTACAATATTTTGAAAAATCATTTACAATTTCCTTTCTACATTTTTACACTTTTTTTTTAAATTTGTATAAATGTAAGTAAGTACTGATTCCTCAATAGTGGAATTCAAACGAGGGAATACATTTAACTATTTTGCAGCTCTGTAATTCATTGAATACAAGAGTCAGCATTATATTGTTTTCATTTTTTCAATGTTATCATTTTTTTTTTAATTTTGGTATCCTTTAGCAGGCCGATACCTTTTAACCAGAATAGTTTTTTGTTTCAATGGGCTAATGAATTCTCACCTTGTCAAAGAATGCAAACTCGCTGAGGCTTCCATGCTTGCCTGCTTCAGCTAAGGAGACGTCCTTCACGGCTCCAGACTTAGGCTTCTAAAGACATGAAAAGATGGACCCAAGAAATAGGCATCATAAAATAGGCCAGAAAAAGTTACACTTGGAGATTTAGATTTTTCTATTTCAATCACTCTATCAATCACATAATTCCTGCAGTAAGGTTGGATAGCTAGAATTATAATGTGTCAACTGACTCATCCTCTTTTGGTCATTATTAACAAGTCAAAAGGTTCCATTTGAAGTCAATTTTACCAACTCAAATGTTCATCTGTATATATACTTATACCAATTTGTTATTTATTAAGTGATTTGTTATTTTGGCCAACAATGGTCCGTACAATTGTACGTAAATTTGGGAGCCAAAAGGTATGTTCAAATTTTAAAATCTCAAATTCAAGCGTGTGGAAGGTTTGAAGTTTTGCAGTGGGTCTGTTACCTTTGTTGGGATGGGCACAGCGCTACTGCCTGGCCTCTTTATGTGTCCTGCTGCTCCCGAGGTGTTGTTACGATTCTTGTTGTTGGAGGCAGAGCCAGGTTTCTTAGCAATCCCTGTGTGGTCGTTGCGAACAGCCACGCGGTTCATCATGTCTTGGAACGAAAACTGAGAAATGGGGAAAAAAGAGTTTGTACATCACATAAGACATGGGTAGAGGACCTGCCCTAAATGACATGTGAATCTCAATGATACAAAGAGTTCATACAATGAGACGTTCCTAGAATCGTACCCCATGGTAGACAAATGACAAAGTAGAGACTAAGTGCCACACAACAAGATGGCCTTGGTGCTTAAGACAAGCCCGATTCAATCCTTGACTCACATTAGTAGGTCCTGAGATTCCCGCTCCGTTGGCGTCGGGCAGGAACTGTCCAAACTCTTGCAGCAAGTCTTCCTGGTTCTTGAAGAGTTTAGCCACCTGTTCAAAGACCTGGGCCTCTGACAGGGTGGGCACGTAGGTCCCCCCGGATTCCTTGACAGCCCGCTGCTCCTTCTGGTAGGTGTGAAGGATCTCCAGGAAAGCTTTGTAAATCTCTGGCTGACCCTGGAACCGATTCTGGAGAGAAGAGAAAGTTGGGATCAGATGAAATATTGTGACTTTTCTTCTAGGAGGGTCTGTTATAGCAAAAAGTTCAAGTCAGAGCAAACATGAAAATGTTGGAATAGCCCTGAAACCTCCAGGGTATTTTGTCTAGAAACCCTGCCCAGCACAACAACATGCAATGGTTGTCAAACGTGAGACACCTGTCCAGGATAACAAGATCCAATAGGTCAACAATCCTAAGACCAGACTGTCTTAAGAGTCTGCGTCTGCAAACTGCAACATCAGTTCAATGGGGCTGCCTCCTATTGTCTCCGAATGAGCAGTTATGCACTGGTTTTGAACTATATGAAGCAAGGTCCCATGGACTTTTACAGCCGTTGCAATGTGTTGCATCTGGCAGGGTTAGGGTTCAGACGTACTTTGATCTTGTTGACGTAGTTGATGGCGTGGTTGAATTCCACCGGCTGGCTGGGCTGCTGCTGTTGTTGTTGCGGTGTTGGCTGCGTCTGTGCTTGCTGCTGCTGTTGCTGCTGAGCTGCTGCAGCATGACCGTGCTGGGGAGACGCCGTAACAGCCGAGGGTGGGGCTGGGTGGGCCTGGTTGGTAGGAGGAGGCTGGGAGTAGGTGTGGCCCCCGGTAGCTGCTTGGTTGGCATGGTGATGGCTGGATGATACCGAATGGTGAGCAGGCTGCAACAAAAACATGAATTACACTTCAAATCAGGAAAATGCATAACACAAATGGTTAAACTCAAAGTTGCTAAACTCAATTAACAAAGAAAATACAAAGAGCATAATCTGTAAACCTGAAACTTTGAAGAGGTGTCAACCTGCATTTGCATGTGGTTGGGTTTAACATCCCCAATCTGCAAAATTGTTCAAAAACTCCAGGAAAAGGTGGGGCAGCTAGATCCTGGACAACATTACCATACCTTGGTGGCTGGGTGCTGGGCGTGGTACTGCGGTTGCGTATGTATCTGCTGCTGTTTCTGCGGTGTCATGGGTTTATTCGGATGCTGCTGTTGCTGCTGCTGCTGCTGTTGTTGCTGCTGCGTAGTGGGTGTTGGTTGGGGCAGCGGCACTCCTGGCCCAGTCAGTGGACCCCCTGCGGTGTGCTGGGTGATGTGTCCAGTCGGGGTACTGACGTTGATCCGAGTAGGGTCACTGGCTTGTACCTCGATCTTATAGCCGGGAGGCAGGAAGGTGTTGAAGCCCACGATCAGGTCTGGGTGTCCCTTGAAGAGGTTGGAGACACGGTTGATCACCCCAGGAGTGTCAATGCTAAAAAAGAGAAGACGAGAAATGCAAGTCAGTACAGAAGAGTATGTACTTCACAAGAAAACAGTGTGCCAACATCTGTCACATCAAAAAGGCCACCGTTCAACTTTATGGTTGAGTTCCAACATAATTTGGCCAGGCATTTAATAATCCCTCCTTTGTGTGCAGTATAATACAAACATTGCATTAATCAACATCTACAAATGAGCACTGGAATCCAATGTCAAGTTCTTTGTATTTTAACTAGCAGTGACTGGGCTCTACCTTCCCCAACCCTCCAAAATCTGGATCCTGAAGAATCCTGGAGCGTTGAGGTAAAGAAATGCCTATTAAATATTTCTTAAAATCATAATTGTTATTTGGTTCAAATCACAGAGGATGAAACAGTAAGCGAAAGTAAAAAAAAAAAACAGCACTACTGAGAATACATTCAATTCTAGAGATCTAAATTTCAACAGAGACGATATACATGAACAAGCACACACAAAAACCCAAAACGAAAACAAACATATGCAATATTGGTACAATGTAATGACATTTACCTTTGTGATTTGAACTCCTTCATGATATCCAAGAAGTCATTGTACACCTGTGGCTGGCTGCCAAACTGCAGCTTGACCTGATCAAGATAGGACAGGGCATCCTCCACTTTCAGTCGCTGGTACTGCTGCTGTTGCTGCTGTTGTTGCTGTTGTTGTTGTTGTTGCTGCTGCTGTTGCTGATGTCCCTGCACTTGTGCTACTTGAGCCTACCATTCAAGTAAACAGAAGTCTCTACATGAGTTCTTTACCCATTTTTTTCAGCGGCGCGGTTGATATTATGGTTATTATATTTTGCACCTTAAAAATGTTCTAGGTAGTGCAGGAATTTAACATTATGCACACACTCAACATTTGAGTCTAATTTCACCTTCTACTGCAATGGTGAAATGTTTTGACTCTTTCCAAGTGGAACTAATGTACAAAATTAAAACATAAATTGGCTTTTTTTTTTAAGCTCTGTAATGGAACTGTTTGATCAGATTAAAAAAAGCATCCCCTTGTTATTTAATATGAAATAAAACAAGCAATGCTCTCTTTAAGCAGCTATGGTCACTATGGGTTAAACTTCTTATACATGGACATATCCACTGGTGATTCAGTGAACACGCCTACTTAAAAACTTATCATGCCCAAGTAAATGGATTTTTGAATTTGACTATGAACAAGCATGTGGATTGGACCAGAAAGCTGAAGTGCACATAGTTAGTTACAGTGCAGCTTTTACCTGAGCTTGAGCGTGCGTTTGATGAACAACCTGCTGTTGATGGGCCACTGCTGCCACCTGTTGGGGGTTGGTGGGGTGAGGGTGAGGGTGGTGAACCCCACCATGGTGACCTGCTGCTTGACCTACAGCTGGTACCCTACACATAATTACAAACAAAAAGGTCACGGGTCAAAGGCTCCAAGTATGTATACAGGATTACAAACAAAAATGTCACGGTTCAAAGGCTCCAAGTATGTGTACAGGATTACAAACAACAATGTCACAGTCAAGGGCTCCAAGTATGCAATACCTTCATCACATAAATGGAGGAAAATCCTCTCAACAAAAACAGTGCAAACACTTCTTCACAGGCAACAAAACTGCCAATAGCAAGATGTCTTGAACAGACTGAACTTACGGGTATCCCTGCATGGGATGGAACTGCAGTCCACTAGCCATATTACCCTCCTGGACCTGCTCAAAGCCGGCCACATTAGCCGGGGCTAGCACACGCTGCTGGGCGAATGCAGACTCCTGCCCAGGGGTGGCTCGACGTTGCTGAAATGGTCCCTCTTGTACCTCGTTGCCACGTTTCATAGTGTCATGGGAACAGGGAGAGGAAAGATCACTCAGGTAGGCCTAGAGGTGGTCTGAAAAAAACAAAGAAAACAAACTAAGTCAGAGTATTAAAAATTATAAATTTCCAAAGAGCTCAAAGATTTTCAACGTTGCTGGGTTTAGTATCAACCTGTTTCTGTCATTTTATTTACAAGAAAATGAAAACAAATAACTACATGTACATATATTAGAACATACAATAACAAACTCTTGTGTTGCAGGTCTGATTTTAATGTAGACTCAATTCTAAAACATACATAAAATATCTTGGATTTTTAACTAATGAGTATAACATTGTTCTACTTGAACAACTGTTCTGTTTTCAAACCTTAAGGTTTTTTGTTTTTTTTTAAATGACGAAACTAAACAAATACACTCAACCAAAACAAAATTTTTTAACTTCATTATGGAGACAGAGCAAGTGCCAGATATATTAAAAATTAAAAGTATTTTTAAAATCTTGAGTTCACAAAAATGATAACCAAGATGCAATCAAATTCTTGTGCATGCATTCAGACAGTGAACAAAAAAAACTGTCTTCACATTTTTCTAAATCTAAATTTCAATGCCATCGGGATAATCTAGGCCATTGGACACCGCCGCCCAAAAAACTCTCAAAACAGAAACAAATAAAGAAGAAAAGAGGGAAAGTCTGTATTGAGCCAGCAAGTGATCATGTGAAGGAAGGCCTGATTATCCAACAGTTACCGCATCCTGTGGATTGCGACATCCGTGCATTTATGCAGAATTTCTTGGATTATTGCCGACTGAATGATGAACTTGGCAACGACCAAGAAAATCTGGTTTGTGTGTGTGGACTTGTTTTGAGTATGGCATACAAATGTGACTTTGACATGATAAAACTAACGTCTCTACGCATTAAAAACAAACACCCAAAACTTTGACAAACCACACAAGGACGACAAACTTTTGTAAAAAATGAAATACTGTACAACAACATTTGGTACAAGTGCAAAGGCATTCATTTAGGAAAATTTCACATGGCAACTGAGGATAAAATGAATTTGATGAAAAAAGAGTACCAATAAATATTTTCTGTGGGACACAGTCATTTGACGGATACAGGAAAATGCAATAAGTGTACACCATAATTCAGTACATATGTTAAAAAAAAAAAAAAATGGAGTTAATCAAAAAACATTTGCAAAAATGACTGTTGAATTATCTGAATTCCAAATCTTCTTTTTATCAAATTAATACCTGAAAGTACTGAATCAACCAAAAATGGCAGATAATTTGGTTGAATGTTAATGTGACAAGCGTTTGAAACAACAAAATGTCTCTCTAATACTCCATACAATTATAATTTAATACAAGTACTCAAAGAATGGTACACTTCTGCAGAGAGAATTGTGGGTTGTGGCAAATGGTCCGTGTACAAACTAACTACATGTATGTGTACGTGTACACCATACTGCACAGACTGTGTGGAGGCATGTAGACGTACATTTGTAGACTGCAATACTGCATGCACCGTTGTATAGTGTCTGCCTGTGTGGGCATCTAGGCAGCTCAATGTATTCTTGGCACAATGCCAATTATGTCAATGTCAGTGGCTTTCACAGTGACAGATCACTGTATAATATTTGTGACAATCCTCAAAATGCATACACACTGCATGTATTATGTCAAAACTGCGGTAAATTTTGAAAAATACACAAACTAATATTTGCAGCAATCGTTTTAATCATGAACACAAAACCTGAATTATTTGTTTACAATGAGAAGGTTAGAACTGTCGTTAACTATCAAGCTAGATCTCCCAATAAGTATTCACGGTTTCCTGGTCATCCTTGCTAATTTTTTTGAAATCCCCACCACACAATTTCTTGGACCCGAAACAACCTGAAACATAAACCGAATCGGAACCGATCTGATCTTCCCAAATCCGATACGAAAACTGATCCAAACCGAATCTACCAGAAGGAAACCAAAAATATCTGGGCAAATTGCGCTATATTTCACGAACACTGTGTCCGCTTTTTATGCATGAACTTACTCGTGTTGCACGATTTATTTGATGAAAATCGTCGTCTCTCAGTAAAGAATCATACCATACAGTAACACTCCTAACGTGGTCTATACGTTATAGACTGTGCGTGATAGGCCGCAAACCACATGCACAGTGGCACAGTGTCTCTGCAATAATATTGCACCACATGAATTTCCAAACTGTTTCAGGGTTGTTTTTTTTCTCGGTTTATTTCAGGTTTTTCACAAGATGGCTTAACCGACCCGATTCGAACTGAGGTCGGTTTCGGGTCGGTTTCAGTTTCAGTCAGGTTTGCACAACATTTGTCCCCACCATTTTTTTACCAGCCCTAACCTCACCTAAAGCTACAAAATACTACTAGTAGTAAACTGTAGTATGCAGTACTTCAGCATGTAAGTGGGCACACAACACATAGTATTTTTGGTACATGGTGCTCCTGCATACATACATGGGCATAATTTTTGTAGTATTCTGAAGTACTCAGTTCTTTAGCCCAAAGTAATGGCTAGGATGTTAGGGTTAATGCTTGCACTTCAGGACAATTTCTTAAAATGTCCCAACATTCAAGAATGTTACTGCATGAACCTATACATCATTTGCTCTAGCTTCAGTTTTTCATGACTTTTTTCTTTCTTCATTCCAAAAAAATTCAATATTTAATAACGGATGACTTGACTGACAAAACTAAACCCACGACAGCATCATGAACAAATATATTGGGTTCTTTAACTCACTCAAATGCATTAACCCTAACAGCCCATAACCAATCAAACTCCAACAGTAGGTTAGTGTTTGAATTTGTGGCATTGGGTACTGGTCACTTGCTATGTTGTGTTTGATTTTGATTTATTGTGTACTGTAGGTCTGCTGGCACCCTGTTGAATTCTGATTGATTATGTACTGTACCGGTAGGCATGTATTGATGATTGATTCCCCACTCCAACTACTGGTAAGGGGAGTCCCTGCCCTGACCCTGCCCCGACCCTGCCTGGAGAGACCCCCGGGGAACCACACAGCATTGCCTGATGCTGGGGCTAGGTTGCTGGGGCTGGGTTGGCTATACATGTACATTCTCCATGATATGGAAAAAGTTTCAGACCCAACCATTTTGTGTAGGGGTTTCTTATCTTGAATAGGTTGAAATTATATTGAATATTATATTTTTGGAGATTATGTAATAATGGAAAGCATTCTCATTGAAATGGTAAGTATGTATTATATAATAATATGTAATAATTACCATAACTAAGACAAAATTTTCTATAAAAGCTGATGTTTTCTGTGGCTCATCCCCAGTCACACATTGACTATCGTACGATCATGAGCTCTCGGGAAGTGAGAAGTTTGCAGCATAGCCTCACTAGTGAGGAGCGTGAGGTGTTTGTCAAGATGTCTGAGAAAAGAAAACCAACTCGACTAAACTACGAGGATGGAGGAGAAGCAGTGGGGAAGAAGAGAGAGAAAAAAGGAGTTTCACCCACGGCTAAAGGAAAGGGGAAAGGCAAGGAGAAAGGCAAGGAGAAAGGCAAGGAGAAAGGCAAGGAGAAAGGCAAGGAGAAAGGCAAGGAGAAACGCAAGGAGAAACGCAAGGAGAAAGGCAAGGAGAAAGGAAAGGGGACAGGACAGGAGAAAGGAAAGGGGAAAGCCAAGGCCCCACTCTCCAGCTGCAGAGACACTGCACTGTATGAGGATGAGACACTGCGATTGAGAGCTGCTATTCGTGCAAGTATGAATGAAGCTGGCATCAGCATGGGAAAGGTGTACAGAGCCGTGGCGGAGACATCATCTAGTGATGAAGAGGATTTCTTGGATAGGGCCGTGGCAGAAGCAAGGTCTATTTCCCCATCAACCCTTGCAGCTGAGATGGGAAGAGATAGGGAGGAGGAGACAGGAGAGGAGCCATGGGAGGAGACAGGAGATTGGGAGGAGACAGGCAGAGAGAAGGGAGAGAGAGAGGAGACTGGCGGAGAGGAGACAGGCGGAGAGGAGACAGAGAGAGAGGAGACGGGCGGAGAGGAGACAGACAGCGAGGAGACAGGAGAGGAGGAAGAGGTTGCTGGACCATCCAGACAAAAGCCCCCTTCAAAGAAGAGACGGACAGAGGTCCAGCCGGATTCTGACAATGATCCCGACCCCCCCTCTGCATACCAGGATGACTACCCTCCGGATGAACTGGGATGGACCCGCTACCTGGACGACATCACCATCAGAGGATTCAAGGGGAAGAAACCGCAAGGGCCCACCTTTAGGAAGAAGTCCTCACCATTGAAGTACTTCCTCAAGTTCTTCCCTTTGATCCTCTTCACCAACATAGTGAAGTGGACTAACAAGAAACTGTCCTCAAGCCATCTGCCCAGGACTTCACTGCACGAGATCAAGGCGTGGTTTGGGATACACCTGCTGATGGGACTGGTTCAGATAAGGAACTACAAGGACTATTGGTCTTCAAGTCCTGGGCTGAGAAACACCCTCATCTCCAACACCATGAAGAGACACCGTTTTGATGTGCTGAATCAGCACCTAGCCTGCAGTGATCCAGCCAAGGACCCCAACCTGATCCGCGATGAGGCCCATCGGTACATGACCAAGCGAAAACATCCACTGTACCCCCTCCAACCTGTGTGGGATAAAGTTCGCAAGTGCTGCCTGAGGTGCTACAATCCTGGCCGTGAGCTAACCATCGACGAAGCCATGATTAAATATCGTGGCTTTAAAGCAAGTGTGAAGAAGTTCTTCATGCCGTTAAAGCCGATTCGTGCTGGCTTTAAGATCTACGCCATTGCAGAGTCTGCCACTGGCTTCTTCCTCAACTTCATGGTCCATCCTTACAGCCAGAAACCAGCGAAGATGAACGACATTGCCACGAGTGTTGCGAAGCACCACCTGAATGTGTATCATCATATCTTTACAGATAAACTATACACTTCAGTGGGCCTAGCACGGTCACTGCATGCCAGCCGGACCTACCTCACAGGGGCAGTCAAGAGTAACAGGAAGGGGCTGCCCTCTGACTTCACTTCAAAGAAATCCGACCCTGCACATATCAAAATGAAGCAGATGAGGCGAGCCAGGAGAGGTACCTTCTACACAAGACAAAATGGTCAGCTGACTGCCACCGTCTGGAAAGACAGCCGCATCATGATGCTGCTCTCCACCGCGCATCAAGGCTGGAGGGATCCCACCATCCACACCCTCAAGAGGAAATGCGTAGACGACAATACAGGGCGGCTGAAGTCAACGACCATTCCAGCTCCTCCTCAGGCGGTCTCCTACACGCGGTGCATGGGTGGTGTTGACAGAGGCGATCAACTACGGTCATACCACACATGCGCCCGCAAGTCCCAGCACTGGTGGCGTGGAATCCTATACTTCCTGCTGGATGTAGCCAGGGTCAATGCTTGGTTGGCCTACAAGCACCACCATCCAACCACAGATGACAGCGATAGCAGCATCAGCGATAGTGATGCAGAGGAGACAGCAAAGGATTCCAACACGACGACCCACTCCAAGTTTGTTCTTGATGTGGCAGTAAGCTTGATTGATGGATATGCTGGAGGTGTCCCCCCTCGTCAAGTTACTCGCTCTCGTCCCGTTCCTGCCTACAATAACCAAGGCCACTACTCTGCAAAGATGCCGGGACGGAATGCTCGTTGGTGCAGGTGGTGCAGGGAGCACAACATCCTCACGAAGGCAGGCCTACCCAAGTCAACACGACGAGGCTGTCCAGTTTGTGGAGTCAATCTCTGCCCAGGCCGCTGTTTCCTGAAATACCATAGAGCCAGTGACATCGAGACCGACTCCACCACCACTACCACCGACTAGAACACTTCACACTTCAAAGCAGAATAGCCAGCCAAGCTTCTTGTACTCCAGTGTTTTTTCTTCATTTTTTTACTACCAAAGCCCACCCCTCAAAAAAAACCCACAAAAAGTAAAAGGAAAAGAAGGGGACAGAAAATGGGCAACGATAATTTTGTCATTCTTTGAACCGGTGTGTTGAAAATGTATACACACACAACTAATTTTTGTTCTCCATTTTTTTGACTACCAAAAAAACAAAAAAAACAAAAAAACAAAAAAACAAAATTAAAAAAAAAAGGGGCAATGATTACATGTATATAGTTATTCTTTCAACTAGCAGCTGTGGTTGAAAGTAACAAGTGTTAGGAAAGTTAACACACACACACACATGAGCCCCCCCAAAAAACAGTATTTCTGTTGTGGCACATTGATTGATTCCCCACTCCAACTAAGGGGAGTCCATGACCCTGCCCTGACCCTGCCCTGGCCCTGCCCTGGCCCTGCCTGGACCAGAGACCCAAGGGGACCACACGAGCGAGCGCAATAACTGTGGCAGTCTGCAGCTGATTACTTGGGCATGGGTTGGCTGTACATCCCCCATGATGGATATGGAGAATGATGAAAATGATGCTGATTTTGTTGGGTTAGGTACTGTCTGTGCCCACTCTTCATACTGTGCTTAGGGCCTGCTGTACCCAATCAATCAGAATCACACAGGTAAGGGCCTGTTGGAGTTTGACTTATTGGGTATTGTTACAGTAAGAGTACTGTTTGAGTTTGTGTGATTGGGTACTGTGAGGCAAGAGTGTGATTGCAAGGTGTTGGAGTTTGTGTGGTTAGGGAAGGATACCAGCAAAAAGCTTTGGGCGGTTAGGGTTAATATATTATTACTTGTACACTGTACAATGTAGAAGCGAGTTGCTACGAATGTACACCTGTAAAACATCTGTGAACCTAATAAGCTACTTTTAAATCAAATCATATGCCAAAAATAAACCTGACCACTCCACACTGCTGCTGTTTTATAGCAGAATAAACAGATTTCAACAATTTACACACTTGACTGTCTTGACGTGCAAAATTGGAATGGAAAGTTGAGTTGCGTTCATAGAAACATGTTCATATTGCCAATTTTGTCTTGCCAAAAATTCTTCTCAACAACCTTTCGAAATCAAAACTCATAAAATTACTGTTTTTCTATTTCTTTTTGCGTGTACATTTCCTTACCAACTTCGAATTGAAATGTTAAGTAGTAAAGCACAAATATTGCTCAAGCTTACAAGTACATACATGTACTACAGATGTGATCTAAAAGGGACCAAATGCTGTCAGTGTCATGTCTTCGGCTTTCGGCTCAACTAATCCACGAATTCAAGTGACATTGGTTTAAAAGTTTACCTTGAGTGATGGAGATACTACAAAATATTTTTTTGCAAATTTATGCTCTGTTAATTTTGACTTTGCGACGTTAAATTGTCTGATGCCATTTTTCCTAGTTCTGAATCGGTTAAATCAGTTCCGAATCGATTCAACAAACATTCGATGCAAGAGTTTATACGACTGTAGAGTACGAACAAAATATTTGAAATCACACGGTCCAAGTGGTGTACCGAGGAGAAAAGTTATCGTTGATTCACGGCTCCCGTGATTTTCTACAAACCGTCCGAACATGTCAAAGCATGGTCAAAGTGGGAGTCGGAAATCTGGCCAAAATTCCCATTCTAGAGATTTTGTTGAAAAGATATTTGTGTATCAAGAAGCTTACATTTTCCCTTTCAAAATGTACTTCGTCTGAAAAAATTGTATTGGACTACCAATTCAAAAGAGTTTTTATTTGAAGCGATCCGGAAAATCCGGAACTAGGAAAACGACTGCATTATTGTCTATTTTAAATACACACAAACAAAATGGGGGGGGGGGGCAGAACTTTGAAGAATGCCTTAAAAAAATGTACTGATGGTTTGATGTTAAAGTATAGATTTCATTAATGACATTTTCAAATAGACCTGGGAAAAAACAGCAAAGGCCTGATCTTGGTTTCACTTGCATCAACCTTCCCCCAAATCACTGTTAGTCTCAACCAAAAAAACACCTTGAAAACGTCAAGATAATGGGATTCTAAATTCAGTAAAGACAAATTCATTCCTGTCCTTCCCTCCATGATTCTATTTAGGCCTAGTTGCTCCATTTTGACACGGTCAGTGAATGAAGGCGGTTTGCCGCTTTCGTTCGAACAAACATGGCGACTAGAGTTCACACTGTCGTCCAGGCTGATTCGGGGGTGAGTAATCTGGGGAAGAGGTTTAAAATATTTTCCCCAACAAGTAAAACTCAAGTAAAACTTACTAAAATAAGTTAAAGCTGTAAAATATCCGTTTTGATGCTATTCAAAGATTTTACTTGACAAAATATTGAGCAATTTTCGGTAAGAGATTCGAATTGACTGGTTTTGTAAACAGAACACCCCCGTTTTAATTTTGGTAGCGACCAGTAAACAAAATTGCAGCGTAAATCATAAAAGCAGGAAACCCATCTGCCTGAGAACTCAACACAAAAATCGACATTTACACTGAAACGCCTGGTAGATTTACGCAAAGACTGATGTCCGTTTTGTCTATAGAAAACATGCTTCAGGAATACGGACGATTTACGATATTCTGGTGCCCACAAAGGCTATTTTTTCGGGAGGCAAAATTCAGTGTGAATGCAGTTTTGCATTCAGCTGTGTGTATTGTCTGCCTCGTTCGTGCACGAACGACGAAAACGTCAGAGTAGAGAAAAAAAATCACACAAAGTCAGACCCATGTTAGAGGTTAATATAACTGAAAATCCCATTACTAGATTAACACAGCCTCTCTGTAGAGCACTGTTGGCTAATTTTGTATTTTTTGAGTTGATTTATTTGTTCTTTCCCGGAGAATCGTCCGCTCAAACCCGAGGATGCTGATTGATCAGCTGAGTCAAGCGTTGCTCTATGGTTATCATGTACATGTACGTACAGCGGTGAATCGCTACGTAAAATTTCAGCCAAATCTTCCTAAAAAATAAGCCACCTAAATAAAAACGTCGATCAAAATGGAAATCTGGAGTAAAAATCTCAAAGTTTATAGCTGAACGTGAGATATGCATAAAGTTCAACGGAATACACGTTAAAATTGGACATGAAAAAAGGCAAAACCCTCAAAACACGTACATGTTTAAACGGCAGTCTGTTACCAAAGGCAGTGTATGTGACAACGAAGCCACATCAGGTCGGTCTGTATACGATACCGCACAATGTTGAAAATCAGCCGTTATTCTTTCAAGATGACACAAAATAATTCAATAAATGAATAAAATATCATACATTCCACAAACAGAGTGAAAATTACCGTGATCAGAGCTCTGATGGGTGTGATTCCAAAGGATTTTCGTCAGAGGGTCATTCCGAACGAGACGACTTTCAGAAACCATAAATGCAAAATTACCATACAGCGCGTGACATCATGCATAATTAACAAAAGCTGACCAATCAGAACTTTGTTTACCCTTCAAAGCACCGCGCGTAAATTGGGGAATACTTCCGGGTTTAGCGCTAAATTCAAAACATTTAATACAATCTGAACAATCTACGGTACAAATCAAATCTGTTTATTTTCTTGTTTGAACAAGCAAAAGACAGGCACAACGAATTGTGACGTAAGTATCAACATACGAAAAATAAATCAGTTCTGAGATCACAAAAGACAAAATACAAAAAAAAATAACGGATGCCGCCAGTCATTCATTCATGAATGTTCATTATACCTACATATAAAGTAATTAAATGTAGGCCTACAACCATTTGAAAACACGACAAATTCCCGTCAAGACTTGTTTCAAAGAGGCCGGGTTGGAAAATACTAAGAATTAAACTTCAATCAATAGCGGAGGTAATAAGGAACGATGACAGAGGCCTAGGGTAAATTAAACACGCATACGAAACTGCATAGCCATGACAGCTGCTGTGTTAAAACACTTACATAAATGCGTCATTTTGTGTGCATCTGTTTTAAAGGTGCATACCCGTGCTCTTCTTCAACAACAACAACAATTCTTGTGTCGAATTTGCATGTTTAGTTTTAACAGAAAAAAAACCTACTTCGATTGTGGGTGTCTGCAACCCTCTGTAAAACAGGCTTCATTTTGTCACGATGCATGCACAGATGAGTCCGTCGTGCGAGAGCCGAATGCAGCCAATTTTGGGAATAATAATTAGACGTCGCTTGACTTCTATGTCTTATTCAAAAGTGAATAATTTGTATATTATATTGCTAGGAAATAGCAATTGGAAAAAAATATTTTTTGAGGTGAAGCTCGGCGAACATAGCAGGGGATATCTTGAATGTATTTTATGAATATTTTTGTTAAATGTGGAAATTGAACACATTTTTACAAACTAACAATAAGGGCTAGAATTAAATATCTAGGCTAAATATCCATTGGTGACTGATAACTCAACAATCTATAACGTGTGGACGTTGGACAGATTAATTTCAATTCATAGTGGGGTGGTGTTTAATATTTCTAAATTATTTTCTGAGTCGACCGTCCGTTATCTTTAGGTGTAACGTTCACAGACACAAACTTGAACAGACGTCATGACAACCAACAATGTAATACTTTGCAAGCATATACATTTTAATAACTCATGATTTTTCAAATCAAATTGTATAAATGAATATATTATAAAGCTCACAAACAACTAATTCAGCACACACTGAATGGAAATTTATTGAAATTGTTGTTTACATGTTTATAACTTCAGTCCTTCTGGTCAGGTTTCAAGAGTACAGTGTGGATCAAAACACTACAAAACCATTATCCTGGGTTTGAGTTGGGGTGCAATATGAGATGTTTTCTTACTTTTCTGAAAAAAAGGGTCCAAACTTGTATTCGGAAAATTTATCGTAAATAGGTGATCGCACTTAAAATTTTCAAAAAGAATTCGAAAAATGTCACCACGGAACCAAATCCCCCCCTCCCCTCCCCCCCAGTTTGTCGATCTTACTTTTCATAATCAAGTTCAAGAATTTTTCCAGCAGTGCCTCAATGTAACAAACATATTTCTACCATCGCCGCAAAATAAATTGCTCTATTTTTATCCAGCTGCATCAACTGAATACTATACTATTTGCTAAATAAATTGCTTTAAAAGCTTCAAACAAAATCTGAGTACTAAAAGAAATTACATAAGAAATTTACCATATTTCATCCAAATGTTCAAATTTAATTAATATAAAATTAATATTCAAACAAAATCTGAGTACTAAAAGAAATTACATAAGAAGAAATTTACCATATTTCATCCAAATGTTCAAATTTAATTAATATACCCTGAAAAAATATGCTTAGAAGCGTTTTAAAAAAATCTGAAGAGTATATAATTAAGGAGAAGCCAAAAAGCTATCTATACCAAGTTTTATTTAAACATCAACTGCAGTGGTATAAATTTTAAAAATAAAAGTGTATGTGTTGAAGCACAGAGGCAGCTGCAGGTACATCAAGCCAATGCAATATCACTCTTAATTAGAAATCTCTCAGTTCATAAAAAAAATTAACAATTAGTATTAAAGTTAGAAAACAGCAGCTGCAGTCAGGGCTGAAATTTACACCCTCCCTCATTATTTGTTTTACAAAACTTCCTCAAATTCCGTTTCGCTTTGTGTTTACCGTGCCTTTCAAATTTTTATTCCTGCTGTTCCAAAATCACACATTTTCTGGCAAATTTTCTCGCTTTCTCTGCTCTTAAGCCCCACCACCTTTCAGCTTCAAACTCAAAGAACAATTCTTAAGTTATCATTCTTACATTTCATTCGAAATTTCAGTATTTTGATTAGGAAAAATATATGCTTATCTCTATCAATTATTTGTCGGTATACTTTCAATTTTAACCCCTCCACCAAATATAATTTTTTTGTCCAGCAAGTCCTCACAAGTCCTTCAGTCTCAAGTCAAGTCACAAGCTATTCATATGAGCTGTGATAAAGGCATTGCTTCGATACTGTTACCTTACAATCGGACATGTGATTTACTTGTGTCTGGACTTGTGATGGACTTGGCTACACCACGGTAAACACTGTTCATATGTCATCATTTTCTTCTCAAATGCCAAAATGGTGAGACTCTACAGATTGGCAGTTGAAGCAAGGAAGATGTCGGATGTGCAATCTCCCCCCGGATAGCGTATCTCATGAGCGAGGGCTGGACCGTCTGGCTCGTCGCCAAAATCCACCAGGAATTCTTTGTTGAGCGTCAGGCCTCCCACGTCGGTGTTGACGTCAACCTGCATCATCACTGAACCAGTTCTGAACAAACAACAGGAGATATCTCAATTGAGGTAGAATTATTGGGGGCGGGGTGAAGGAGTGGAGGGGGAGGCTGGGGTTGGCTCCCAGGGGAGATTAAAAACATCTAGCCAGTAGATGAGCACAATACTCCGAAGGTTCATCTTGTTGCCATTTTTAATATCGGATTTTCCTCTTCAGCAACAGAACTTTTAAAACGCTGTATGAACAGTGCTGTTCGACAGCTTCTGAGAAAGAAATCACAAGCTAACTGCTTGTATCTTTGAAATAGCTCATTGTCTTTTACGGACCCAATGCATTCATCAGACAAATTTGAGGTGTATTTTGTTATTTTAATTCAATAACAATGAATGTACCTGAGTTCTACTTATGCGTATCTCTATGGAACAAAAGCATGCACCTCACAAATGCCTGCAAATCAAAATCTCCATATGTCTTATGTGAATTTAGTGAGATAAACGAGGCACACAGACCAAATACAGGGCAATATTATTATTTTTTCACCAAGATCTATTCCCCCGCATCATTTTAATCGCGAGTCTCCTGTGAGCATTCACTCAACTTCCAACAAACCCTGCCACTTACTCGCACATGTCGGGATAGAACTGCTTATCCCAACCACTGTACAGGGACGTAGTGACGTAGAGTCTTTTGCCGTCCAGACTGAGTTGTATCATCTGAGGCCCGCCATTGATCCGTTTGCCCCCCATGTACAGCGGGTCTGGCTGTTTGGTCAATTCCTTGTCATCGGTCACTTTCACTGTGGAGTCAGTGCACACCAAACCGCCCAAGAATATCTGAAATAGGAATAGATACATTTGGAAAAGGCACATATCCACCAGTGTCGGTGTTTGTGGCACTACATAATTATTACACCTGCTCATCGGCTCATAAATATTCTAAAGACCAACTCAGCTCATTGTGATATTATTGATGCTGCTAACCGATAATAAAAAAAACCCACTAATCCACATCTTTTGAATTTGCATCACTCCAATGCAAATTCCACCGCCTTATGAATAATTCGGCTGCGGTACAAGCTGCTATATTGGATTCGAACCAGCCGGCCAACTCCGGCAAGCTCGGTGGTCGAGTAGTACAACATCTGCACTAGCAAGCAGGAGATTACGGGTTCAAGTCCCATCTGAGTACTTTCTTCTCACATCACTCGGGACAAGTTTGAGTACACAGTGTTTATAAAAATACATCGGTGAAGGGCAAACCCCAATATTGAATTTGGTTGAGTCTATCACAAGTCCGGTCAAAAGTAAATCATAAGGCCGGTCACTAGTAACTGGGGATGAACAATAACAACTGAATTGAATAGCTTGTGATATGACTTGAGCATGAAGGACTTGTGAAGACATTTCATGGACTCATCTACCCTACTGCTCATAGGTAACAACTTACTCCTAGTTAGAGAGAAGCAATGACATCTTGTGACAAAGTGTCTTGCCGCAGTGACACACTCACTTCAATTGTGCAGACTTATAGAGTACCGAAGTGTGCCGTGTGTTCTTGTTCACGTGCATAGCTTAAGTGTTTGAAGACATCAGCACGTGAACCAGAACAATGACAGCTGACGTCAGATTCGGTACTTTATAACAGAGGCTAGATAAGTTCAGCTACAGTTTTTTCGTTAACTCAGCCACCAATCCAAGTTAGTAAACCAGATTGGTGAGTGACAAATATTTACCTGGCCCACAAGTTTGGGGTTGCGGGTATCGCTGATGTCGTACTGTCGGATGTCACCATGGAACCAATTACTGAAGTAGACAAACCGGTCGTCCATGGACAGAAGGATATCTGTGATCAAACCTGCAAGTTAGGAGAAAAATAATTGAGATCACAATAATGAATAATAATAATAATAAATAATAACAGGTTTTTATATAGTGCTTTTAACTAAGATCAAATCGCTTTACAATATTATTACCCCTGATCATTGGGACAACATTGCAAATTCCATCTCAGCTCCCTGGGGAGTATACAGCTCAATGCTGCCTGATAGGCGTAGGAAACCTACTTCAATCACAATAACCATCTCCGCCCTCACAGGTACCCATTTTACACCTCAATGGGGAGAAGCAATGAGTGACAAAGTGCCTTGCCCAAGAGCACACGCACCATAAACCTAGGCTGGACTTGAACCCACAACCCGCAGAAGTGCCTGCAAACCACAAATTCAATGCCCAGACCACGAGGCCACGGCACTCCACTGAACTGAATTGCCTTGAGCTATTTTTTTATCCCCAAGGGTGCAGGAGACAAGAGAAATTTAGAATAAAACGATTTTAATTAAGAAAACTTTGCAAAATATTTCTGAGTAAACTCATTAAATTCCCAAGGAACCTGCGGCACAAAGAACACATCGCAACCAATGCCCCGAAAGAAAATGAATGCCTTACCCTAGACATGAAAATAAGCAAAGTACCAACAGTTTTTAAACTTCAGTGAAGCAAAAATGGCCTATAGTCAACTGAAAAAGTTTGTACAGATCTTAGTGTACAAAAATAGTATGCGAGTAATCATTTGCATTGTCACAATTTGATGATGAGCCTTGTTTTCTAATGCAAACCTTTTAGCCTGTTTTATATTCCTACCTGGCATATCAGGCAACGCCCATCCGTCCACCTTCTTAGGGGCCACGTCAATCACTTTCTCCACCGCCCAGTCACCATTCTACACAAGAAAATAGAGCAAATATCTGTTTTTAAATATTCTTAAACTGCAAAGGCAGGAAACGTATTCATTGTACTTAAGTGCAAAACGTGAAGAACACTTTTAACTCGTCAAGAGACTTTAATTTTGATCAAATTTTGATCAAATTCAGATACAGAAGGAATTAACTCAATTATTAATTCATATTTTGTAACAAAGTGTCTTGAGACAACCAGTGCACACCCCTCACTAGTGTGTACCTCCCAACGGGTCTCTTAAAAGTGGTCCCAAGTGTCATCATAGGTCCTCGCCTAACCAGGGCCCAGTTTCATGGCTCAGCTAATCACAGAATTCCGCGCTTACAATCACAATTTTGTGCTAACCACGCTATATAGCAGCAAACTTCTGTGCTAACCCTGTAAGCATACAATCCTTAGTTACGGGATGCACGCATGCGCAGAAGCCAAAATTCCTCACTAACGCGTAAAATACGCTTACTGTAAGTACAGAATTTTCTGCTACAGTAAGTAGGTATTTTCACTAACGGTAAGCAGAGCAAAGAAATATGGCCCAGGAGTAACCTTAAGGGTTAATCTTGATAAACCGTTATACTTACGCTAGTCTTAAAGAAGCGGAACACGTTGGAGCTCAGTGCACAACCAACAAATCCCTCTGTTGCCAGGGGATTGTGAAGAAACCGAATCTCCAAGGGAATGGCGCCCTCATCTATCCCCATGTCAATGTTTTGCAGCAGGGTGTGGTTTTCCCAGTCATAGACATTGAGACTGTGGCCGTATAATCCTGCAATATGAAATTGGACAGCAAATTATTTATCATTTTCTCTCTTTTTTTTTTTTTAATCTCACGGAGATTGATTGGATTTTTCCCTATTGAATATGGCCACATAAAAACATAATTGAGCTGAGAAAATTCCATATCATTCAGCCGTCTATTCAGTCTTCAAGAAGTACTTTTCTTTTAAATTGCTAAAAAGGCTGATATACATTTAAACTGTTGAAATAAGATGCATTACATGCCTCTCCTCAGATCCAAGTTGTGGAATCACAAATTTTACTGCATTTACTCTATATTTCATTTTCAAGGGTTTAGCACATTCCGAAATAAACTACCTTGACCAAAAAAATATGTAGGGCAGTGATATTAGAAAAATAATATATCCTCACCCCCCCCCCCAACCTGTTTCACGTCTTACCATTAGCATAGTCGGCAGGGTCGAATCCCTTCAAGAACGCCTTCGGAGCACCCCACTCGGTGCTGATCATGACGTTATGGTACGGCTGATACCAGAAGTCATATCCAAAGGGTGAGCTGTGCCCTTCCTTCTCCCAGTGACCAACGACAGAAAACTCCTTACCATCCAGGATGATAAACCCACCTAGTTCAGCAAACCAAGTAAATGAAAAGTATAACGAAATAATTTGCAAACCACTCCTCAATTATCAAACCAGATTAAAGACAATTCATGTTGATTCCTTAACATCCAGGATGCTGTAAACATCACCTAGTTCTGCAAACCAGATACAGAAAAATTATTGATAATTTGTTTTTTAACCAGTTGTGCCTCCCAATCTTGTGACTATCAAAGTGGATTAAACCACTTAACGGTTCATCCAACCATTATTTCTTGACTAAAGTTACTATCGCCAATTCTGATATGGCCTAGCACAAAATATAAACACCGCCCTCACTGGACACAAGCCTGTAGCCTATACCTTTAGCCTCTCCAGGGCGTTTAGCATCCCCCATAGCGCTGATCATGATTTGGCCATCTGCCAGGCAGTGGGTGGTGTGTGGGGTCGTCAGGCCAGCTACAGATCCAACTTCCTCAGGCTCAACAACCTGTGGCCCAAAAATACAATTTCATGGATTTTACTACATTCATACAAGCCTCAGTGTGCACATCACATCGCATACACACAGAAAATGCATACATTATTTTATTCTGACGGTGCACAATCCCCTAGTTTGAAACGTATGAGTGCCAGACATACAGGTTAAAATGTCAAGAAATCTGCCTACTGACTCTCTCTCCGTCAATAATTATTAGGGCTGGGGTACTTGCACACCGATTCCACTGGTAAATCCCAGAGCTCTTGGCAATGGACGCTGTGCAAAGGTACCTCTTCAACAGTAAAACAGACGGAACGATAAGAGCCAACTGAGCGAAAGTTCTACCGTGTTCCCAAAGCTACACTACCTTGTGTATGCGCGGTTTGCGAGGTGTAGTCCCAACATCGATCACGTAGATGCGAGATGAGAACAGCGAGGGCAGGATGAGACGATTCCGCGTCATGTTCCCATCGCCATAGCAACTGCTGCAGGTATTCCAGCCACTGTGATGAAGCTCATCGTCAATGTTGGGCATGGGAAGACGATGAATCACCTAGAATAAAATATGGTCATTGGTACATATAGGGGAAAGTTTCAGAAGATAGGATATCGGACTGGGGTAGTTCACGACAAAATGGGAATGGAACTTCACAAACAAAGAAGAAATATTTTGTTTATTGTCATCTAGTGGATTTAGAAAAGGACAGAGAGAGAGACCATTTCCACACACAAGTAGAAAATCAAAACTTTTTACAAGCCAGTCAACAGCAATTCACACTGGAATGTTTTAATAGGTGACATATTTACAAGTTACTCTAATTGTTTTGATTGAGGCACTCCAGACACCTTCAAATCCTGTGACCAACATCTTAATTAATTCCTCCCAAGTACAATGGAAAAAACAAAAAGATGCTTATCAATTCCATGATCATAATAATTGATTGAGTGAGTGATCAATTAATTGATCAATAGCGAGTGATCAATTAATGGACCAATCGACCAAACGGCAATCAATCAAACACTCCATATAAATCCATCAATGAGTCAGCTAGTTTGTCAATCAGTCAGTTGGTCAATCAATCGGGGAGTCAGTCAGTCAGTTGGGCAGGCAGGCAGTAAGTCAGTAATTTGGCGAGTAATTTGGTCAGAAGGGGAGTCAGACAGTCAGTAAGTCTATCAATCAGTCAAGCAGGCAGTCTGTCCCTCCCTCAGTCAGTTTGTTGGTCGTCAATCAGTCAATGAATCAATCAAAATAAAGCCTAAAACAAAAAAAAGCGCTGGTGTCCTTTGAAAAGTGTCCAGCGTTCTAATCTGTGTACCTTGCAGTAAGTTGTGGAGCGTGGATCGACATCAACCGTAGCCAGGTAGTCTGGTTTCTTGACTTCTGTGTTGCGATAGATGCAAGGCAGATAGATGATCTCTTCCTTTGGTCCCTTCATTGCATCTTGAGGGCTCTTGTACCCAGGGCCTTTACCTTTGCAACATGCTGAAAAATCAATGCAAAATGCAGAAAAATCAATACACTTTTAACTAGAATGTTAAAAATCCAGTAATCCATACCAAAAAAAATAATCTTAACTTATGAGTAGTTGTGGGGTACTATCATAGGCAATTATTTTGATTTAAATGCTCAAACTCCATTGTGTTTTCCTTGTGGGACACTGAAATTTGTATTTCAAACTTTTAACGTCCTATTGGCGCTATAGTTGCTCTTTTTCCTAGTGTGATATGAAATCTGGACTCCTACGAAATCTCGTCTCTTTTACCTTATTTGGACCAAATGTTACACTCACCGATACCACAGGCCTAGATTGTACAGTATTGAACAACCAGCACTCCATCCTAGTTGTGCCCACAAATTTGCAAAGTACACCGTATATTTTGGGTTTTGGGAAATTGCATTGTCCTATTAGGCCAAAAAAAATAAGTCTCCGGTTTCTGGTATGGAGCTTGTCCAAAAAGTGGTGGGGCGACGCGGCTTTTTTTTATTTTACCTGACTTTTTTGCTTCAAATGTCGGCTGATGACTGCAAATGGTGCCCGACTAAACTTAGTGCAAATATCTGGGAGTCCAGAGAGGCCACATAAAGCTTATTCTCGATCATAACCCCATCTAAAAACACGTTAAAATTGTGCAGTAGCAGGATTCCAGTCAAACCAGTGAGTTTGGCGGTTTTGAGACATTATCTTTCATTAGAAAAAAAACTTTTTCATTTTGCCGACGCGCATGGCTACGGCGACGCGCGCGCATACCAGAAACCGGAGACTTTTTTTTTTTGGGCCTTATCCCTCTTCCTTAGAATTTCTCCCCAACAGGGTGTCGTAAACAAGATCAAATAGGGATTTTTTACTGTTCCCAATTATGATTCAATGCTATGTAATGAAACAAAATTGCTAATAAAAAAAAAATCCATGAAGGGGAGTAGATAAATATTTAATTGCGCTTATTTGTTAAGAATATACATTTTCAAACTGACAGAAATAAGTATTGTTTTGTTTTTTCATTTATTCCCTTCAGAAAATGTTGTCAGCAATATCCAATCTATTCAAACTTGAGTTGAACTCATTTTCCCATCATTCATTCATACATTCCCCCATATATTGCACCAAAACCAAAGAGGATACACCAATATTTTGAGTAAATGTCAACATTTCACAAATTTCATTATTAAACCAATACTTGCTGCAGTATGAATCGTGCAGAAATGGACTTTGTAACTTTTTAAACATGTTTGCAAATTTGATATCATAAATTTGATTTTGATAAAGAGATATCGATCTTCAATAAAGTAATGAAACTGTGATGTTACAATGTTTTCTTTAGAAGCTTTTTTTGCTGGTTTCAAAGCCAAAAGCGCAAGACATTAATAAGTAAAATGTAAATCTCAGGGTTGGACAAATGACAAGTTATTAAAAAGCAGTTATAAATATATTTTTAAATTTGTTTGTTTGTTTGTAAAGCCACAAAATAACACAATTTGTTTCTTTGTTTTTCTTCCTTTTTTATTATATGTGTTCAAAAACATGTGCCCAATGTCAAAATGTAACCCAAAATAATGAACTTACGGGATTGAACACTGTCCATGTGGTCGCACCTGAAAAGGCTGGTTGTAAGCTTTGATTATATACAGGGTGAGTAAAAAAAAAAAAGCGGAACCCAAACCCCAAAAATTATATTTCATATTTAAAAAATATCTGGCACCAAAAATAATAATGACCGGAAAGCCAATTTCATAAGCTACTTTTAGATGAAAAGATTACTGAAATTGCTCAATCCGTTCAAAGAATATCACAATTTAAACACATTGACCCTAAAACCTCTTTCGTCCCAAAATGCGATTTCAAGAATCGTCGTCACAATTGTTTCCAAACATCACCAGTGATACAATCTCAGCTTAAAAGTTAAAAATATTCAACAAAGTCCTTTTGAAGGCCTGTCTATTAAAAAAAAAGTGGATTTTATAAATCATATTGTTTGCCTAACCAGGGTTGTTAATTAAGATACTATGTACTACAGTTGTTGAAACAAGTGTTCTGTGTCATTTTCTTTGTTGTTCCACACAGTCAGAATACACAATAAATTGCATTTTTTTTTACCAAAGGGTCATCGCATTTAAATGGTGATATTCTTTGAACGCATTGAGCAATTTCAGTAATTTTTTTCATCTACAGGTAGCTTATGAAATTGGCTTTCCAGTCATTATTATTTTGATGCTATATATTTATTTTAAATATAAAATATATATTGGGGGGTTTGGGTTGTTTTTTTTTACTCACCCTGACCCTGTACCTTGCACCCCCACAGTCAGTCATATATAGATGACTAGGCATTTAATATTGATTTCAAAACTTAGTCAACAGTGTCCTTCAACATGTTGATCAGATGTCCTTCTGGTTTGGGAGGGGTTTTTTTTGGGGGGGGGGGTGTGTAAAGCTGGCCAAACCATTCAAAAAAAAAAAATGTCCCCTACCCCGCCCCGCCCCGCCCCGCCCTGCCCTGCCGGCCTGCGAATTTTCTTTTCCCAACTGACATATCCGCATACATGGTTATTTAGCTCCAATACCAGGGTGAGAGAGCAGGTAGTGATGGGCGCGTACTGCTCGACACCCTTGGGACGAGGTTGAGTCGATAATACAGAGTCGTGATTTTGCACCACGAAGTTGCGGGCTCGAAACGGGGTTTTGCACTCGATTTATTTTCTTTTCTAACCTGAGGCTTCGGAGGGTATTTTTTTTAAAGGGAAATTAAGTCCGAATTTCAAAACGTTTGAATTCACTTCTTTTTTTTTTTCTAATTTTATATTTTCTTTTCATGTTTGTAGAAAGTTAAATTCAAAACGCCATAGCGTACACCCATATGCGGATGTCGTTTGGGAGAAAAAAATTCGCTGCCGGGGACGGCCCCTTTTTCCACGCCGCCGCGCCAATGGCAATGATCGATTGTGCGGAATGACTTGGCACAATTCACTCCATTCACACATGATTCACAGGTGCGCTTGCAGCTCCGTGCATGGTTGAATGTTTACCCAAGGGGCAATGAAGTTTACATTACAGCCTCAGGCGCTACCTTTTTTTCACCATAAAAGCCTCAATGTATACCAACCCCATTGGAAACATTATTGAAGAAAACGATTCCTGAAACATTGTTAGTTTTATTGTTGTTAGAGAAAGCACTTTTTTTTTTACAAAATGTGAAACCAAGCCTAGCTCACTACTGTACTGTACTTGAACGTGGCGTACGGTAACTTACACGACATGATTGAAGCTCAGCAAGTTGATCTACTGCACGGTAAAGTCGCCAAATTTCTCCCTTCAGACAAGCAGCTGCAGATTTTAGTCGAGTCTGGGTCTCACTCTGATTACGAAACCTGCTGATGACATGTACCGAAAACTAAATTCTTCAGATATCATAAAAGGAGACGACTTTTCCTGATCGCTCGACCGTACCGCGCCCCTGGTCCCTAGCTGGAGTACCTCTCTTATCAATGGATATGCTCAAGTTGTACGTACATACACACATGTATGCGCGACGTGTATATATACACGTCGCGTCACGCGTACGCGGAGTGATTGTGCTATAGTGGCGTGAGTGCGTGACAATACACTGTGGACTGAATTATACATTATTTGATTTGGTGGGAACAGTGCAAACTTTGTAACCTTGACAAAGAAACTTAATATTTGGGGCCTCCGAGCGGTCCCGTACAGCACAGCCCTGAACTTGTTCATTTATGCATCGCGTTGCAGGTGCTGCATTCAATCAGAAGTTCGACGACATAATCAGGGGACCCGCTTCATGTAAATATCTGCTCAGTCACCTTGCGCCTGCATATAACATCCCTGCTGAGGATATTATACAGCATTAGGACCACTCTTGCGGGTCCAAACTGAAGGACCAAAAGTGGGAGTGGCATATTCGGGGTGGGGTGGGGTCAAGGTGGCCACCCCAAGCATTTTTTTCCAAACAAATAATTAAAGGTAATATGCAATATTTGCTTTCGCTGTAATTTTCAGAAATGGGGGTTAGTATTTTATAGCAAAGTATTGTTACACTGACCTGTTTAAAGCTTTGTGTTCGTAATCATAGATAGCTTAAGTTCCCTGCTTTAAACGAAACCGAGCAATTTCGATTGGACTAACTAATTTTGGTAATTTGGAGCCAGTATTCGATGGTCGGCCGACCATCGGATACAAAATTCCACTTTCTTGAAAATGACAACAGTACGCCAGGTGCCACGTGATTTCACAGGATGCTTGAGACTATTATTCACTTACAGTCACGTTAGGTATTTTATAATAATTTGGTAGTTTTGTTTTTTGATGTTTGCAAATGTTGTATATAACATTTAAACAAGATAAGGAGTGCAGACAAAAAGCGCCCCTATCCCCCCCCCCCCCCCCCATTATCGCCATTGGCCTCGCCCTACCGTAATGACTTGCGCACATATGGGTTTAATCAAGCGGGGGGGGGGGGGGGGGGGAGGGGGGGGGTAAAGATCAACAGCTGTATTTCCCTGTATATAAAACTACGAAGAAAGTAAAGTAATTTTATATTTCAAAATAATCTCTTTAGGTCTGTTTATTATTTTCGGGGAAAAAATACAATCATCCCCAATTACAAACCCGCAGTTTATTACTAATTATCAAAGAAATACATGTGCAATCGTTTTGTCGTGTACAATGTTTGCTTTCGTTTTTGCAGTAATTTTATTCCACCGATAATACTTACACACACAACTAAACGCAGGCAGTCGCAAGACCAATACAGATGTCCGCGTACAACGCGCTACCTATTAGCAGGGATACACCAGTGTCAAATACAAAGGCATAAGAGCCCTCGATATTAACAAAATATTAGTGCTCATTACAAGGTAAGGAAATATATATAGGGCCTATATGAAGGCAATGAAGACGTAATAAAATATCATAATGGTGGAAACATTACGAATTTTGTCCCCAGCCTGAAAACATTTTAAGTAATTTGTGAAATACAGCGTCTCTGTAAAGGACAATTCCTTAAAATTTGGGGTCCAGAAATGTGACATGTTGTGTCCCTGTTACACCTGACGTGTGTAATAAGTATCATGGTCTACAAAATAGACTGTACCCTTTGCTTTGCATAATCACTCTTGGAGATAAAGAAGGCATAAAAGAATGTGTCCCAGATTAACAACATCTTATATCAGATATTACAGGGACACGAAAACAATTGGACCCAACATTAATGACACTGAACCATGCACGAACATTTCCATGCCTGGGTAGGCTGACGTTAAAGGTTGGTTGCTAAGCAACCCACTATGTGCGTTCAGTATTAACCTCTGTTATTAATGTCAATATGTGATCGAATAGACTTAGTAGATAAGCTTTATTGAACCATTGATAAGACATTTTTAAATCAATGTTTTTGTGTTATGAAAATGAATGTCAATTCTAAATGAAATACCCGGCTGTCTGTTCCCGGCTCAGGTACAAATCTTTGGACCCGATTTATGTACATTACAAACGATTTTTTTTCTGGTTTATTTGGACTTTTTTTAATCACGCTAAAACGTAAATTCTACATTCTAAACACTTAAGCCAAATTGAGCGACATCGTGTACAAAGTGTGACAAGAGCAAAATGAATGTGGACACAACACCGCCAGAACTATACATCCGCTGAGCTTACAACATCGAATTCATGGAATATTTGTGCATTTTATAAGATGGAATTTTCCGTTGTGGAGATTTAGAATCAGTATTGGGTTTTTCCCATGACCGTCGTATTAAATCAATAGTGTGGCAGTACAGTCTCTTCATTGTTTATTAAGTACGTCGGTGATGAGAAAAACCCAATTTGACAAGCTAATTTTGCTCATGTTGATATTATGAAGCTACACGGTTCCACCTTCCACCATTTGCATGTACTCAGAGTACGCTTGGCGCCAAACTGCCATGTCATTTTCCCGCCAGTTATAGAAGTCTTCCCGCCACTGCCATTCCGCCTCTTCCATTTCACCTTCATCAAAAAAAAAATGGGCGACAGCTACAGTAAAACAATTTTTATGATGGAAACAGGACGACGAAAATGTTCAGGATGACAGAAATTAAACGATTAGCGCCCTCACTCATGCAAAATTGGTGAAGGATGATCGGTATGGAGCGTTTGCACAGAGCGCCCTCAGTGTGGACAGGTATATATTCGTTCCTGTATGATACGCAAGATTGGGCACTTTGTACTTCATTGTCATTGAGATAACAAAACCTGTCCAAGTACAGTGAGAACGCTTTGTACAAGCTCTTCATTAAAGATATGGGAAAATATAATAAAGGAGGCAAACATCAAGCTTATTCCGCACCTGTAAGTGTTACCAGTTGAGGGATATATTCATTCCAGAAACGACACTGAGCGCTTCTTAGTGCCCGTTGGTCTCTCATGGCCGGCGCGACTTCTTTGTACCCCAGCTCCGGTATGGTAAACTGTGCCCACAACTTGGCATCGTCTACGCCATCGGCTTGGTTAGGATACGCTGTGTTGGGATTGCTTCAAGAAAAACATATAATTTAAATTAACATTTAACCGAGTCACCTTCGGTCAGAGCAAAACATTACCCCCTCCCAACAAAAAGTTGACAACCTGTTGGATGGGGGGGGGGGGAGGGGGGAGGGGGGGGGGCTCAAGCTCCTCAATGCCCCCTCCCCCTTTAGTGCGCCACTGGTGGTCTGATTCATCGTGGCTCCTCAGAGGATTCCCACTGGTTCAGAATCATGCCTCGGAAAACTCTGTTAACCGATATTCTTACATGAAAAACTACAGGAAATTTTAGTTTTAATTCTTTTGTTTGCCTGACGTTGAAGCACAATCCAATGCTACAAGCTTGAAATGGATCCCAGTCGGCGACTGGTCCTGAGAACGCTTTGAAAATCTCTCATAAAAGTGCAGCAAAATAGGAAGTCTGATACACGTGCCATGTCGACCATGAAGCTCACCCTGTTTTGGCGAAATTGGTCCAGTATCGCATCGTGTCCATCGTCATGCTCACTTCCTCCGCCGTGATGTTCTTGTCTCTTCCCGGCAGCAACCCGAAGCCAAAGACGAAGAGCAATTCATCCGCGTGAGCAACAATGCCCGTCCATGGTACACGCTCACCAAAGTTGCGATCAGACGGTACATGCGTCATGTGATAAAGGTACGTGTCTTCTCCCGCCGCCGCATACGTTCTAGCCACTGCGTCTGTAGGGCACACGAATGGTTCGTCCGTAGTGATGCGAACAAAGGTCTCGAAGAAGTTGGTATCCGGATCGTCAGCTGTGGCCCAATCAACGTACTGCTGTTTGACAGCGTTCAAAATTAAATCGTTTGTGTAGCTGTAGACGTAGGTGCCGAGTTTGGTTTCGAACTCTGTCCGATTCACGAATGGGTCGGAGTCGTTGAGCATTCGCAGAAAAGCCCTGGCTGCCAGTAGCGACCCCTCGTCTCTTGTTGTTCCGGTCATAAAATCGCTCTTTTTGAATTCGCCCCGTTTAAGAAGGTTGATTGGATTGTCTGTGATGAACTCACCGTCCACGACAGGAACAAACGGGATGACGTTCCGTGTTTTAGCGATTACCTGCAAATTGAATGACAACGAAAGAGACATTACATTGCATCAACCTGCAATGTGCCGATCAAATCGGGACTTTAAAATACCGGACTGACACCTCCAATGCTGTCAAAATACCACCGCAATGAAACCTGCATTACGTTTGTAAATCTGACAGGGTGCCGTCACAAGCGGCAATGTCTCCTCCAAACCGCCATGCCGCGGCACTGTCCCAGTAAAACCAACACTGTCTCGTAAAAAACTGAAAGAAATTGACACTGTTTCGTCCACACCGCCCTGTCTCAGTAAAACCGCCACTGTCTAATATAAACCGCCATTGTCTTGTAAAAAGCGGTGCTGTCTCGACCAAACCGGCAGTGTCTCGTCGAAACCTGCACTATCTAGTCCAAACCGGCATTGTCTCGACCAAACCGGTGCTGTCTCGTCCAAACCGGCATTGTCTCGACCAAACCGGTGCTGTCTCGTCCAAATCTGCATTGTCTCCTCTAGACCGGCATTGTATCCCCCAAACCTGCACTGTCTCGACCAAACCGGCACTGTCTCCCCTAAACCGGCACTGTCTCCCCTTAACCGGCACTGTCTCCCCTTAACCGGCACTGTCTCGTCCAAACCGCACTGTCTCGTCCAAACTGGCACTGTCTCCCCTAAACCGGCACTGTCTCGTCCAAACCGGCACTGTCTCGTCCAAACCGGCACAGTCTCGTCAAAACCGGCACTGTCTCGTCCAAACCGGCACTGTCTCGTCCAAACCGGCACTTTCTCGTCAAAACCGGCATTGTTTTGACCAAACCGTCTCCGTCTCGTCCAAACCGACAGTGTCTCGTCCAAACCGGCATTGTCTCGTCCAAACCGGCATTGTCTCGTCAAAACCGGCACTGTCTCGTCAAAACCGGCATTGTCTCGTCCAACCCGTCCCTGTCTCGTCCAAACCGGCATTGTCTCGACCAAACCGCCACTAGTCTCATCAAAACCGGCACTGTCTCATCTAAACCGGCATTGTCTCGAAAAACCGGAACTATCTCGCCCAAACCGGCACTGTCTTGTCTAAACCGGCACTGTCTAATCCAAACCGGCATTGTCTAGACCAAACCGATGTTGTCTCGTCAAAACCGGTACTGCCTCGCCCAAACCGGTACAGTCTCGGTGAAAATGGCACTATCTTTGTCGAACCGGTGTCGTTTATTCCAAATTGATCCTGTCTTGTCCCAACTTTTTTTCTGAAATAAGTTCAACCTTGTAAAAATACCAACACCTAAACGTACTTATCAATGTTGTGTAATTTCCACAAACTTATTTCCCGAGTGCATTACCAATGTTGTTGCGACGCGCAGCCGGACCTCGTCAACATTCCTCAGACAAGCGGCCAAATCAGCGCTCGATCGGGTGTCGTTACAACCGGCGTTCCTCCCAACCTCAAAGGCGTCCTGTCTGGCTTTGTCCTGGTCCAACTCGATGACCCACGGGGACAAGGCACTACCACTCTAGAAAGTATCAAAGTAGCGTCAAATTAATTAATGGATTAATTAATTAAATCATGAAGTGTACTTTATTATTATATTCCAGGGTTGTACGCTATTGACCGTTATAATTGTCACCTGTTATTTTTCTTTAATAAAAATTATCAGAATAATGGCTCAGTTAACATTTTGGATACAGTGGGTTGAGTGCAATCTATGATCCTAGCTCTGCCCTACAACATTAAAAACCCAACATTCATCATCTTTTAAGCAAACACTCCCGTGTCACACCCCTAAGGTACCTGCGCGATTGCCCTGTCATAGTACTCCCAAGCCGGTTTGCCCATCGTCAACATGCTCACGGATCCGGACCCGGCACTCTGCCCAAAAATCGTGACCCTGTTAGGGTCTCCTCCAAACTCTAAATAGAAAAAGAAATATGAGATTTAAAACACCGACAATTTGCCCAAAGTGGTCCTCGTTAAGTTATCATTAAAATTCTTGAAACTTTCGTTTTACCAGGCAATATGAAATGTGACTCTGTGGGTGCAACTTTTGATATCTTGTCGGAACGTTGTGATAAAAATGCTTATAAATGCCATTTTTGTCAAATGAATGTACTCTAAATGTATAATAAGTAAATGTCCTGATGCTCATTTAAAAATGCGGTTAAAACTATATTGATATCGAAATTGAACTTACACAAAACAGTTCATAGGTACACTGCCAAAGAAATAAGTTTTAATTAACTCCTATATAGCGAGAAGATTCTAATTCCAAACGTGAAACTCATTTTGTACTTTGGTCAAAGCTGATGCTCTGTGTATTTCGGGCGAGGTACGGTATTAAAGGAAAGGCAGGAAAGCTCATAACTATGGCAATGCTGGAAAATTTAGCAATTTCGTGTGAAACAAAACATTATTCAGATTACTTTTAGAGTAATATACTGCTGAATGTTTGACTAGATTTTCAGACAGTGACCTACCTGATATGTATTTCTTGACCCATTTCAGTGCCTCGACTTGATCCCAGAGACCGTAATTCCCGGGCAACTCTGCATCGCCTATAGGCATGCAATAAGAACCAACGTTAGCAATGTTTAAGAGATGTCTGTAGTATCATCATTAAAACGGAAAAGAGATTTGTAAGTTTTCCTTCGTGGTTTATAATAAAAAAAAAATGGCACCTTGGGGGGGGGGGGGGGGGACAGACTTGTGTACAAACAAAACAAACAAAACAAAAACAACAAAAACCTTCCCAGAGCCCTATTTGAATATACTCCCCCTCCCAAACTTTTAAATCATACTATTCTGGACCTTAGGAATTGATTGAAACATTTTGCGACAATAAAAGTCGTTTAGAAATAGTAAAGCATTACGTAGACACTAAAATGTCTCCCAAACATCCAGTGTCTCCCTAATGTAAAATGATTCACTACAAAGTATCTCACTAAGGCACCATTTAATGTTGAAATTCTTGTGTTGCCTTGCCTGTGCTGATAAACCCGAACGAGTTCAATCGATAGTTGCACGAGACATAGACGATGTCGTTGTAGGCAACCAGCGGTAAGCCGTTGTAACTGTTGCCGGCCCCAGTCAAATATCCACCGCCGTGGAAAAACACCATCACCGCTGCATTACTCGGCTGCAACGAAAAACCAAAACGAACAAGAAATAATGTTCAATGAACAAAAACAACACAAAAAGGTGTGACTTCCTTATCACATTTATTAATTTTACAAATGTGAAAAACTTCATTGCCATTAACCCGCTACGAGTCGTGTTTTAAATTTCACATCACGGCAATTTATTTGAATTAAAGTTGAGCCCACAAAAAAAAAATGGGTAGGCCTATCTAACGTAGTTTGCAGGAAAATAACCAATAATTTCTTCAAAATGTTGACAATTTGTTAAATGATATCGCCAAAACAAGTCTGAGATCGCTCAAATGCGTGGGCTACAAACTGGACTAGCAAAAATGAATGGAAAATGTCGCATTTACGGATCTTTTTACGTTTCGTTGGAATTGGGAAAAATGACAGGAAGAAGGCAAGCAAGATTCTGATATGGGAGTTCAACGAGAGGCATACATCGTATTCACGGGGAAGCCATTTTCGATCGTGTTCCCTGAATCAAATTTTGTAATTGTAAACTGCTGAATGGGATGGTGCCAGACTATTTTTTTATTGGAGTGCATTCCAAGCCTCACTTTCGATTTTTTTAATATTTTGTTTTTGAGTGGCTTAAAACATTAGGATATGTTTAATCACAAATGTCAAATTATTCGTCAGAGCAGACTGGTATTAATTTGTAATGAACTTTTAGTTCATTGCTTTCATTTCTACTAGCAAGTTCCCAAAAAAATGATGAGTTTATCTCGTTTTCAATTTAATATGGCCGACTCGTGAACAAAGCCTTTTACGAGGTAAAACCTTGGACGACTATCTCGCAGTACTAGGCTTAGGAACTATAAGAATAAATGGAGGAAACAAAGCGAATACTGCACAATACTATTACAATTGCAATTCTCGTCGTGTTGATTTCATAAATCTAAATATCTAGGTTTCATCCGAACTGTTTTATTTATTTCTGGGAGGAAATCTGCAGAATTAATCAAAGTCCATAGGACATTAAATTCTATGCACTTTAAAGTAATAAGCAAATTGACTTGACTCGTTTGTGTGTTTTGTTTTCTTCAATATGTCGATCGGAACACTTTGCGATTAACAAAACCATGGATGACAAAGCGGCCAATGCCGGGATCACATGATCAACATGATCGTTTTAGAGCTTTATATAAAGAGGATAGTAATCCAAGGTCTGATATTTTTAGTTTTGTATGACATTGCCCGACCACTCTCAGGGTTTTATCAAAGCAAACTGACTAAATCTTAAAAGACAAATATGAAACTATCTACCGATGGCTTCAAATGCCGCTATCATTATCATTATATAACCCGAAGCAATCGTTTTCAGGAACAGAGGACACGAAATACGAGATGAGGTTTTGTTATCGCTGGGTGCACGAACTATTTTCTTTTTTGGTCATCTGGAGGCTAATCCGGTGAGGGGTTAGATACTGACTATGTTATCTCGTAACGCTTGTTTTGAGGTCATCAGGGTAACAAGTAGTACGATCTGCGAGTTGCCAAAAGTTGATGCACAATCACAATGTCGCATAGAACAGCCGATGTTGAAGGATATTCTCTCCAACTCAAAATATTTTACCTGATATCATGCACCTACAACGTTGGTGTTGCATAGTACATTGTTAGTAGAACAGGAACATTTGAGATGTTCAAGTATTTTTATTATGACTCGAGCCAACCCCACTTTGACAAGCCCCGTTTTGCACTTCTCTCCCTGCCCATATTTCTGCGCATAAAACTAAAAGGGAATCACACAATTCTGCAACTGGACTGATTAGTGTCGATTGTGCTAAGCATCGGCACTGTTCTGGCAACTTCATGGGAGGCAATGATACATTGCATGAAGATGTTCACGGATGGTTAAATAAACGAAAAGCAGTTTCTAGTTTTAGAGCAAGAAGCAAAGCGATGTACACAGCAGTTAAACCTTCATAGCAAAACCGAATAAATTAATAAGAAAAAAATCAAATGAACTACTCATACGATATCGAATCCAGATGTAAAGAACACATCTTATGTCATCTACTCCGATACCAAATGTGGCTGTAGCAATGATCCCATTTTTAACATCAAAAATTCTCCAACCAAAAATTTTAAATTTCATAAAAAGGGCCTCAAACTCACTTTGACACTCGGTGCCCACACGTTGAGATACAGGCAATCCTCACTCGTTCCGTCTATCTCTAGCGGCTGGGTGCATTTAGCTCCGAACTCGGTAGCATCAAACTCACCGGACCAGACCTTGGCTTGGGGTTTAGCGAACCGGTCCGGCTTCTCGGCGTACGGTATCCCCTTGAAGATGTTGACGGAGGTATCGATGATGGGGTACTCGGTCCGTGAGAAATGGACCGTCTCGCCGATGAGGGTACCTAGGCCGGGCAAGGCAACCTTCGGTTGGCAGTCGACACCAAGGACGGTGAGGAGGCTGATCAGTAAAACTTGGATCCAAATCACCGCCATCTTGCTTGGCCTTTCACGTGAAGATACTTGTGTCAATGGTTGAGTTTGTTGATGCCACTTTTGACTTGTGAGTCGGAAAGATTTATCAAGACCGCTTCAGATTTTCGAAAAACGTTATCAGTATAAATGACGTGATATCTAATCAGACGGTTGCCTCTGCCCGGACCGAATTAGTGTCTCTTTTCACGGTAACCGGCCATATATTGTGTCCTTGGGCAAGCCACTTCACCCCACTTGCCTCTCTCCACCCAGGAGTATAAATGAGTACCGGCATTAGCTGGGGAGTAACCTGCGATGGACTGGCATCCCATCCGGAGGGGGGGGGGAGGATAGAAATATCCTCGGTCGTTTCATGCCTAGGAAACCGGAGATAAACGCCGGCCTGATGAGCTGTATTGCCTCGTGACAGATTTTACTACGGTAACCTGGTAACGGTATGGACTGGACAATTACTAAAAAATTATCAATGCTACATATTTTGTAGGCCTACATAGATAATTGTGCAATGTGTACTCATAATGTTACCATGCACATGGAGTGCTTGGTGGCGTGGCCTGTTAAGTCCAAGTAAATAAAAATGTTGCCCTTGGGTTACTGTAATTATCGAAATTGTCGAAATATCTGCACACCTTCAAATTGCCTAGTCAGTATTGCCTAAACAAACCCCTCGAAAATTGTATGACTTTATCACAACAATAGGGCGCCCTCAATTGGCATATTGGATTCGTATACCCGTAGTCAATCCAATGACCAGTCTCTACTAGTGCACTAGAGGTTTCTTCAACAGGTGACACAGGGTCCTCGCTTGCACTAGCACAACGAATGCGCAGCATGTAGGTATTGGTCATGGCGGTTAACTACCCACAATGCTCTGCACTTCCTTCACAATATTTGGTGAAAGATTTACCTTCAAGCGGCTCCCTTGAATAATTATAATGTATAGACAAGTATCTATTATGAACTGGGATATTGTGAAATGACGTGTGCTGGTTCAGGGTGCGATGGACTGGACTACAGTGCAGTGCTGGATTGGGCTGGACTGGGCTAGGCTGAATTTGACTGCGTTGAAATGGGTTTGGCTGGGCTGAGCTGGTATGTTTTTTTTTTATCTGGGTGAAGTTGGGGTGGTCAGGATGGGCTGGGAAAGTATGTCATATGCTTCCCGAAATTAGTCAGTGTAACATTAGGTTTAATTCATTTTTTAATGTACATTTAAAAAAAAAAAATAATAACCACATACTACATAATTTCCACAACTTTCTCTGATCAATCGAAACTAAATTTAGATATACATGTATTTTACAATTTATTGCAACAGGTTTTAAGTCTTGAATTTTAGATTTTTATGGCATACTTTGAATATTAACTTCACATTGCAAAATTTGAAACGTCATTCTTTTTTTCTTTTTTAATACGAAGCTTATAAGCTACAAAGAGTTGTTTTTAATTCATGTTGATTGCTTTATACTCGGCGAACTCGTTTCTCCAGTCGGCCAGGTCCGTGTACTTCCAGGTGTAGAATGCTTGCCTCCATTCACGCTCTGCTTCATCCATCTCAGCTGAGGAAAAAAATAGTTAAGAAAACGTAAACTTTCTAAACACAATCTTGCAATCAAAGGACGCAAGGCTGATTTTAGTTGGGTAGTTATCAGAGTGAATGGAGAGAAAACCCTAACCCCGGTGCACCTTATGCGTCGGCAATGGTGTTGTGATGCACGAAATGGTTACGGATGGTAGTAAGGAGGACCTTACAATTTGTTGGAGAAGACCAAAATGCTGCTACAACAAAACTGAATTGACAAAGACCTATTCTGTCATCGCTGCGAGATCCATTCGTGTGTACTCGTCTTTTCCAAGACAAATTACTGGAAGTGTGTTTGCGCGCGACGATAATTATTGAGCATTTTAAGTGTTATTATTCTGATACGTGAGAAGTTAGACTGTAAAAACCATTACCCAGCATGGAGTTGAGCTGAACCATGACGGAGTTCCAGAAATGACACTTGTCGCTCTTGAGTGCCCTGGATGAGGTCAGGTTCAAGCTGAGTTCCTTGTACCCCAACTCCGGGATAGTAAACCGGGGCCAGAAATCGCGCTGAGGGTCCGGAGGGGAGCCCGGGGTCTGCACGCCAGGGTTTCTGTTGAAAAGCAAAACCTGTCGTTAAAGTTTCAGGTCTCTCATACTTTTGTGGGAGCTATTAATAAACTAAATTAATACACAAAATTATATATAGTATATACCAACTGGACAAACCCAGTATTGGCGAAATTGGTCCAGAATTCCATGAACTTGACCGACAGAGCCTTCTCATCGTCTTGGAGTTCTCCCCTGAGAGCCGTGGCGGCAGGAATGAACGGGAAACCAAAGACAAACTGGACGTCTTCAGCGTGTCCGGCCAGTAACCAGCCCGGGCCGAACCCGCCGTAATTCCAGTAAGACACGCTCGGTACGTGCGTCATCTGATACACGTAGACATCGTCGCCGCTTTGGGCGTGATAGCGTGCAACCTGATCGGCTGGACATGCGAAGCTGGAATCGGTAGCAAAGTCAACGTACGATCGGAAGAAATCGTAAGAGTCGTTATCAGCTTGCGACCAATCGATGTACTGCATTCTGATAGCGTCAGTCAGCTGATCGTTGGAATAACCTTTAAAAAAACAGAGGAGCTTGTTCAATGAAGAAAAATTACGGACGAAAAAAATCATGTCAAAGTATCAAGTAATTTTAATTAACTGTATAGGCATTTTACTGATCGATTGGTAAATTAAAAGTAACCAACCGACTACTATTATGAATCAGAATGTTAGTGTTTTCATTAAAATGTACGAGAAAGCAATCAACATCAACGTGATGTAAGTTTGGAAGTTGATGGCTTTGAATTAAATAAAACACCAAACAGTATTTTTTGAAATGCTGATTTTTACCAAAATCCCTCACCGTAATCATACACTAGTCTTTCTGTCATAATTTGATCGAAAGCCTCCTCGTTGATGACAGGTGGTTCTTCTTTGGTTAGATACTCGCCAAACTGTCGGTTAAAGTAGACATAAAATGTGCCCTCGTCCTTGTTGGACCCAAGGAGGAGTTTGACGTGGTTATACCGGCCGGTGGCGTACAGATTGGCCGGTGTGTCATCCAGAAACGTCCCATCCAGCACAGGTACGGAACGGAACAATGACTGTTAACAAAAAGTTGTTAATGCACCAAATTATGAAGACATTTAGTCATGATATTCCTATTTTGGAGCAGAGTTTTGTCAACTCTTTCAGTTACCACTTTTCATTTTGGTGGGATTGAGAACTGCTTTCTACATTTATTAAAAACAAAATATATAGTGACTCAAATGCACATTACGAAAAGGCAACGACAAAAATACACTAGAGAGGACATACGGTCCGTATCCCACCGCTGACACCAATATTCTTACATACACGTAATACCAGTATGTACCTGAGGTGCTGCAGTAAAGAGAGCCGTTGCGTTTGTTTCTCGTAGGCAGTCCAGCAGCGCCACACTATCCGAGACACTGCAGCCGACTCTCTCCCCGACCTGAAACGCTTGTTGTCTCAGCAGCTCTTGATCCTCGTAAAACGCAAACGGGGAGAGGGCGGTACCGCTCTGAAACCAAAAAGAAGAATATTCATATTCTGGAGAAATTGGGTCGCTGTACACCCTAAAGAAATACTCGCATAAATGGTGAAGCATTTTTTTTTTTTTAAATCCTGCATCCAGACCCAGATCAGGATGACTTCCAAAATCTAATCGATTTGTTCTTGTACCGAGGACCACCCCTAAAAATCATGCAAATATGTCTATAACTTTTGTAGTTATCTTGTTAATAGACAAACCAATCAACCAACAAACCAACAAACTAGCCAAATCCGATGAAAAAAACAACCTCTTTGGCAGAGGTAATAAAGAAAAATATAATATTGGGCGAGGTTATACTAGTTTTGTCCTTGCTTTGTGGTATACCATTCCGACCTCAATCTTATTGACCAATGAGATCACGACTCAAGTTGGGTCAGGTGACCGCAGTCAAACTCGGTAATCAGAAGCACTGCGACACATGTACACTAATTGAATGGTCCAGTGTCTGTTTTTCCATAGGTTTTCGTGACTGTACCGTACCTGTATGATAGCCTGACTGAACAGTCCTGTAGTCTGTTGAGACAGGACCAGTAAGCTGACGCTAAACGCCCCAGCGCTCTCTCCAAAGATCGTGATGCGTTCCTTATCACCGCCAAATGCTATACAGATAGTAATCAGATAATTATTTCGTGGACTTCTTTTGCTCAATGAAGAAACAATTGTTTAATAAATCTATTCTCTATCGAGTGAAAAGTAACCTTTGAGAATTGTCGCTGACCAAAAAAAATAGATCGTTTGTAGGCTTTCTGAAGACTAAAACATTTGAAAGAAATGCCAAAAGGTGTACATTTTAATTTTTAAAAGGGCAACGAAAATTTTCCGCCGGAGTTAAACAAATATTTGGAAAACTTTAAGTTCAACACACTAATTTCTTTGGTCAATTTCAGAGGCATCCATTCCGTTAACAGAAATCACCAGTAAAGTATTACTTTATTACTAACCATTTTTTATTCGCTCTTTTCACACTCCGCCATTTGGGCATGCAGAGCCTCGATCTGGAAAGTTTACACAATAAAAATAGCCGGTTCAGTGATCTGAACCCCGACACGGGAATCACTGAACCGGCTACATTCATTGTGTAAAGTTGCCAGATCGAGGCTCTGCATGCCCATGGCGGAAGTGTGAAAAGAGCGAATTACCTTCAGGTGGTACACATCTACTTGTCTCATAGCTCACCTGCTATGTTCTGTTTTATCCATTCCAGGGCCATTACCTGGTCCTTCAGGCCAACATTACCAGGCGAGGCTTCGTCACCTTTTGTGGGACAAATGAAAATTACATCATCACAAGATAATTTTTTTTTTATTATTCTTAATATCTGCAATGTTGGTTGTATCGGTTCCTTGAACTGCCACGATAAGCATCTCCAAGAGCGGTTTATACTCATAAATCTCGATAGCTATTCGAGCTACCAGCCTCATCGTCATCATGATGAATTCGGGATCTCTTAATTAATCTTATGATATGAGAATGCTCCTCATTTTATTTTGACGAAAGAATACAAACTTGCTTGATAAATGTCAGAGGCGGATGTAGCTTTCAGGAAACGGGGGGGGGGGGGGGGGTATGAAGGGGGGGGGGGGTGAGTGGAGGCGTGTCCCCCCGGAACATTTAGAAATCTGAGATGCTTTCTCCTGCATGCTAAGGCAATTTTATAATATTTTTGGGAACTTAGCTTTCCATTTACGAGGGCTATTCTTGCCTCATTTTACAACTATTATAACATTAGTCAGCAGTGAGTGGAAGGGGGGGGGGGTGCAACCCAAACTCCCCTAGATAAACCTCCCACCCCCTACCTCAGCCCCGGAGATAAACTTAGAGAATATGCCCCAATGCTTGTCAACTCTTCATCATGCACACAATACTTAGCGAAGTCCGTGTTTCCTTCCCAACATTTTGTTAAGAGGATTTATAGGGGTCCATTTTGGTACCTGTTGTCAGGAATCCAAAGACGTTGAGACGATAGTTGATGGTGACAAGGATGACGTCACCCACGGAAACCAGTGGGAGGCCGTTATAATCAGGGAGGACTGCAGATCCGGCATTGAGACCGCCACCGTGGATATAGACCATGACGGCAGCGCCCTCTAGCTGTCACAAAGAGACAGGAATTATATCATTATTGGACGAAATGTTAGGTTGGAGAGTTGGGTGTTGATGATGGTGGTGTAGTGGTAAGGGTTATTGTGGTGCGTGGTGAATGGTGATGGGTGTGGTGATTGGGGGAGGGTGGTTAAGACTCTGTTGAGGGTGTGGTTGTGGTGAGTGCGTCCGTCGATTTGGGTGATGGTGGTGATGATGAATGATTTCAGGGTGCATGGTGATGTTGGAGATTTGAGTGAGAGAATTGATGGTGAAAACAATGATGCATGCGATAAGCGTAACTTAGTGATTGAGACCATACTGGTCATGTTTAGAGGCGGGACGAGTGTGACAAAAGTTGCAGTGATGCAAGTGACCGCCAAAAGGGAAAAGGGAAAACGATGACAACAGAGAAGAAGAAACACTTACGAACGTTGTCCTTGTTGCATAAATATTCAGATGAAGGCAGTCTTCGCTCATGGACATTCCGAACGTTTGTAGAGGGTCCTGCACGCAGGCATCTCTGAAGTACGTAGCGTCGTACGTACCGACCCACGGCTCCTTAGCCACCGGGGCCCCGAACCGCAGCCGACCCACGGGCGGCTCAGCGAATGGTATCCCCTTGAAGACATCAATGGTCTTGTTCACACCGATGAATTGGGATTCCTGAAAAGTCTCGGTGGTGCCGAGCAGAACGCCTTGTTGGACGGTAACGGTGGGCGCATCTTGGGCCGCCGTTTGGGCCAAGAACACATTCAATACGAGGATGACTCGCAATGCATTTGCAACAACGAGGAACGAATCTGCCATGTTTCTGAAATGCTTGTCGTCGTCAAACACGGTGCGGCTGTTTACAGACCATATACTCGACAATGCAACCTCAACATGTGAATAGCCCAATTTAATCCAACAAAGGATATATCGTAAAGATCTTTTAAGTAAACAGCGAACCAACACAATCGTGCTATAAATAATTTAGTGATGCAAAAGCCAAAGCACTATGTTTCGATTGACGCGCTTTATCAAATTTAAATTAGCTGTCTAGCCGATTTTTGTTATGAGGAGAAATGGACGTAATAATTTACCATAAACATTATAACAAATAATGCAAGTTAGAAATAAAATCACCAAGTACACGATATAAATCCATTACTTGCTTTTGCGGGATCCAATCAGAATACAGGAAACACGTTTTTCTCCCAGGGTCTACTATGATGTTGACATTAGACAATGGGAACGAGATTGTGAGCGCACCGGGTTTTCTGAAACAATCACTGATCGATCTGTCAAATTCGGGACACCAGTTGAGTAATTCGTAATAGATACGTTCCGATAAGCTGTAGTTCATGTGATTTGATTGCGAAAAAAAAAACATTCGCCCAAATGTTGTTCTAAAATAATAAAGCTTGAACTTCGTGAGGCTCCACAATATTCAGTTAAGGAGGCCTGGTTCCCACCCCTATCAAAATCGCTAACTAGTCAACTACCCTCATTGGATGAGCGTATAGGCTACATTCATTAATTTAAATAAATGAATAAATAATTTTAAAAAAAGGACCGGGAACAAGTCTATTTGCAAGGCGGGTCTGTTGAAGAGAATAGACCATTATCATGCTGCGGCTATTTGGAGTTTTCCTATTTAAATCAACGTAGCCAAAGCGAGGCTGGAAGGAAAAATAGTCTGTTCCTTTTTGCACACAAAAAATCATTCAGTACTGTTATTGGATACAGGGAACATGACTGAAATGGTGGCAGCATGATAAAGGTCTGTAGGCAGTATTCAAGGACCATTGCATCTTGGAGTGGGAGAGATAAATGTGATGAAGTTTGGAAACTTTGGGAAAAAGTTCACCAATATAGTCTATTTCACTGATCAATAATTTTAATTATTGTTAAAACAATCAATCGAAAACTTTTTTTTCCTCAAAAGTAGAGGAACATCGTTTTATCGAAAAAAAAATGTTTTAAGTTAAAAGTCGTATCGATCTACTGTTCGAAAGAAAATAATAATTTTTAAACTCTGGTCAGTATTTTTTGCCATACTTTTACGGTATTTTAGATATATTTGAAAAGGATTTAAAAAAAAATAAAGAACAGCTGATGATTATTTTGTTAAAACAGCTCAATCTAATCAAATCGCCTTAATCTTGTAAGACTCGCAATGATGTAAATTTAGTTCCTCTTTATTTACGTTTAGTCATTAATTGACATTGATTGCTTTATACTCGGCGAACTGGTTTCTCCAATCAGCCAAGTCCGTGTACTTCCAGGTGTAGAACGCTTGCCTCCATTCAAGTTCTGCATCATCAATGTCGGCTGAGGAAAAAAAAATCAAAAAAAAAATATTGTGATACAAAAAATATTGAAAAAAGAAGAAGTTTCGTGAAACTACTCGCGAGATCAACAAAATACCGTGTTTATGTTTGCTTACAGAGCACAGTGTTGAGCTGAATCATGTAGGAGTTCCAGAAATGACACTCGTCGCTCTTGAGTGCCCTGGATGAGGTCAGGTTCAAGCTGAGTTCCTTGTACCCCAGCTCCGGGACGGTAAACCGGGGCCAGAAGTCGCGCTGAGAGTCCGGAGGGGAGCCCGGTGCCTTCACGCCAGGGTTTCTGTTGAAAAGCAAAACCTGTCGTTAAAGTTTCAGGGCTCTCATACTATTTCGAGAGCAATTAATAAACTAAAGTAATAGACAAATATATGATGTACAAAATGGACTAACCCATTCTTGGCAAAATTGGTCCAAAATTCCATGAACTTGACCGACAGAGCCTTCTCATCGTCTTGGAGTTCTCCCCTGAGAGCCGTGGCGGCAGGAATGAACGGGAAACCGAAGACAAACTGGACATCTTCAGCGTGTCCGGCCAGTAACCAACCCGGGCCGAACCCGCCGTAATTCCGGTAGGACACGCTCGGTACGTGCGTCATCTGATACACGTAGACATCGTCGCCGCTTTGGGCGTGATAGCGTGCAACCTGATCGGCTGGACATGAGTAGCTGGAATCGGTAGCAAAGTCAACGTACGATCGGAAGAAATCGTAAGAGTCGTTATCAGCTTGCGACCAATCAATGTACTGCATTTTGATAGCGTCAGTCAGCTGGTCGTTGGAATAACCTATAAAAAAGAGGGGAAAATCATTTTCAACAAAACACAGACGAAAAATAATAAGCATAAATCGATTTTTTTCTTACTTTTTAGCCAACGATTGGTATTTTAAAATTAATCAATAGGCCTACAACTGAATAGCCTAAAATGATCATGGAAAATGTATGAGAAAGTAATAAACATCAATTCGATGTAACTTTGGAAGTTGGAATTAAGAAAACAGATCACTTTTTTAATGCTGCTCTTTACCAAAATCCCTTACCGTAATCATTCACACATTTTTCTGTCACAAGTTGATCGAAAGCCTCCTCGTTGATGATAGGTGCTTGTTCTTTGGTTCGATACTCGCCAAACTGTTGGCTAAGGTAGACATTAAATGTGCCCTCGTCCTTGTTAGACCCAAGGAGGAGTTTGACGTGGTTATACCGGTTGGTGGCGTACAGATTGGCCGGTGTGTCATCCAGAAACGTCCCATCCAGCACTGCTACGGAACGGAACGATGACTGTTAACAAAAAGTTATCAATACACCAAATTATGAAGACATCCTAAGTCATGATATCCCTGTTTTGGAGCAGAGTATTGTCAACTCTCTATAAGTTACCACTTTTCATTTTGGTGGGATTGAGAACTGCTTTCTACATTTTATTTAAAAAAAGTTATAGTGCCTCTGATGCGCATTACGAAGGCAACGACTAAAATACACTAGATATTAAGACAAACGGTCCGTATCCCACCGCTGACACCAATATTCTTACATACATGTAATACCAGTATGTACCTGAGGTGCTGCAGTAAAGAGAGCCGTTGCGTTTGTTTCTCGTAGGCAGTCTAGCAGCGCCACACTATCCGAGACACTGCAGCCGACTCTCTCCCCGACCTGAAACGCTTGTTGTCGCAGCAGCTCTTGATCCTCGTAAAACGCAAACGGGGAGAGGGCGGTACCACTCTGAAATAAAAAGAGGATGTTCATATTTTGAAGAGATTGGGTCACTATAAGCTAGCGATTTGTAAGTTAAGAACAGAAACGAATACATGTTTTTAACAGTTATCTTTACTTCAGTGTAATAAGGATTTAAACTTACTGCCGAATGAATATACATGTAACTACTTTTTTGGGAGCCCCCATTCAAAATTTAATCGAACAGCGCCCTCAATACGAGCTTAAGATTGGGATAGAAATGGATTGCATGGGTGGATGTTTATTCGCTGTTAACATCTTCAGAATAAAAAACAAGTGCAAGTGCACAATAAGCTCTGGCCGTCTTGCATGAAAGTCTTACATGAAATCTACCAAAAAGATCCCTGCCAGAGCTTTAAATTGCGACGCCCAAAAATGCAGCACCGATGGCACATATGGAACACCATACTTTAGATTTTCACCTAGATTTATAGCGATTTGTGACAAATACCACGTGACTATTACATTACTGCATTATTTTGCCTCCATTAACAGACTTTTAATAAACTTCTTTCCGAATTGTTAAAAAAAAAATAGTTGTTAAGTATTTATTTATTTGCTTTTTTTACAATTAAAATATGGTAGTTATATTTTATGGGAAACTTAGGGGCTAAATTTTGGTCAATTTTCCGGCCGAACAGACCAAGTGAGGTGTTGGGCGAGGTTATACTAGTTTTGTCCTTGTTTTGTGGTATACCATTCCTATCTGTCAATCAATCTTATTTACCAATAAGATCACGACTTTTGGTCAGGTGACCACATCAGAAGCACATGTGAGTGGGCGGGGCTTATGACCAGATCCGGAATGGTCCGGTGTTTTTAGGTCTGTTTTCGATAGTTTTTCGTGATCTTACCTGTAAAATAGCCTGACTGAACAGTCCTGTAGTCTGTTGAGACATGACCAGCAAGCTGACGCTCAACCCTCCAGCACTCACTCCAAAGATCGTGATGCGTTCCTTATCACCGCCAAATGCTATACAGAGAGTAATCAGATAATGATTTCGTCGACTTCTTTTGCTCAATAAAGAAACAATTGTTTAATAAATCCATTCTCTCTCGAGTGAAAAGTAACCTTTGAGAATTGTCGCTGCCAAACAAATAATCCTCAATAGAGGCTTTCTGAAGACTAAAACATTTGAAAGAAATGTCTAAAGGTATACATTTTAATTTTTAAAAGGGCAACGAAAATTTTCCGCCGGAGTTATGTGAGAATCTAAATCCTTAATTTCTTTAAGTTAAACAAATATTTGGAAAACTTCAAGTTCATCATACTACTTTCTTTGACCAACTTCAGAGGCATCCATTCCGTTAACAGTCATCAGTCAAGTATTACTTTTTTACTAACCATTTTCTGTTGCCTGTTTACACATTTACTTGTCTCACCTGCTATGTTCTGTTTTATCCATTCCAAGGCCATTACCTGGTCCTTCAGGCCAACATTACCAGGCGAGGCTTCGTCACCTTTTGTAGGACAAACGCAAATTACAATATCAGAAGACATTTTTTTATCATTCTTAACATCTGCCATTTTGGTCGTATCGGTTCCGGGGGGAATATGAAGGCGTGCTCCCCTCACCCCACGAAAATTCAGCATTCTTAGATGCCTTTCTCCTGCATTCCAAGGCAATTTTAGAATATTTTGGGAACTTTAGCATTCCATTTGGGCTATTGTTGGACCCATTTTACTAGTATTGTAACATTAGCCAGCGGATGAGCATGGGGGGGGGGGGGGGGGGGAGGGTGCAACCCCCTAGATAACCCCCACACCCACCCCCACCCCCAACCCCCTGTAGATAAACCCTATAGATAAACTTAAAGAATGACCCCCATACTTGTCAACACTTCATCATACACAATATACCCACAATGCTTAGAGAAGTCTGCGTTTCCTTCCCAACATTTTGTTAACTTGGATTTAGTGGTCACTTTTTGTACCTGTTGTCAGGAATCCAAAGACGTTGAGACGATAGTTGATGGTGACAAGGATGACGTCACCCACGGAAACCAATGGGAGGCCGTTATAATCAGGGAGGACTGCAGATCCGGCAACGAGACCGCCACCGTGGACATAGACCATGACGGCAGCGCCCTCTGGCTGTCACAAAGAGACAGGAATTATATCATTATTGGATGAAATGTTAGGTTGGAGAGTTGGGTGTTTATGATGGCGGTGTAGTGGTAAGGGTTATTGTGGTGCGTGGTGAATGGTGATGGGTGTGGTGATTTGGAGGAGGGTGGTTAAGACTTGTTCTGGTGAGAGTGTGGTGGTATAGTTGTGGTGAGTGCGTCCGTCGATTTGGGTGATGGTGGTGATGTGACTTCAGGGTGGTGATGTTGGAGATTTAAGTGAGGGAATTGATGGTGAAGACAATGATGTATGCGATAAGCGTAACTCGGTGATTGAGACCATACTGATCATGTTTAGAGGCGGGACGAGTGTGACAAAAGTTGCAGTGATGCAAGTGACCGCCAAAAGGGAAAAGTGAGGAATGACGGTGACAACAGAGAAGAAGAAACACTTACGAACGTTGTCCTTGTTGCATAAAGATTCAGATGAAGGCAGTCTTCGCTCATGGGCATTCCGAACGTTTGTAGAGGGTCCTGCACGCAGGCATCTCTGAAGTACGTAGCGTCGTACGTACCGACCCACGGCTCCTTAGCCACCGGGGCCCTGAACCGCAGCCGACCCACGGGCGGCTCAGCGAATGGTATCCCCTTGAAGACATCAATGGTCTTGTTCACACCGATGAATTGGGATTCCTGAAAAGTCTCGGTGGTGCCGACCAGAACGCCTTGTTGAACGGTGACGGTTGGCGCATCTTGGGCCGCCGTTTGGGCCAAGAACACATTCAATGCGAGGATGACTCGCAATGCATTTGCAACAACGAGGAACGAATCTGCCATGTTTCTCAAATGCTTGTCGTCGTCAAACACGGTGCGGCGGTTACTAATCACTTGACAAACAGTATACTCCACGATGCAACCTTCACAAGGATATACATGTATTATAAAGATCCTTTAAGTAAACAGTGAACCAACACGATCGTTGTATGAATATTTAGTGACGCAAAATGCAAAAAGCAAGGCAATGTGTTTCCACTGACGCGTTTTATCAAATTTAAATTAGCTGTCTAGCCGATTATTGTTTTGAGCAGAATTCCTGAAAAGTCTCGGTGGTGCCGACCAGAACGCCTTGTTGGACGGTGACAGTGTGCTGATCTTGGGCCGCCGTTAGCGCCACTAACACGCCCAGTGCTACGAGCACACGTACCACCCTGTACCGACTACCCATGTTTACTGATTAAATTAAACAACTGATTTCTCCCAACACAGTTCAGAAACTGAGCTGGTATGTTTGACTGAGTACTTGTGTTTTTAAACTGTTTTGAGGCATCAAGCTTTGTCGAAATTTAATCCCATTGTAAATATTGTCATAGGGTGTGGTCTACTAACACTGTTTTCCTTCAGCTTACGGAGGTTCGTCAGGCCAAAGGCGAGAATTATTACCACAAAATAAAGCCATCAATTTTGTATAGTTACACCTCGTCTCTGATACCGTAATGTTATTGTTTTAGAACGGCCACCTATATATTTTACAAGGTACAAGGTCCGTGATTATTTTTTTATATATTTTAAGTGTTTTTATGTACCCCGCATTTTACTGTTTACTATTTCTAGTGTTTTCTGTAATTGTAATTTTAAATGAACTGTTCTGTATAATTGCTGGGCACCTCTGGAAAACTTTTTCTGTAGATTCAACGATTACAACAAATGTGTCGACAAATAAACATGACTAATCCTTTTTAATTGAAAGACTTCAGAATTCAATTTTTTGTTAACATTGAAAGGTCAAAACTATCAAAGATCACGTTGTTCCGCAAAAAAATTGCATTGTCACCTGACCCTTGACACAGATTAAAGGGGTATCACTTCCTATCTCACAGTACAGTGAGTAGACATTAATCAATAATGCATATACATTTCTTTACCGTGTTGCGCGTTCGTATTATGTATATATCAAGGATTATCCACCAATGATGTAGGATTACGTTTTCAGTATAAAAAGAAAAAAGGCTTTAAAATGTGATCACCGTCTCTGATGATGTTTTACGATCGGGCACACACACCATCGTTTGTAGTGCTTTGTTGTACGCCTATTATCCCTCTTGCTTATGACGTCCAACATGTTAGTTGCAGACAAGCAAAACATGCATTTTAAAGATGTAGGCCTATTCCCCGTGGTTAGTTTCGAGTTTTACCCCCCAAATAGAATCGTTTTCAATTGCATTTTCGTTTATTAGCAATGCAAGTTGCTTTGAATGAGACATGGAACGTTTCACTCCAACGACATTTTGATATTCATTACAATAAATATGTCTTTACCAAATGTCTATTCTCTATGATTATTCTCTATGTCAAGACTATTCGGCTCTCGCAGTGTGGGTTCATTGTTTTCGTTAAAACAAAACTTACAAATGGTTGGAAGAAAGGAATTTAGTTTTGGAGACCGTTATTTATTGCAAAGTGGACACACATTACTAATGAACGGAAAATATAAGGACTAACGCAATGAAACTTTTAAAAAGAAATGTGTTAAATCTATTAAAAGTTGAGATAATAGCATTGCTAATACCATAGGGTTAGTGAAGTAAAAGTCAAAATGAACTTACTAACATATTTGTACTGGGTAATTGGATATCATCAAATACTTAAATGATTTTTCTTTTGAACCAAATTCGATCAAGGCCAGAAAACCTATAAACATGCAATAGAAAGACGCACTAAAATTCTGCTACGAAAGAGGTTTAAAAAAAATGCCAGTGTAATTTATATAAATCGTTGTCGTAAAAACGTTAAAAATGTTTGAACTAATCTTAATGCTTTAATCTACATAATTATTATAAAAATGATGACCTAGAAACTGATCAATTGGATTTCTTCTCATTTTCCACGTTACTTCGCGTTGATTGCTTTATACTCAGCGAACTGGTATCTCCAGTCGGCCAAGTCGGTGTACTTCCAGGTGTGAAAAGCTTCCCTCCATTCACGCTCAGCGACATCCAAATCAGCTATAAAAAAAAAAATGGAAAGACAACGAAAACTTTCAAAACACAATCTTACAATCAAAACCACACAAGGCTGATTTTAGTTGCGTAGTTATAAAACTGATTGGAGAAAATAACCAGGTGGACCCGTTGAACCATTTATCTCCTTACCCAGCATGGTCCTGAGCTGCACCATGTAAGAGTTCCAGAAATGACACTTGTCGCTCTTGAGTGCCCTGGATGAGGTCAGGTTCAAGCTGAGTTCCTTGTACTCCAACTCTGGGATAGTAAACCGGGGCCAGAAATCGCGCTGAGGGTCCGGAGGGGAGCCCGGGGTCTGCACGCCAGGGTTTCTGTTGAAAAGCAAAACCTGTCGTTAAAGTTTCAGGTCTCTCATACTTTTGTGAGAGCTATTAATAAACTAAATTAATACACAAAATTATATATAGTATATACAAACTGGACAAACCCAGTATTGGCGAAATTGGTCCAGAATTCCATGAACTTGACCGACAGAGCCTTCTCATCGTCTTGGAGTTCTCCCCTGAGAGCCGTGGCGGCAGGAATGAACGGAAAACCGAAGACAAACTGGACATCTTCAGCGTGTCCGGCCAGTAACCAGCCCGGGCCGAACCCGCCGTAATTCCAGTAGGACACGCTCGGTACGTGCGTCATCTGATACACGTAGACATCGTCGCCGCTTTGGGCGTGATAGCGTGCAACCTGATCGACTGGACATGCGTAGCTGAAATCGGTAGCAAAGTCAACGTACGATCGGAAGAAATCGTAAGAGTCGTTATCAGCTTGCGACCAATCAATGTACTGCATTCTGATAGCGTCAGTCAGCTGATCGTTGGAATAACCTATAAAAAAAGAGGGGAAAAATCATTTTCAACAAAACACAGACGAAAAATAATAAGTATAGTTCGATTTTTTCTTACATTTTTGCCAACGATTGGTAAATTCAAATTAACCAATAGGCCTACAACTGAATAGCCTAAAATGATCATGGAAATAGTATGAGAAAGTAATAAACATCAATTTGATGTAAGTTTGGAAGTTGGAATTAAGAAAACAGATCACTTTTTAATGCTGCTCTTTACTAAAATCCCTTACCGTAATCTCTCACAAATTTTTCTGTCACAAGTTGATCGAAAGCCTCCTCGTTGATGATAGGTGCTTGTTCTTTGGTTCGATACTCGCCAAACTGTTGGCTGAGGTAGACATTAAATGTGCCCTCGTCCTTGTTGGACCCAAGGAGGAGTTTGACGTGGTTATACCGGCCGGTGGCGTACAGATTGGCCGGTGTGTCATCCAGAAACGTCCCATCCAGCACAGGTGCGGAACGGAACAATGACTGTTAACAAAAAGTTATTAATACACCAAATTATGAAGACATCCTAAGTCATGATATCCCTGTTTTGGAGCAGAGTATTGTCAACTCTCTATAAGTTACCACTTTTCATTTTGGTAGGATTGAGAACTGCTTTCTACATTTATTAAAAAAGTTATAGTGACTCCGATGCGCATTACGAAGGCAACGACTAAAATACACTAGATATTAAGACAAACGGTCCGTATCCCACCGCTGACACCAATATTCTTACATACATGTAATACCAGTATGTACCTGAGGTGCTGCAGTAATGAGAGCCGTTGCGTTTATTTCTCGTAGGCAGTCTAGCAGCGCCACACTATCCGAGACTCTGCAGCCGACTCTCTCCCCGACCTGAAACGCTTGTTGTCGCAGCAGCTCTTGATCCTCGTAAAACGACGGGGAGAGGGCGGTGACGCTCTGAAATAAAAAGAGGGTGTTCATGTTTTGGAGAGATTGGGTCAGTCACTATAAGCTAGCAATGTGTAAGAACAGAAACGAATACAAGTTTTTAACAGTTATCTTTACTACAGTGTAATAAGGATTGAAACTTACTGCCGCATGAACATACATGTAACTACTTTTTTGGGAGTCCCAATCTAAATTTAATCGAACAGCGCCCTCAATACGAGCTTAAGATTGGGATAGAAATGGATTGCATGGGTGGATGTTTATTCGCTGTTAACATCTTCAGAATAAAGAACAAGTGCGAGTGCACAATAAGCTCTGGCCGTCTTGCATGAAAGTTTTACTTGAAATCTACCTAAAAGATCCCTGCCAGAGCTTAAAAATGCAACACCGATGGCACATATGGAACACCATACTTTAGATGTTTAGCAAGATTTATAGCGATTTGTGATAAATAAAACGTGACTATTACTGCATTATTTTGCCTCCATTAACAGACTTTTCATTAACATCTTTCTGAATTGTTATTAAAAAAAATAGTTGTTTAATTATTTAATTTATTTATTTGCTTTTTTACAATTAAAATATGGTAGTTATATTTTATGGGAAACTTAGGGGGCTTACTTTCGGTCCATTTTTCGGGAACAGACCAAGTGAGCTGTTGGGCGAGGTTATACTAGTTTTGTCCTTGTTTCGTGGTATACCATTCATACCTGTCAATCAATCTTATTTACCAATGAGTTCACGACTTTTGGTCAGGTGACCACATCAGAAACACACGTGAGTAGGCGGGGCTTATGATCAGATCCGGAATGGTCCGGTGTTTTTAGGTCTGTTTTCTATAGTTTTTTGTGATCTTACCTGCATTATAGCCTGACTGAACAGTCCTGTAGTCTGTTGAGACAGGACCAGTAAGTTGACGCTCAAACCTCCAGAACCCACTCCAAAGATCGTGATGCGTTCCTTATCACCGCCAAATGCTATACAGATAGTAATCAGATAATTATTTTGTCGACTTCTTTTGCTCAATGAAGAAACAATTGTTCAATAAATCCATTCTCTCTCGAGTGAAAAGTAACCTTTGAGAATTGTCGCTGCCAAAAAAATAATCCCCCAAAGAGGCTTTCTAAAGACTAAAACATTTGAAAGAAATGTCTAAAGGTATACATTTTAATTTTTAAAAGGGCAACGAAAATGTTCCGCCGGAGTTATGTGAGAATCTTAATCCTTAATTTCTTTACCCAATTTCAGAGGCATCCATTCCGTTAACAGTCATCAGTAAAGTATTACTTTATTACTATTGCCTTGGTACACATCTACTTGTCTCACCTGCTATGTTCTGTTTTATCCATTCCAAGGCCATTACCTGGTCTTTCAGGCCAACATTACCAGGCGAGGCTTCGTCACCTTTTGTGGGACAAATGAAAATTACAATATCAGAAGAATTTTTTTTATCATTCTTAACATCTGCCATTTTGGTCGTATCGGTTCCGGGGGAATATGAAGGCGTGCTCCCCCCACGAAAATTCAGAATTCTTAGATGCTTTCTCCTGCATTCCAAGGCAATTTTAGAATATTTTGCGAACTTTAGCATTCCATTTATACGAGGGCTATCGTCGGCCCCATTTTACTAGTATTGTAACATCAGTCAGCAGATGAGTAGGGGGGGGGGGGGGGGTGCAACCCCCGACCCCCAACATTTTGTTAACTTGGATTTAGGGGTCACTTTTTGTACCTGTTGTTAGGAACCCAAAGACGTTGAGACGATAGTTGATGGTGACAAGGATGACGTCACCCACGGAAACCAATGGGAGGCCGTTAAAATCAGGGAGGACTGCAGATCCGCCATTGAGACTGCCACTGTGGATATAGACCATGACGGCAGCGCCCTCTGGCTGTCACAAAGAGACAGGAATTATATCATTATTGGATGAGATGTAAGGTTGGAGAGTTGGGTGTTGATGATGGTGGTGTAGTGGTGAGGGTTATTGTGGTGCGTGGTGAATGGTGATGGGTATGGTGATTTGGAGGAGGGTGGCTAAGACTTTTTCTGGTGAGGGTGTGGTGGTATTGTGGTGAGTGCATCCGTCGATTTGGGTGATGGTGGTGATGATGAATGAGGGTGCATGGTGATGTTGGAGATTTGAGTGAGAGAATTGATGGTGAAGACAATGATGTATGCGATAAGCGTAACTCAGGGATTGAGACCATAGTGGCCATGTTTAGAGGCGGGACGAGTGTGACAAAAGTAGCAGTGATGCAAGTGATTGCCAAAAGGGAAAAGTGAGGAATGACGATGACAGCAGAGAAGAAGAAACACTTACGAACGTTGTCCTTGTTGCGTAAATATTCAGATGAAGGCAGTCTTCGCTCATGGGCATTCCGAAAGCTTGTAGAGGGTCCTGCACGCAGGCATCTCTGAAGTACGTAGCGTCGTACGTACCGACCCACGGCTCCTTAGCCACCGGGGGCTCGAACCGCAGCCGACCCACGGGCAGCTCAGCGAATGGTATCCCCTTGAAGACATCAATGGTCTTGTTCACACCGATGAATTGGGATTCCTGAAAAGTCTCGGTGGTGCCGACCAGAACGCCTTGTTGGACGGTGACGGTGGGCGCATCTTGGGCCGCCGTTTGGGCCGCCGTTTGGGCCAAGAACACATTCAATACGAGGATGACTCGCAATGCATTTGCAACAACGAGGAACGAATCTGTCATGTTTCTGAAATGCTTGTCGTCGTCAAACACGGTGCGGCGGTTACTAATCACTTGACAAACAGTATACTCCACAATGCAACCTCAACATGTGAATAGCCCAATTTAATACAACAAAGGGTATGCATGTATTATAAAGATCCTTTAAGTAAACAGTGAACCAACACAATCGTTGTATGAATATTTAGTGATGCAAAATGCAAAAAGCGAGGCAATGTGTTTCGACTGACGCGTTTTATCAAATTTAAATTAGCTGCCTAGCCGATTATTGTTTTGAGGAGAATTCCTGAAAAGTCTCGGTGGTGCCGACCAGAACGCCTTGTTGGACGGTGACAGTGGGCTGATGTTGGGCCGCCGTTAGCGCCGCTAACACGTCCAGTGCTACGAGCACACGTACCACCCTGTACCGACTATACTCATGTTTACTGATTAAATTAAACAACTGATTTCTCCCAACACAGTTCAGAAACTGAGCTGGTATGTTGGACTGAGTACTTGTGTTTTTTAACTGTTTTGAGGCATCAAGCTTTATCGAAATTTAATCCCATTGTAAATATTGTCATAGGGTGTGGTCTACTAACACTGTTTTCCTTCAGCTTACCGGAGGTTCGTCAGGCCAAAGGCGAGAATTATTACCACAAAATAAAGCCATCAATTTTGTATTGTTACAATTCGTCTCTGATACCGTAATGTTATTGTTTTAGAACGGCAACCTATATATTTTACAAGGTACAAGGTCCGTGATTATTTTTTATATATTTTAAGTGTTTTTATGTACCCCGCATTTTACTGTTTACTATTTTTAGTGTTTTCTGTAATTGTAATTTTAAATGAACTGTTCTGTATAATTGCTAGGCACCTCTGGAAAACTTTTTCTGTAGATTCAACGATTACAACAAATGTGTCGACAAATAAACATGACTAAACCCTTGAATTGAAAAACTTCAGAATTCCATTTTTTGTTAACATTGAAAGGTCAAAACTATCAAAGATCACGTTGGTCCGCAAAAAAAATTGCATTGTCACCTGACCCTTGACACAGATTAAAGGGGTATCACTTCCTATCTCACAGTACAGTGAGGACACATTAATCAATAATGCCTATATACCGTGTTGCGCGTTCGTATTATGTAAATATCAAGGATTATCCACCAATGATGTAGGATTACGTTTTCAGTATTAAAAGAAAAAAGGCTTTTGCCAAAATGTGACCACCGTCTCTGATGATGTTTTACGATCGGGCACACACACACTATCTTTTGTAGTGCTTTGTTGTGCGCCTATTATCCCTCTTGCTTATGACGTCCCGCGTGTTAGTTGCAGACAAGCAAAACATGTATTTTAAAGCTGTAGGCCTATTACCCGTAGTAGTTCGAGTTTTACCCCCCCAAATATAATCGTTTTCAATTGCATTTTCGTTTATTACAATGCAAGTTGCTTTGAATGAGACATGGAACGTTTCACTACCAAATGTCTATTCTCTATGATTATTCTCTATGTCAAGACTATTCGGCTCTCGCAGTGTGGGTTCATTGTTTTCGTTAAAACAAAACATACAAATGGTTGGAAGAAAGGAATTTAGTTTTGAAGACCGTTATTTATTACAAATTGGACACACATTACTAATGAACGGAAAATATAAAGACTAACGCAATGAAACTTTTAAAAAGAAATGTGTAAAATCTATTAAAAGTTGAGATAATAGCATTGCTAATATCATAGGGTTAGTGAAGTAAAAGTCAAAATGAACTTACTAACATATTTGTACTGGATAATTGGATATCATCAAATACTTAAATGATTTTTCTTTTGAACCAAATTCGATCAAGGCCAGAAAACCTACAAAAATGCAAATAGAAAGACGCACTAAAATTCTGCTACGAAAAAGGTTTTTAAAAAACCTGCCAGTGTAATTTATATAAATCGTTGTCGTAAAAACGTTAAAAATGTTTGAACTAATCTTAATGCTTTAATCTACATAATTATTATAAAAATGATGACCTAGAAACTGATCGATTGGATTTTCTTCTCATTTTCCACGTTACTTCGCGTTGATTGCTTTATACTCAGCGAACTGGTATCTCCAGTCGGCCAAGTCGGTATACTTCCAGGTGTGGAAAGCTTCCCTCCATTCACGCTCAGCGACATCCAAATCGGCTGCAATAAAAAAAAAAGACACAGCAATAAGCGATGCATCAATGAAGGGAGACACGCGAAGCAATCTTGTCTTTGTTGATAATGATAATTGACTTCCGTAGAAATAAGGGTCAAATCGAACCAATTATTTTCATTAATGGAAAAAATGTGGAAATCATGGATTGTTTTAAATTTCTCGGTACAATTATTAACACCCTGTCTTGGTCAAGTCAAGTATCTGAAAATTTGAAAAAGGCCCAACAACGTTTGTATTTTTTTTACGAAGACTGAAATCCTTTGGTGTGAGCAGACATATTTTGATTTAATTGTTATAGATGTGTAATTGAATCTTGCCTGACCAGCTCTGTTATTGTCTGGTTCAATGTCACTTCCAAGTGAATCAGGTGGCTAAAAACGCGTCGTACATGCATGGTTTTAAGTTGAATGATATGAAGATAAATAAGGAAGCGTGTCGAGAATATTGTTAAGGACATTTATCAACCAGTAAACGAGTTCCTTCACCTGGTGCCTCCAGGAAGAAGAATGAGATCAATCGGTGTAAAAACCGACCGTTTTGGAAATAGTTTTATACCATCGGCCGTGCGGGTTTTTAACAAGGGGGCATTTTTAATGTATATGATACTTATTGCAATTGTATTTATTATCGTAGTGATTTTATGTGGTTATTGTTTTACTTGTATGTTATCTTTAAATTGAGTCATTTTTTGCGAGTAAATTTATGAGATTGTTTTTAATCATTGAACGAATAAATCAATCTTATCTTAATTTTAATGAAAAGCATAAAACTCCATTTTAGTACAGCCATTGGCGATATTGTAAACGTGTTGGCCCTACTTGGTGTAGCTTAATCCATCATCGTTCAAACATGCCATATAGATTCGTCGACTACCATCTCCTTAGTCCTTACCCAGCATAGTGTTGAGCTGCACCACGTAGGAGGTCCAGAAATGGCACTTGTCGCTCTTGAGTGCCCTGGATGTGGTCAGGTTCAAGCTGAGTTCCTTGTATCCCAACTCCGGGATAGTAAACCGGGGCCAGAAATCGCGCCCAGACTGGGAAGTTCCCGGGTTTCTGTTGGGAGAAAGGTGCAATAACCAAGTCATGCATCGCGAAGATTCTTGAAACAATCATTACCCGCATTGCCCTATAGAACATTATCATGCCGCGGCCATCTTGATTTTTTTACCATTACAATCAACGTAACCGAACTAAGTGGCATTGATAAGGCGCCCTCAGTCGTGAATATTACCCTATCGGCCCCGAAGTTCACTCACCCAGTCTTGGCAAAAGTGGTCCAGAATTTCATGAACTGGACGGCCAGTGCTCTTTCTTCATCCGTGAAATCGGCATACAGCGCCGACAGTTCCGGAATGAACGGACAGCCAAAGACAAACGAAATATCCTCGCCATGGGTGCTTCCCAGCCAGGGTTGCCTCAGCCCAGTCGACAGGTTGATAAGCGACACGGAGGGCGCGTGTGTCATCTGGTACAGGAAGACATTGTCACCCCCATAGGAATGGACACGCGCCACTCCGTCCGTACCACAGGCGAACTGGACGTCGGTCGAGTACTCCACGTACGACGGGAAGAAATCGTGGTCGATGTAGTCGGCCTGGGACCAGTCGATGTACCGCATTTTGATGGCGGCTTGAAGTTGATCTGTGTTTCCAGCTGAAAAAAAATAATAAATAAGATGTCGGCTTAAAGGCCCAAGTTGTTTCGTTTCAAAAATCAAGTGTTGATCTTCTAACGGTTATGTTGAATTAATCACTCTTTTCCGACTGGAGAAAATGAGAAGTGTACAGCTGACAGTATAATCAAAGATTACCCATCAAAAGCAATAGTTATTAAATCTTCGTGGACGTAGGCTTATAGACATTGCTGCCACCATTTAGTCATGTTACCTGTATCCAATAACAGTACTGACTGACTGCGCAAAAATGAGTCTATTTTTCCTTCCAGCCTCACTTTGGTTACGTTGATGTGAATGGGGGAAAATCAAGATGGCCGCAACATGATAATGGTCTATTGCACTATCGACTTCTCTGCGGTTCCCTTGGGTACACTAGTTGCGGGTCCAGAGGGTGTTGGAAACTGCACCCCTCCCCCGTTCTGCCACTGACTAATGATATACCATTTATAGTAAAAGAGGGCCAAAATAAAGATTGGGATGTTGGAGTTCCTAAAATTATTCTCAAATTGCCTTAGAATGTAGGACAAAGCATCGTGCATTTCAAAAGATTTCTGAGGGCATGCCCGGACCCCAGGCTCGGCATGCCTTCGGTACGCCTTCACCCCCCCCCCCCCCGTTTCATATCTATCTTGTCACAGATGGCTGATTGTTGGGTACTAATACTAGGGCCATTCCATTTTGCTCAGCCTCAGAAAGTTTTAGTCCTAAACGTTTCTGAAAACTTGTGAAACTGAAAACATCCCAAAGTCATCCCAACTCAGCCACGCTTGTCTGATTCTGAGTCAAACCACTGAACCAAGTTCGAAATGAACTCACGAACGCATTCCTTAATCAACATTCAACCTTTGTTAAACTTGTGACCAGACTTAGGATAATGTGATTGGCTGGTGATTGACTTTTGGTCACGATTTGCCATTTCTTACCCATGAAAATTGAGAGTTCGTTAGCGATAACCTCGTCGAATTCTCGTCTGTTCAAAGTCGGGGCTACCGGTGATGTGGCATAGTTGGCGTAGGCCGGATTGAAGGCGCTGAACAGCACCGTGCCTTCGTCTTTGTTCGTGCCTAGGAGTACATCCACGTGATTATACCGACCGGTGAGGTACAAACTGGTCGGTGTATCGACGAGGAAGCTCCCATCAACCACCACCGTATAAAGGGAGTTTGCCTGGGCAATTCAGAAACAGAGAATTGTTTTTAAGGATGGGAGGTCGGGGTCTGATGTCATCGCACACAGGGCCATAAAAGAAATGAACGAAGATAATGTTTTGAATGACATTTTAGGATTAAAGAATTTTACATTTTTTCCCTAGTAATATGCACATGAATTATAAAAAAAAAAATGATTTGGGTTGCTATTAACCGACAAACCCCTCAGCGCAAATGAACATTATTTTCTCAGTGACCACACATTATGAAAATTACAGCTAAAAAGAGTCAACAATATAATTTTCAAGTAGATACAGTATATCGAGTTTAAAAACAAACTTTTTACCAGGTCTATTGCCCCGAAGAGATCCGTTGCGGTCTTGTCTCTCAGGCAATTCACAAGTTCCATGCTCTCGGATGTGACACACCCAAGTCTCTCTCCCAGCCTAAACGCCAGACTACGAAGCGCCTCCTTCTCTTCGGAAAACGCCCATGGTGAAAACACTGTACCACTCTAGTGAGAGATTGAAGGGGTAAACATTAACTAAGGGTGGTTATCTAGCACAAAATGATCACTTAAAGACACTTTGCATTGTCTGGCATGGAGTACGTAGGCCTACTCCTCCAAAATGGCCAATGACCATAATGCGCATGCGTTAAACATATAGCGTGAACAACCAAATGTCCTCTGATTAGGAATAAGTTTTAAAAGCTTATATTCCAGGCCAGTCAGTGTGGTCTCGCTGTGGCATGTGCGTCTTATCGCTGATTTTAATACTGGAGGCTCCAGGTTCAGTTCCGGAGGACATCTTACATTTCCTTTTCCTCCAAAAGTGAACATTTTTTTCCCGAAAGAGTGCTTAGTCAACTCCTGATGATCGATACAATAAAATGCAGCCTAGCTGTTCTTCTCATTCATTGCTCTGACGTATGCGCATTATGGTCATTGACTTTACTTGGTTGCTACCCGAATATTGAACATGGTAATGTCATTATGTCGTCTTCTTTGCCATGATATCTCACCTGTAGTATGGCCCGGTTGAACAGGCCCCGTGAATGTTCCGACAACATATGAAAATTGACGCTGGCTCCCCCTGCACTCTCACCGAAGATAGTAATACGGTTGCTATCACCGCCAAAGGCTACGGACAAAATGTTGATGAAAAAGAAGACAAAATAGAAGAAAAGAGGATTAAAAAGCGACATATTTTTTCTTGTCTTATTATAATTATTATCATTATTATTTATTCGGCCAACAAATGAACAAAAGTACAATGACAAAGCAAATAAATGTCATAAAGTAAACAAAAACTGGAAATTGAAAAAGTATGACCAGACGAGACTGATTGGACTGAAGGATGCGAGAAAGAATGGGCCGGGGTCAGGGGGAGGGAAGAAAGGGTGGACAGTTTGACAGGGGAGAGGAAATAGAAGGACAGAAAACAAGGACAATAAAACATTTCAAACCGGCCAGGGTTGACAAAAGTGTACTTAAACACTGTAGCCCTAAGGCCTGCCTACCCATACTCGAAATGTCTACACAAAAATTAAATAGATCTTTAACAAAATGTATACAATATAAATATAAATATAAATATTTATTGCCTTGCATCATCCGTTCCATACTAGTCTAGTATAGGCCCTAAAGTCGCAGAGAATCAAAATCGTGTGTTGCGCTAAACGGAGGTGTGCAATCATGCATTCCTTCGGAAGCATTCGGACGCATCACGCACCTTCCGCCACCGTCTCCAGCGCTGTATCGACATTGGAGGACGCCAAGTGGAAAGTGGCAGATTCTGAAAGTGAGTATTTTCTTTTCGCGTTAAAGGACTTTTTTGGACATGTATAGGCCTAGTATAGGTGTTGATTTTAAATTGACTTGGAGTCGTTCCCAAAGACTTGACCTGTCTCCCATTCGCATTTGTCGCTTTTAACTGTTTCCAACGTCAGACTTAAATTCTTATCTTTGGAAAAAAATCAGGCGGGAACGCGTCTACAACGTACGGGTACAAAAGCTCAGAAGTCCAAATCTGAGTCACTCCGATTTAGTTTTGTTCAGAGTCAGAGTCCATGACTAAGTAGGACTGAAGGCCGGTCTTGTGTGTGAGACTCCGCCTGGTCTGATTGGTGTAACTCACCTGCAATGTTTTCCTTGATCCACTTCAATGCCATAGTTTGATCCATCAGCCCAACATTTCCTGGTAAAGCCTCATCACCTGTAAGTTTGTGGTAAATAAAAGGAAAAAACAAACGTGAGACCTCTGATAGCCATTATTTTATCGCGGTTGCAAAATGTACCGAGTCACTCGCCTTAATAGCAAATTGTGTCAGTGACAGGTACTGTAGATTTCATGGGAGTATAAAGCAGCAAATGACCCCAAATTGCCCGCTTGCAAAAAGAAAAAACCCAAAATGTGTCGTGTGCCACAAAAATGGGAAAAACCTTTACACGTAAAACGATGAGGGATGCAGCATCCGCATACAATATCACAACATAAACTGTTTTTGTGAGAACATTTTATAAACTGTTGGTGACTCTGAACAGATCTATTCACAATTAACAAAACTGTCAGATCTCAAAATCCTGTTAGTCTGACATTCAAATATAATTTTCTTTATTCTTTTGACAGCTGTATTGACGAGAGTTTCGTCAAGCTTATCCCAATAATTTTCTTTTTAAATAACAAAGCTCTATTTTGACAACTTTGTTAAAACTATATTATAACATACCTGTTGTTAGAAAGCCAAATGCGCTCAGACGATAATTGATGGTGACGACAATGACGTCACCCGAGGCAGCCAATGGTTGTCCCCAATAAGTTGTTAGCACGGCAGACCCTGAGACGTAACCACCGCCGTGTATCCAGACCATGACAGCAGCGCCCCCTGGCTGCAAGAAAGAGACAGGTTTATAAACATGGATGATGACGATGCAAATCCCAGATTTGCATGACAATCTAATGTTTATAAAAGGTATCCTGCTGCTATGGCAATCATAACACCGTTCCATTGACATTCAAGCTTATGGTCTGTTTGTTTACCTACATTAGCCTTATGTTCAACGGTTGAATAAAGAAATTGACTATGGTGGGGTTTGAACCTAGGCGCTCTATCAATTGAGCACTGCATGGACCCTTTGCAAGGGCGTAATGAAATAGAGATTGAACTGGCAAGGTTGAATGAGTTCTCACCTAGAATCTTATCAAACTATTATTGCAAGGGCACGAAAGGGTCTTTGCAAGTGAAGCCCCGATTTGGAATTCTGCCCCTGTGTTGGCGGATTTTCCCATTTGTCATAGTGTTTTTGTTCGGGGCTCGACTGAGGGCTCGTCAGAAGCGATAAACCTGTATATACCGAGTGGATGGAGATTTGCCGAAAGTTGCGGTGCAAACATAAGAGCACAATAGCCAGACTCACAACAATTTATAAGGAAACGGTACCCACGGTTTGATTCGAAGCAACATTGAGGAGTTTCGTCATAAAGAGTCGCACAACTCACGCTGTATGAATCAACAGGGAAAGATTCACATATCTGGCCATCACTTGTCACTCTGTGCACAAACCCTATTAGACTGGTCTGAAAATTTCTAAGTGTTTTCTTAGTAAATACTTCAGTATTTCCCCTGCTAATTTTGACTTTTTAGGGGAAAAACTAGTGATGGCCAGATGGGAATCTTTCCAGAATACGAAAATATCCACAAGCATAAACGATTAAGATTTTGATTAGAAAAGAAATACACTCACCACAGCTGGTTTTGGTGCGTAGATATTGAGATGGAGGCAATCTTCGCTCATCGTTGCACCGTACAGCTGGCTAGGGTCCTGCACGCAGGCATCTCTGAAGTACGAAGCGTCGTACGTATCGACCCACGGCTCCTTAGCCACCGGGGCCCTGAACCGCAGCCCACCCACGGGCGGCTCAGCGAATGGTATGCCCCTGAAGACATCAATGGTCTTGTTCACACCGATGAATTGGGATTCCTGAAAAGTCTCGGTGGTGCCGACCAGAACGCCTTGTTGGATGGTGACAGTGGGCGCATCTTGGGCCGCCGTTAGCGCCAAGAACACGCTCAGTGCGAGCACGAGGAACGTTACAGACGTGTACATTCTACCCATGATGATTGAGACAACCGTTGTCTCTCGGGGCACTACAGTAGGCCTAACTGGGCTCCAAGTCTTAGCTTCGTGGACTAAGGGAGGGGCGCGCTATCGATCTTTAATCCCTCAGCAAATATTGGTCAAAGGAAAGTTTGCCAGTCTTTTTCAGAAGTATTTACGAATAGATCGTTTGCATGATAATAGCTGTTGTGGCGTGACTAGTCCAGAACTCTATATGACACACGGATTCATTGGTAGTATTGCGCAAAGATAACTGGGAGAGTGACCGCTTACGTGAGAGGGTTTAACCATGGAGGTAGGATTCCTACCTCCATGGTTTAACCAGTAATACTTATAAGGTAGGAGTCCGATATTTGTAGGAATATGTCTAATTTGCATATGCCACTGTCTTTTTTGGGGGGAGAGGGTATCTTCATGCTGATGTTCGATGGAATTGATACGGTATATTCTTTAATGTGTTAAGTGTTACTCTACTGAATATGATTGAACCCCCCCCCCCCCCCCCACAAGGAAAAAAATCAGAGATGGCAATACTGTTTGAAAAGGGTGCAATGTATGCTTTGGGGACCGTTTTGTCAAGTCATGTCGGAATCGGTACAGACTACAAGGAGCCCTTGTAAACACACTGCTTTTTGCATAGTCAATACCAAAATGTTGACATTAGGCGTAATGTTTGCCTGCAGCGTACGGTGAAAGTCCTTGAACAGTTGGCATTTGTCTCTTGGTATTCATGAGCCAAAGTTTTACTGCGCGATGATGTCATATTTGAAACGTACACTGAGAATAAATAGTTCTGTCAATAAAACAACAAAGGGGGTCGTATATTTGCCTCATTACAACATTAAGTCAAATATATTTGTCACTGAATAGAAATTATGTGCGTACCTTATGGTGACTTTTGTAACGATCTTCAACGAGTTCAAGGACCGTCACGAGATCTGACGGGTTTTAGCGAGATTTCATGTAGGGCGCCAGTTGTTCAATCTAACTTTATATCACCGTCAACTTAAAATTCCTGTTCAGCATGTACATTTTCTGCGTGTCTCCTTAGTAATGTTGCACCTTTGTAGATTAATCTCCAAATGGCAAGAAACGGATGAAATCGTTTAACATAATGCCCTGACTACTCATTATGCCCCGTTTGCTCTTTGGGCTGATTTTACTCATTTCGCTGTTAACTGAATCAAACGTTTCTAACTACATAAGCCTACCACTTTCAATTATTCAGAATGTGGACGATGATATTGGAACCATACTGAGCTCTCATTCGTAACTCATTTAAAATATCAAAATAAAGTGAGGAAACACAATATACTTTTCTTGATGTCATGTATTAAAGTGGTCATAAATAACCTTGATCAGTTACACTGGAAAGTAGTTATGTCGAGCAAGATTTTGAACATTTCCGTGTTCACGTTATGAGTGTGTCTAGAGCGGCCATCCACGCCGACATATCGCTCTCTCTCCACCGTCTCGTCTCGTCTTCATACTCCGCCGTCGTCTTTTCCATCGGACCTGTCAGTTGATTAGATTAAACAAAAATCAGTTTCAATCGCACATCGTTGCTGAACTCACCGAGAAATATCTTGTGCTAATGTAACATACATTTGCAAACAAGCAAAACTACCAAGTTATTATGAAATACCTCCTTGATTCCGAGTCAATAATATTCTCATTCATTTTGTGAATTAAGGGCAAGTGTGCTGTCACTTTCAAAAAAATAAATTGTATTAACGTCTAATGATGGAAGGCTGACCATTATGTGTGGGTGGGAATGACGTTTTTTCCCCCAAATACTGCCTCGAATACCAATCTCAGTGAACGGGTGCACTCTGTCTCGACTGAAGGAGGGTCAATGAAATTTGTGGAGAACAGCCTTTTTCGTATGCCCCCATGTATGAACACAAAACTTAGTTAAACAGGTCAGTGTAACAATATAAAATACTAACCCCGAAATCCATCCATTTCTGAACATTACAGCTGAAGCTATGTTGTATATTAAATTAATACATTTATAAGAATGGATTTTAATTTACTTGTAAGTATTTCATTAAAAGAGGGCCGTGTATTTTTCAAATTATAATCTGAAGTTTAGAACATTTTGGTTTTAGTAAACACAATTCGTTTTAATGGGGATGGCGGTTTTACTTCTATCATGGAGTTTACGTCTTCATAGCTCCATGTGACCATCTTTACCCAATCCCCGTTTCCACGTAAGCTACTGCATAATAATGACTGCTTTGCCGTCGTATAGGCTTACGATCTTGTTTACTTCAGGATTATGGAGTATGCGTCAGCAAAAGACTGGTAAAACTGCTTTTGAGAGACGAACGGCAAAGGTTTTTTTTCTGCACAAATATTGAGCGGTTGCGTAACATTTCTGTTGGTGGTCGGGGTAGAAGACCTTCAAGTTAAGATATAACAAAGGTGTACACCCTGTCCAAATATAGCGCTCCCTTCAGGTATTGTTGGGTCCACGCTGGAGTCAAAATGAATATTTGCATGAGTGTATGAGTCTGAGTTGAAATCCGCCAGATAAACACATAGCACAAACCTACTGCACACTTGTTTGCAAAAACACCGTGTGGAATGTGAGTCTATAGTGCCGTGGTAATTTGTTATTTTTCCTTTGGTATTCAGGAGAGAGTGTGCACTATGAATAGCACGACAGATAGGTGATGGGATTGTGCCTTTGATGATATAATCATGGCAATTGGAACACGGTCAGAGTGTGTCACGAGAAAGATATTTGGCCATGGGGCCATCGCAGATTTGTCCTTTGAAAAAAATATAGGTAAAATAACAAGTAATGGCAGCCATTTTGAAACATTTGAAATGTGCTTGTTATCCTACCTACATTTTTTTTAAATGAGAAATCTCCGGTCTATAGCCTAGCCAAATTAACGCCTTTCTCATGACACACTCTTACTGTGTGCCAAATGCCATGCTTGTATCATCAAAGGCACAATTCCCCTAAAATATTCACCCTCTGCCCCACAGTAAAACACACAATTTTGTTAGGTTATGGTGGCATGCAAATGAGGCAATTCAACTCACCGAGCATTGTGAGGAGTCTAGGAACGTAGTCGTTCCAGAAATGACAGTATTTCTGTCGCAGCCCGCGCCCATTGCCGAGCTCGAGTGAGATATCCTTATAAAGCTGGTCAGGCATCGTGTATTTCGGCCACGTTGGGAGACTGGGGCCATTCGGATCTCTAGAGCGAAGAGGGAAGGAGAAAAAAAAGGAATAAGAATGGGAAAAAGCCAGGCCATGAACAAACAGTGTTGCTTTTCACTACTTTTGAAAAATATCAGAACTTTGGCGCGTAGGCCTATTTGACTTCGTTGCATGCTACGAGGTTGTTAACCTACTTGACCGGTAAAATATCGGTCGTGCCTTTCGATTTTCATTTTGAGTTATTCACTGAGTTTTGTTCTTATATATGGTCGTTATACTCCCAAAAGAGGTTCTAACCCAACACCGGGGAGATTCAACACGGACAACGCATGGAGCGCCACCAAGTGGCAGACCTGAGCACATAGCCCGGTTGCCAATGATAACCTCGCCCACAGTGTAGGCATTACTTTGTGCTTGCCTTTTCAACAGTGTTTCGAATGTGTCTTTTGGGGGAGGGAGGGGGCGGTATTCGTCACGGGTAGGAACCGGTCTAATGTCCTGCACAACAAGTATCTGTTTCTGGTCATTTTGTTTATAATGTTCCGTTTTGTGAATTGTGCTTGTATTCCCTGAATATATTTAATTTTCGGTTGTGCCTTTTGCTCAACACTTCTGAACATCGATCATTCGCTGTGATTTCACTTAATTCAAAACCACATTCGAACCCTTTATTTAAATTACCCAGTCTTAGCAAAGTTCGTCCAGTAGGTCATTACATCAACGGCAAGTTGTTTCTCCCTGTCTTCGGGAATCTTAGTCTTATAGAACAGCTCCTGGGCCCAGGCATTGCCGAAGACGTACGGCAGATCCTCAGCGTGTGCCGCGCCCATCCATCCCGGTCCCAGGGAAAAAACGTCCATGACCGACACGGTAGGGTGGTGGGTCATGTGGTACATGTACACGGTTGAGCCGGCTTTGAGGTGCGCCTTCGCCATCCAGTCTGCCGGAGCGATCCAACTCTGGTCCGTTGTTATCCGGACGAAGTTCTGCAAGTAGTCGGCGTGAGGGTCTTCAAGCTGATCGGTGGTGGAGTACACCGCGTCCAGGGCTTGGTAGACGGCCGGCTCGTCGGCTTGGTAGAGATACCTGGGTAAGGATTCCAGAAATTTGGTCCTGTTCATGTAGGGAGGTGTTGGGGAGTTGTAGGCCCTCATGTCGACTACGAGAGCGTAGGTGGAGCCCTCATCGGCCAAGGTGCCTAGGAGAATATCCACGTCAGTTGGGAAGTCACCGTTCATGAGAAGCGTCTCCGGGTAGTCTTGTAAGAAGAATCCATCCACCACAGGTTGAAAAGAGATAGTTACCTTATGATGGAAAATGAATATCAGATTGTTCTTGAATGTAAGATCCACTTTTAAAGAACTGAGGAGTAGGCGGGATGACTTGAACCATAACACGGGGGTGTACATCGAAAGACATTGCAAAAAATACAAAGGACGCAATTTTTAATCATCGAAGCACGATGGTATATTTTAAGAGTCCTCTTTGGATGTCTTTCAAAATTGAACATGTAAAATCCTTTATGTAATGGCGCTATTTAGATGGTCGTCACTACGAAACACAGAGGACACACAGCCCATCAGTATGTGCTCAAGTTGACATCGTGACGAAGTTGCATTCCTGCAGCTGGCATACTATATGAGCGCAGGTTAACTTTGCGACCTTTCATAACTCCTAACGCACTCAGTTACACGAATACAGACTCGTCACAGCCGACATTTTCGGCACGCTCAACCCTTTACCTTGAATGCCGTAGTCAGTAGTTCCCTCGCTGGTACGTTTTGCATACATTGCACCATCTCGGAGGAAGTACGGTTGGAGCAGCCTACGGAGGCCGCTATGTGCCCTGTTTCCTGGATCACTTCCTTTACGTCGCGACGATAGGCGAAGGTTGTCGTGGGGACACCACTCTATAAAAAAAAACCCAATGGAATGGGATGGCATACAGGATAACTTTTATATTGGTGTGCAATGGAGAACATAAAATAACATACCGTCTTTTTTGCCAGACACCGACACACAATGATTGTTCAATTAACAAAAAGAGAACGTTTGCTCGTATGAAATAGAATTGAACATTATTGCAAACGGTGATTGAAACCAATATTTATTCCAAACTCGTGTCTATTCAATCATGCAAAGTTTCCTGATCAGAAGCCACGCGTAATGTGTTGTCTGGTCTTCGTCAGTGTTGTGGGCTGAGCCAACTCCGCTGCGGAAACCAATCGCGCACAATATACATTACATGACAGTTTACATGGTAACCAATTTCTGCTATATGCAAATATAACCGTGCTTATACCAAATGTCTTCATATCAAGGAAATTAATTTTGGCATACTTGCATGATTGCTCTACGGAAGAGGCCGGCACTCCGCCTGGACAGCAGGTGCAGACCCACGCTACTCGCCCCCGCACTCTCACCAAAGATCGTCACTTTGTTGGGATCACCTCCAAAATCTAAAGAAGAAGTGAACCCAGTAAATTATACTAACAATCCAGTATCAAAATTAGTTTGGGAAATGATGACATTTTTTTCTCCGTTTACCCATTCACAGAAAGAAACATTGACAATGTCTGGTCTTATTGCAATGCATGTTTTGGTAAACCCCATACGGCAAAAGGCTTGAATTTGGTGTCCATCCTCTTTGTCGTGTAAATGTAGTTCTAACTATGTGTCGTCTTGATAGAGGACAGTGTCAATATTCTCGGAGGATATTCATGAGTATAGGTTTAAGTTGGTTGTCAGTCTGTCACGATAAATCTTGTGTTAATTCCCTGACAACGCCAGTTTGTTGCAAACAACCAGATAGGACTGTAGTCAGCCCGACAGACTGACGGACTCACAGAACACTCACTCTCTATGTTGTCACGGACCCACTCTAGCGCCATCACCTGGTCTAGCATACCCACATTTGCCGGAAGGTCATTATTGCCTGCAATTATTCACAAAATAAATCAGTATTGTCATTTTCTTTGTACCACTTGTTGTACCACTTGTTGAACCACACAGGGCGATATATAGCCCAACGACGAGGGCGAATAATTGTTGTCTTGACTGCTTGAAAATATTCTCATGAAACTTTTATTTTCGATCGCAGAGTGCACCCATAATCTCTTTTTTGAAAGAGCAAAATGTCACTTCATCATTCAGGGGACAAGACTTTTCAAAAGGGATAATTATTTACATTGTTAGATTGACAGATTTGTGTAGAAGAAATGGTTTCTACTGAGTTGAAACCCAATCTGTTCGAATGACATAATGTCACTAAACAAAATTGTTTTGTCTAGTTTCAGTCAAATAAAGTCACTTTGTACTCTTCGGAAAAACAAGACTATATAAAAAAGGAAGGATTACCCCTCCTCTCTTTTCGTTTCGCTACTGACCTGTTGTCATGAACCCGAAGGGTCCCAGACGATAGTTGACGGTAACCAGGATGACGCCGCCGACGGTCACCAGAGGGTAGCCCGTGTATTCTGGCATGGACCCTGATCCGAACACGTAGGCGCCCCCGTGGAAAAATACCATCACATCAGCATTAGCCGACTACAGAAGATGTCAAAATTTGGTACATTTAAAGTTTTCAATAAGTGCAGAAAGTTTTACCACAAAGTCATGAATTCCAAACCATACACACAAAAAAACACCCATATAACCCATCGACAATTCTATACCTTCGGAAGTTCTGATAAAGTTTAGTCGTACTGCTACAATCATTCGCGTCCTGAAAATGTGCGAATTTCTTGATGTGGTAAATTTTCTATTCAAGAGAACCTATATACAAACATAGGAGTCACCGACCTAATTTATATGGAGTTGTGACCGGGGGGGAGGCAAGTAATGCGGAACGGGTAGAACCTCCAACAAACCTCCACCCCCCACAAATGTGACCCCTTCCCTCCTTCCCTCCCCCTACTAAGAATGTTGCTAAAAACTATAGCTGTTCATTATTTATTGTAACTTACTGCGAGTTTCTCCGGAAATAAGAAGTCTCAAGTGTCTCCACTACTGTTGGACCCTAATTCCGCCACTTTGTGGCGCTGTTCATTTTGCCCTCATGCTTTTCGATTCATCCATGAACTCGCCGTTCAAGAACGATAAATCTTCCGTCAAAACGACAAACACCCCCTTACACTGCCCTCTAGCGACGCCTAAGCTTGCTAACTGACTAGTACCGAAGACTCTTACCAGGTTGTGAGGCACGTAGACGTGAACGAACAGACAATCTTCGTCGATTCCGCTCAGAGACGGGAAAGTCTGCATGCAGGCGGGCTTGAACCGCCGACACTGCCTGACACCGTCCCACGCTCGCTTCCTGATTGGCGGCCGGAATCGGTTCAGACCGATGGGCGGTTCCGCGTATGGGATACTCTGGAAAATCGATTTCAAAAAATCACACTTCCATAGTGACTTCGCCGTTGTGCAGCAAAGCTTAGGACTCAATTTGCTATAAGCACAGAAATCTGTTAAGCCCGGAAAATGTTGGCTTAGCGAATACAGGTTACCAGCCAAAATGTCATTCCATGTACACTGTTTGTGACTAGTGCTCGCCTGACTTTTGCTTAGCGAGTATACTTTGCTAAGCAATATCAGCTTGGTGAAATTCATCGCACATGCGTTCCTGATCCTGTATACGGAGACGTAGACACCAACGGTTTGAACAAGCTAGCTCAGAATTAGTCGTAATACTGGCTCTCTCGTGAATGGGCCATTTAGCGGTAAAGATATGACATTTGTAAGGTCTTACGATTAGAAATCTAAAATTTGGTTTCATTATGACAACCAGAAAGTTGATAACTTTACCTTGTAAATGTCGACTTCAGCGCTGACGTTTAGAAAGTCTGGATCGGTAAACTGTACGGTTTCACCTACGATCCAACCCTCGTTGAGTTGAAGCCTGGGCCTAGCGCGCACGGCTGTGACCGCTACCAATAACACGGTCAAACGGACCACAAACATCTTGCCTATCTTGAACTAACCACCTTACTCTACCGAATTTTAAGTGGACGTGGGCTTAATGGTGCAATATTGTACATACATTTGGTGCAACCATACATTAAAAGCCCCTTGGTCCTTCAGTGCATGACCCTAATATGGTAGTCTTGTCAACTACTGCAACATAACACAACCGAAACATCTGATGGCAAAGACTACTGATAAAATTATTATTTGAATGACAGCCACCTCCCCAATGTTGATTACTGGTCGGTGTTTGTGACTGATATCGACAAAAATAAAGGTCAAATATCCAGGTCAGTTATAAAACAATGCGATAACGGCATTCGATATGATTTGTGCAATTTTAATACGCTGATATAACGATAAGGTTATTAAGTTTGCAAGTAAACATAGCTCAGGTGGTGAAGATATAACTACAAAAACAAAACCAGTGTGCATAATAGAAGTATTGTTTTTGCGAAGGCCTTGCCCTTTTGCGAGGAATACTAAAATTCATTGTCCTCAGCGATATCAGCCTCACTGTGGTTGATGCGCATAGGCCTACAGTCATGTATTACCCCGAAAAGGGTAATAACGCTGCCGGTTTCATATGAAATTCGGACTCCAATGAAATCTGGTCTATTTTACCTTATATGAACACTGACTCTCACACTTGATCTGTCACTGTATATTGTTCAATTAGGCTTGCGCAATACAACCAGCGAGTTCGTATTTCAAAGAGTCCAAATTTCACACCACACCGGCATTGTAAATTTGATTAATTTGGTTAATGAAGATCAAAATAAATTTAAAAAGGCGAATCATCAGCGTTGATAACTTGGGAATTCATACACACAAAAGAAGATTGCAGGTCGTTAAACATCTGTATCATTCACATTAATGTTTTATTAGTGAATAACGTCACTTGGCATACTTTGTATTACGGCCACACCATAAAAATCATTAAAAACATACGATAAACCGATTCTGCAGGAACATCCAGAATTTTACCAACAAAATTGTAGTAGCCTTAACATCGCTCCAAATTAAAAATGAATGTTAACGTTGAATATCAGTCATTACAAAGTCTGATATACAATTACTTCTTGTTACGGAACGCAAGATCAAAGGCGAGAGTTTAGTCTCTTCATGAGTCGCTCTTTAGTGATACACTCCGTCCTCCTGGAACTCGGCTATGCACTGATCCACCTGGTTCTGTACCTGAATGAAGGCTGCGATACCTTCAGTTGGGGTCGAAATAACTGCAAAAAGATAGAGAAACAAGCAAAGTCGTTAGTCTTATTCCCAAGTAGGAACATTTCCCATAGGTTGCACAACAGAGAATGAAAAGCTGAAGAACGAATCGAAAGTTCCAACCAATTGAAACAAAGCTCCCAAATACGAACCATCGGAAGGAGAGACGAGTTTGGGGATTTCTTCGTTCCAGAACTTGACGTAGTCCTGACGGATACCGCCGGTCCTGGTTGGAAGGTAGACGGAGATCTCCTTGTACTGCTTCTGAGCTAGGGTGTACTCGGGCCAGTCAGGTATGACGCCATCGCTGGGAGAACTGGAAGGGGACAACAGTTGGAAACAATTGAGAGGATGGAGATCGAGGAGATCTGACGAGGAACTGGGTTAAACGCGAGGTTGTACGGGCAAGCTTCGGTCATGTGAAATGAAATCTTAAGTAATACTTTTTCAAAGCATCACTTTTGTTGCATTGTGCATGGCGCAAGAGGTAATGGGTAATTTTATATTATGAAACATCAGAGACAGAGCAACATCTATAAGCACAGCATGACATAATTAGTTTAAAAATATAAACGCTATTAAATACAATAAGTGATTTTCATTTTGCAACTTTTGAAATGACGGCTATTTATAAGAATCCACACTGCGATAACAATCATCGAAAGATACAGTCGAAATTTAAAAATGTTTGTAATATATTGTTGTCCCCAGATTTTTCCTTTTGATTTTAAAAATAGATGACTGCAGTTTTGCATTTTACTGTTATTGCTTATAACGTCTTTTGGCGTATGCTGAATTTGCAGAAATGTTTACCCTGTCTTTGCGAAGTTGGTCCAGTACTTCATGACCGTGTTGGACATCATCATCTCTTCAGGCAGTGGTTTGCCAGTCTTGTAGAAGATATCATCGATCCAGGGGTTACCAAAGACGGTAGGGATGTCGTCAGCATGGACCGCACCCAGCCACTTAGGGCCCAGGAAGAAGACATGGAAGATGGAGACAGTCTGCTGATGGGTCATCTGGTACATGTAGACCTTGGTGCCCTCCCGCAAGTGCGCCTGCGCCGTGACGTCAGCAGGCGCCACCCAGGTGTAGTCGGTCATCATGCGGATGTAGTTGTCCAGGTAGTCCGCGGCTGGGTCAGCAGCCTGGCTGTCGCTGACGTACTTGGCCTCGATGGCTTGTTTCATGGCGGCATTGTTGGGCACATCCCCGTAAGTGAAGACCCAGTTCGGGTAGACCTGCAAGAACTTGTCCCGGCTCATGGGAGGGGCCGTGGAGGAGAAGTAGGAGGTTAGGTCCAAGACCATGGCCATGAGGGCACCCTCGTCCCGCATGGTGCCGATCATGATGTCGAGTTTCTGAAAGTCACCGGCGGCCAGGATGTTCTCGGGCGAGTCGTGGAGGAAGAACCCGTCTACCACAGGTAGGTAGGCCAAATCAGCCTGCAACGAATCAAGATTCCAGTCATTTATAATTTATTGTTGCCTGTTGGTATGGCAATACCAGGCCCTGAGACGTGAATTAAGCGATATTAGGTCACAAACCAAAATCAGGACCAGTCTTGGGCCAAGTCTAAAAGGAGATTAGGCCGCGTTCGAATTACTTGGCTATATACGGCCGGCAATCTGAAGCCCTTAGACTCAGCCAGTCGGCACAAGCTTAGGAGAATACCTTCACATCTTCACATCATTTAGTTTTCGCAGATAGTAAGTATAGTACAAATTTTGCGGAACGTACTAAGTAGGCCTACTCGATGTACAATATATAATTTTTTATCTGAAATGAGAAATTAAATTTAGATAAATCGTGAAACATTGCATGGTTTTAAGCATCAAGCTGTATAGAGCTGATACCAATGGAACGTCAAACTGACCTTATAAGCCACGGACCGCAGTTCCCTCTGAGGCAACGCCTGCAAACAAGAGATCATGTCGGCCGAGCTTGCGGTGGAGCAACCCGCCTGCAGCGCCACGTCCTTCGCTTGGTTCTTGGCGTAGTCCATGGAGCGTTGATAGGCAAAGAACGACGTCGAAGTACCACTCTACCAAGGAAAAAAACACATAACAAAATTGAATGTTTCGACCACGGAAAACCAACTAGCAATGATTGTCATTGCGTACATGTATTTCAAAATATCAGAAGTCCTAATCAATATATTACACCACCCGTCAATTCGGTATGAAGCCTTTGCTTCTGAAACCAAAAGAAGCAATTAACTCAGCTGATTGCTGTGTGAGAATAATTCCAATGGGGCGATGCCATCATCGATCCCCATGTGCTTAAAGTGGGCGTGGCTACTTTCGGTTGGGTGGGGCGCACTAGCTATCTGCATAGCAAGAAGGCTCACAACAAAGAAGGTTTGTTCTTACCTCCATGATTGCTCGGTTGAAGAGTCCTTGGCTCTGTTTGGAGACGAGGTGAAAGCTGACGCTGGCGGATCCCGCGCTCTCACCGAAGATGGTGATTTTGTCAGGGTCTCCGCCGAATCCTGAAGAGCAAAAAAAAATTATTTGAACAATAATATTTACTTAAAGGTAATTGACACCATTTTGCAAACACTCAAAAATAAAATTGTCAAAATATTGGGAGTTAATTCTACTTGATTGTAAGTATTAAGGATTAAGCATTTTGCGAAATCATAGCACCTAGTAAAATATGTTGTCATTTTCGAGAAAAGAGGCATTCGCATCATTTCCTCGCGATGGTTAGTCCTAACCATCGCGTATTCAACAGAAACGTTCGCGTCCAGAAAAACAACAACACAGTTTTCTAAGTCAATGTGATATCTAATGAGATGAATTTCAACAGGTTAGGCCTAGTTTTTTTTTTTTTATAATCTGCTTCAGAACCATTTTTCCTTGAACCGGCAAAACACATATTTTTTTGCAAATGGTATCCAGCACCATTACCTTTCATCAAAAGGTATGTTTAGGTATTTTTTTCTATGAAAATTGTTTTATATAAGATAAATGTATTGTTTAAAACCATTTTCTTCTGATGCCAACTTACTTTGGATGTTGTCCTTGATCCATTTGAGAGCCACCACTTGATCCAACAAGCCCACGTTACCAGGAGCCTCGCTATCACCTGTCAAGAGATGACGTCATTGCAAATTCATTCATAAAATTGGAATCTGTTTTTTTTTTTAAAGTAATTAACGCTCACACGGTGTGTAGCTATAGCTCTAGCTCCCCCGTGCTCTTCAACAATTTAGATTTATTTCTCTTCTCCAAACGAACTTTGCATTCTGTACTAATTATATTTTCACGAAAGAAAGGTACCTTTTCTATTCAGGCACCTGCAGCCCCGTGAATAAGGTGTTTTCGTTTTGGATTGCTCCTGCATTTAAAAAAATGCACTAAAAAAAGTCCACAAATAGTTTGAAACTTGCAAAGTTAATATTCCACCGCAAAAGTTGGGTAAAGTTTTTTCTTTTGATATCGCATTCAAAAGTGAATAACATTTTGTATTGTTTTCTATCTTTTTTAGACTAAAACTCTGAAAGCACGAGAGAGCAACTTCAAGCATTTATGCTTGTAAACAGAACATCTACTGACCAGTGGTGAGGAACCCGAATGGCCCAAGACGGTAGTTGATGGAGACATAGATGATGTCACCGACAGCCGAGATGGGTTGGCCAAAGTACTCCGGCATCGATCCCATACCGAAGAAGAAAGCACCGCCGTGGATGAAAACCATCACAGCGGCCGTTTTGGACTAGGAAATAACGACAAAAAAATAAAAGATAAATTACAGTGTAAGGTGAAGACCCATTTCATTCACAACACTGCGTAATTTTCCCGGGAAAACACTTGTCATTTTTTCCCAACTCAACCTCGAATCTTCAGCCGATTCGGTGTCAATCAAATATACTGTCTTATCCGTAAGCCACAAAGAAAATGGATGTGATCAAGGATTTTTTTTGGATGGCCAGGTTGGCTTTATAGGTGTTGAGGTTAACATAATTGACCAATATCCCTCGAGTTTTATGAACTAAATTCTGCAGTTTTGTACGGAGTTATATCAGAAAAGCCTTAGCTATGTCAATAAATATTGGTTTGACAGAAGGAATCTTTTTGAGACTTACTGCTGTTTGAGGGCGGTAGACGTTGAGAAACAGGCAATCCTCGTCCATGCCGCTGAAGGAGACGAAGTACTGGATACAGGCGGCACCGTGTTTGGCGCAGTTACGGGTACCGCTCCACGAGTTGACTGGTACGGGGGGCTGGAAGCGCCTCGCCCCCACGGGCGGCTCGGCGAACGGGATGCCCTAACGGTCGGAGACAGGGTGGTAGAATTGTAATTAATAATAGACCTTTCTTAAGAGTTGGCACTTTTTGCCAACCACGCTTTGAGCAAACTATGGAAGGTCAACGTTGCCAAAATAAAATGTCTCAAAACATTATTACCCCTGTTCATCAGGCCATGAGATCTGTTTTAGGAGCCCAGTACCTTTTACCCCTCAGAGTGTATTGTGGTAAAGTGTCTCACCCAAGGACATAAACAACACCAATCAGTTTGTTCTACACAGAAACACGACAAATCGGCAACGAATACTTGACTTGTGAGGCAAATGTGATCATGTTGATCACATATTTCAACTTTTAAGAGCAAGTAAAAACAAAGAACAGTTTACACGAAAAACTGTTTCCGTTAAAACTTTTCAGAAAATTAGGCCTGTAGAAATTTGTGGAAATTGAATACCTCTTTCAATTTATTTTTCGAAAGAAAAAATATACACTTGCAATTTATAGCATGACTGGTGTCAGATTTGACCGGTATTTGGTCAAAGTTGTACCTAGCTGATCATAGCTGTCACTCAGCGGGGTAATTTCTGACAAAAGTTTTTGAGTGTCATTTTACATGAAAACAACATCGGGAGAGATACAAATATTCAATTTTTAGTTCATTTTTAATTTTAATTCAAGTTCAAGTTTATTTTCAAACTTTGGTACTCCACTAAAAAATCTGACAAACCATAATCCTACAATAACCATTCCTAAATTGAGAAACCCATATAACTAAAATAAAACCTGGTGAATTCAGCTCAAAACTCACTCTGTAGATATCAATCTGCTTGTCCACTTTCAAGTAGTCAGTTTCTTTGAAAGTCTCCGTGACACCTTCAATTCGACCGTTCAGGGTCTGGACAATCGGCCCGGCCATCGCGGCGCTGGCCAGGGCCAGAAGGCCCACGAACACGCTGAAAATCATCTCCCTAGTTCGGCGCTCAGTGGATCAACTAAACTGCGTTTACGACTCGGATATGTCGACTGCGCTCTTCAGAGTGGTAGGAGAAAGTGCCAGCTTTGGTCATAAATTTGGGTTCTCAGTCCTACGTCGTTCTATATCAGATACTGATAAGTTATGAAACAGGTGACATGGGCCGGGAAATCTATTTCTTGTATCTATATAAAATACGATAAACTTTTCATTTTGCAAAAAAAAAAAACACTTCTTGAGGTAAGTGCTTCAGCTGCCAATCACAAAGACTTGATGAGCCTGTCCATCATTAGCGTCTGACTCTTTGAGTTTGATGGCATTTTTTTTGGTTTTCATCATGATGTTGAAAAAGAGAAATTGCCGGGAATCAACACATCTGTTCGAATTCCCACAAGAAATAATTCTGTCAGTCACTGTTAACTACTGACTGGCAGTTCCGATACAGGAGCGTATCTCAACTCTTATCAAAGTGTATCATATTTCTGAAAACCGGAAGTTTTTTTGGTTAACTTAAAAAAAAATGTTACGGTTGTAGACGTAGTTGAGAGATAAACAAAGATTGAATCTTGAAACTCTTTCTTAAAAAGTCTGAAGTTTTATTAATAGCTTCAAAGCATGCATACAAAAAGGACATTAATACTAAGGGGAAAAATACTAAGGGGAAAAAGCATAATAGTGTAAAAGTAAAGAAAATTTGAGAAATAAAATATAAACCTGCAAAATTAGACATGAAACTCGTTATCCGAAAAAGGTGATTCGTAAATTCGTAAAGTGAACGGGAAAATTGAGTTTGTCTAATCACCAGAATCGTCAATGTACAAGAGGACCAACACCTTTGCAAGAATTAATTTCACTAAAGGCTGTACGACCAAATATTTACAAGTGAGTAATGCTTGATGACTCAACTACAACTTTGGACTGATGATCCAACTCATTGCCAATGTGGTAGATAAATGGGGAGAGATAATGATAAACAAAAATGGGGAGTCAGGTTGGCGCAGTGGTTTCTTTCCTTGCCTTCCACCGCTGTGACCCGGGTTCGATTCCTTCCCTGGTCCACATGTAAATTGGGTTTTCAGTCCCTGCCTGATTCCATGGCTTTTCCCCAGAATATTCTTCTGGGGTTTTCCTCCCACCTCTAAAACTGTAATATCTTCATTGTCTTCTCTAGACAGAAGTTCAGGCTTGCGAGCTCACAGTGCCTAGGGCGCTTTTGAGGATTCCTTAGTTTCAGTACCTGAAATACATGTATAATAATACTAATAATACTAATAATAATGTATTGTTTCAAAATTTGGCCAGGCTGATTTTCTCCAACCCTTTCACACAAGTATAAATATGTTCCCCACTCTGTCTCTTTTTCCTTTCACATGACACTCTTGTTATCCTTGAAGTCTTGGAAAGCTGCCATCCAGTCTGTCATATCCTGATTCCTCCATCGATCCACTTCAATGGCCCAGTCCTCTTCCATATCAGTAGTATTGGCTGTTTGAAAAGAAACAAAAAAAACAGTAACAAAAAGACATTTATAAAGTGCAAGCCCGCAACAGGCCTCCTTAACTGTCAAATTGTTGTCAACTGATGATTTCTAATAGTGGGTTCTGGATTAACTTACCACAAAAATAGTCCAAATTAAGAATTAAAAAAAAAATCCATAAATTCCCAATGCAAACACATCCCCCGGGACCACAAAATTAAGAATGGGCATTTATAAACCGCATGTATCCACCATTGTTGTTGTTCAAAGTGCTCAAGCAAAAACTAGTGTCGGCAATTATACAAAAAGTTTTAGAACCCCCCCCCCAAGTGTTAGGAATTATTCCCTTGCACCTCCACTCTATTCCCCTTTCAGCTAAAAGCATAAACATGACTGAAACTTAAAAGCAAGAGTGATTACTGAGGCACCACAAATTAAGAGAAAATCTGTCAAGAAAACTCCAAGAGAAGAGTGTTTCAAATAATGAAACATCCTCAAATTCTCTTTAACCAACTGCAATAGCTAAATTGACATCTACTCTGTTTATCCTTGCATTACAAACATCACAAATTATACAATGGGAAAAAATCACCTGTGAATGTTGCAAGTTTGGGTAAGTAGGAGTTCCAGAACTGGCACTCGTTGGCTTTGAGGGAGTTTCTATTCTTCATGTCTGGATTCAACTCCTTGTAAACCGGTGATGTGGGAGGCCAGTATGGGGTCCAGGGCTCTGCAGATGATGAAAAACCCTCATCTGGATTTCTGGTTTAGAGGAAAAAATTGTCAGATTTCAAGTTTAATGATTAACATCTCATTTTAAATGGAATTAACCTTTTTGGAGAACACAATTCTTCTCACAAATATGAATTTAATATGATCTTGTCCTCTAATTTTCTTGATTTTTGTGATAACCCTCTTTACCTAAAGAGAACAATAAATTCCAAATCCAAATATCTATTTTTAGAAAATGGATCTGTTGTGGCTGCAAAAAACTTGCAAGGTTATGTAGCTGAACATCACATTATGTAAGGTAACGAAACACAACTCATTAAAACCGTAATGTAACATGAAACATAACTGTAACATCATGTTTGGCTGTAAGGTGTTTTGAGACGCTTGATCTCTAAACTCACCCAGTCTTGATGAAGTTAATCCAATACTTGGCCATCTGAATGCCAAACTCCTTATCCACCGTCGGCTGATTAAACTGCCTCCTGTTATTAAGCCCAAACATGAAGAGGAAGGGAAGATCCTCAGCGTGCCCGACACCCAACCACTTCGGACCAAGCCCCCCTAAGCTGACGAGAGAATGTTCCGGGACATGGGTCAGATGGTACAAGAAGATGGTCCGATTATCGCTCCCCATGGCCCAGCGAGCGAAGGCATCTGTAGGACAAGCGAAGGCTAAGTCTGTCATCATTGCTACGAATGCTTTGAAATGATCGGCCGTTGAGTTATCGGCCACGGACCAGTCCAAGTATTGCTGCTCCATGGCACTATGAAGCAACGGATGGTTGTAGTTGTAGGTGTAAAACGGAAGTAGCTCTCTCAAATCTTGAAGGGGAATCTCAGGAGCTTCATCTGCGTTCAGGTAACCGGCCCTGTTGGTAAAGAAGGTCCAAGAATTTAGTGGGATTAAGTTTTAAGTTTCACCTCCACCTACTCTCTCTGTCCCTTATGCCCCGCCCACACAATCTTACCTGAGATAAGCTCGCAAAGCAAACAAAGTTCCCTCGTCTTGATTTGTACCCATAAGCAGCTTTCCTGGGTTGAGGGCACCCTTCTGAAGCAACACCTCGGGTTGATCGGGGATGAAGTCTTTGTCTACAACTGGCTTGAAAGGAAGGTCGTTGAAGACTGTGTCTGATATCAGCTGATCAAGAGAAAAAAAAAAACTACTTGAATGGAGACCACTAACATGCTATTTCTGTAACATAACTTACTGTGAAATAACAAATCATGCAATGGCATTTATTTGATTGCTTTCTGTTGTGATTGAGATAAAAAAAACAAATTCAAAAACATTTTTTTCCCGAGGTGAAACTAGAAGATAGCATTTGGAGAGCAACTGTAAGCACCAAGGCTATTGACCACTATGCAGACAGCAAAGCGATCCAAAGGTCTCGTGACCTCTGGATTCCAGTTTACGGGTCCGTCTTGCCTCTAGCTACGAATTCTAATGTCATCGTTACCTCTCTCTCTTGATTTGTGAGAGTTCTCTCAGATTGCAGAGACAGACAGGCCACCATCTCAACAGTAGAGTCAGTCGGACAGTCCACACGTCGAGCAAGGTCCCCAGCCATCATGACACTACGCTTGCTGTTTGGACTGGAGTCAATGGCCCAGGGTGACAAGAGGTTACCGCTCTGGTAAAAATGCACAAAAGGGAGAACAAAAAATTATAGCATACGCACTGGTCTTTAAAGCGCCCCAAACTGCGCTGTCTGTTACTCCCTGTACCGCCAAAAACCTGACATCCATGATTTTAAAATTCTGATGCACTTCATAATGCAGTCGTCCTCTAAGAATAAATATGTTTAGCAAACTACCTACCCAACAAATAAATACATGTTTGAAGTCATTCTTAGTGATACTTTTTGTGGTAATTTACAAAGTACCAAGGTAATAGGGACAGGAAAAAAGGCCACGCTTTGGACCTTAAATGTATAGAATGACACATTGTATTGCTACCTTAGGCGCAATCATTCACACGCTTACCTGCATAATAGCTTGGTTGAAGTATCCCTTACTGTGCGGGGAGAGCAGGTGAGCGGACACACTACCTGCTCCAGCACTCTCACCGACAATGGTCACCCTGGAAGGATCACCGCCAAACGCTGTGACAGAAAGACATAGTTGTCGTCAGTGAAAGTAATGTCGACTGCATGTAATGTGTTGCTTATTTAGCACTTTATATCTTAAGTTTCAAAGCGCTTTACAATTGATTATCCCTGTTCATTAGGAATGAGACCCTTTTGTCTGCAGCAACTCAAGATCAGAGCTATTTGGTCTGTACCTTCACAGGCACCCATTTATACTCCTTGGTGGAGAGACGCAACTGTAGTAAAATCTCGCCCAAGAACCCAAGCACTATGTTCCCAGTCAGGGTTCAAGACCACCTCCCACACAGCACACACGTCAAACACCGTAACTAATGGACTACAGCGGCCCCCATGGAACTGGCTATCTACAACTTGTTTCCGAGAGCATGGCATAAAAGTCCTTCAAAAAAACTTCCGATTTTTACATTTTCATAAACAAATGCTTGTTGAGCACCTGTATTTGGAAACTTTCAAAATTAAAGGACAACCTAAGAATTTGGGGGAAAATGTTACAGAGACTTTTCCCATTAGCCCCAACTCCATTGGGTGAGGAAAAGACAAGTTAAAATTTGAGGATTCACGACTACTAGGGTTAATAGAAACTGTCTAAAAAAAGCTTTTTTGTAAACGTTTGGAAGAGGGGAATGACCAAGTTTGCTGGGAGAATAAGCTAGCCCAATCTCTCCTGAAGACAGTCAGAGCATACTGACCGGAACGTCAAGTTTATACCTCTGGTTCTTTTCAGAACCATTCTCTTAGTTTGAGAAATTATTCACACATGGTGTTTCTGCAAACCTTTCATTATTTAGTATCTCCACCATGCAAAGCCTCAAATCTTACTAAGCCCAACCTCTAAGGTAAGTACCTGCAATATTTGTCTTGACCCATTTCAAGACTTCTAGTTGGTCCATAAGTCCGTAGTTGCCAGGAGCTACTGCATCTCCTGTAATAAGAACAGTTTTAAATACAAAAATGTGTCGGTAAACTTAAAAAAAATTGCCAAATGTGAAAATGGTACAATGAATCATCTCCTGCATTAATGCAGTTTGTTGAAATGACAAAAAAAAAATCAACCAAGGGATGTGTTGGACTTGATGCAAACAAAAGAAGCATTACCAATCGTTACACTTTTTTATTGTTAAAAATTGTTAAAATGACAATATTTATTCAAGTGACAACAGATTAAAATAGAATGAACAATCAGATCTGCTTTCCATGGATGTCAAAAAGTGAAACATGACTTATGCTTTCAATTTTTGTGCATATATATGTGGGATATCGTTTTCATTATTTGAGTTAGTGGACAAGTTCAAGTCTGGAAGAGTTCATATTTCTCAGAGACTGATGTTAAGAAATCATGTAAACCTTCTGAAAATGTTGAAAACAAAAAGTTTGCAAGGTTTCATGAACTAAATTTGCTTTGAAAATGGCATTCTGCATTTTTTTTCTCATTACCAGTGGATAGAAATCCATATAGTCCAAGGCGATAGTTGGCCGATACAAATATCATATCGTCAGCCAGTGCAACCAGAACTATGGGGTCATAGGTGCGTGATGTACTGAAGCCATACTGGTACCCACCGCCATGGAACCACACCATCACTGCTGCGTCTTTCTTCTGAAAAAGAAGAAAACAAACGTGAGAAACCAGTTTCAAAATGAGAGAGCTTTTATAACCCATTTAGTTGGAATTAAAGCTGGCCTTGTTCAAATTATCGAAGATTCTTGAGTCAGTATTCATAAGGGGGAAAAATATTAGGTTTATACTTTTTCTTTGTGAAATGTTGAATGGCTACTGGGGATAGAGTCTTTTCAATTCACTTCAGATATCTTTCAAGGGTGAAAAAAGGTTTTCATTTTCAGAAAGTTTCTTTTCAAAAAGGGCATCAGCTTGGGTTTGGAGGGGTTGAAAGTTGGTGGAAGTCTGGGTGGTTGAATTTTTGAATGCCTCATTCCCCCCCCCTCCACCTTGGTTCTGAAAAATCCTTGATCCATTGCTGCAGACTTACCACATTTTCCGGTACATACACATTCAGATACAGGCAATCTTCACTGCTTGGTAAAATGGGCTGTGCACAGCCGTCTCGTGCGTAGGTGGCATTCCACACCCCCTCCCATGGCTGACGTTCTTCTGGGGGCCTGAAACGTTTCGGTGGTTCGGCGTACGGCACGCCCAAGTAGACATCAATGTCTATGTTCACCTGGGGATTAAATCAAAAGAGCAAGAATGTTTAAGAGAGAAACTAAATTGATTGAATACAGTAATAACTTGAATGGTTGATCATTGAAATAACAGAGATGTCACCTTTGAACATTTGGGGTTTGGAATTAATAATAGGTACTTTTAAAGTCCTATTTGACTAAAGATAGCAATTACACTTACTCTAAGGAATCGAATTTCTCTAAAGTTCTCCGTTTTTCCAAGGAGTGTCCCCTGTGACACGTTGACCACAGGATCGGCGGCTCCTTGCTGAAGCAAAGCCAGCACCACAAACAAGAAGAGAGTCAATGCATTGAAGGTGTCCATCACGATGGTCATCTGAAACTACATAACATCAAAACACAATTACAATCCATTACAAGCACATCAAGTTTTATGGGAATTATCAAGAAACATTTCTTAAGTCTTAAGTGGCAAAATTTATGTACTCAAATGTTTATCTACAATCCAGGACCCATGAAGTTGGTATATGCCCCAAGCAAATGTTGTGCACCCTTTATCCCTAGTATGGGGAAAAGGGCAGCTTTCCAAAACATTTTGATGGTTCAGCGATCAGTGTATCATTGGCTAGCTTGGCTAAAATACTTAATAAAATTTGAAGAAAAAAATAATAAAACAAAAATCATGACTTACCTCGCTTATGCATTTACCCACTCTCCTGAATTTAAAATGTATTTCAAGTTGTAAAGGGCACTTACGTTTTGTTTTAGAAGACCTCTTCCCCAATCACAACTGTTATCAGGTATTTTGGTTTGATCTAAGGATTTGTTGTCCGGTTGGTTAGGTTGTCTCCTCAACGGAGGACCAGTTATCTTTGATTATACATATTAGTACGTTTATCACATTCATTATCGTTTTATGTCATTCCGACTGCCTATTTATATAACAGGGATGTATTTAGCTTTACATGGGGTGATTTTAAAACAAATATGTGGAGTTTTATGGCCATGTTTTTAATGTGATAACCAGGGACTGGTCTGGATCAAGGCCATGTTAGGTCACGCACAGTGGCTCAGGATTATTTGGCCAACCACTGTGAATCGCTTACAATGCCTTGGCTGTCTGAACCACGCTTTGCATCTATGGCTGTCCATCTATTGCGAGTTAATGACCAATGTTTAAGTCATAGCCAAAAAAAAACCAATCTGGATACAGCCTTACAAAGCATGTAATGACCTAACACATACACAAGGGTCCTTTCCATTTATTCAGTCCCAAAACTGTAAGCGTAACAGAGAGCCAATAGACTGATCCATTTGGCCACGCCCACTGCCCACAGTCGGATACTAATCACAGCTGTAATTGGTTAAAACACCATGGGGAGGGGCTTAGCGGGTCAGTCTATTGTGTATTCAGGCAAAATGTTACATACACATGCATTTGATTGGTACTTGGCCTGATGTTGCTCAACAGTTAAGCTTCACAAGTTTATATCACCTACTGCCATACAACAACTAATATACTCATGTCACAACTCATGGCCACAGGGAGTGAAAAAAACAATCACCGAAGCCTCTCATTTCTTGAAAGCAATGCTTTATTTCACAGTCAATATGCCATCTCATTCATTCACTTATCCCCTCCTTCAAAAAAAAAAAACAACTTCCAAAGTGTAGTGCATTTTGGTGTCCACTCGAAATTGTGTACCTGTCTTGATAAAGCCATATTCACACAAAACAGGAAATTACTTTGAGATATTTCAAAAACGTTGACAGACCAAGAAGATTACCTATCCAGCAGTTAACACATGTTGCTGAAAATGTTAATCTAGGGAGACAAATAGCCCACTTACAATGTAAGTCAACCAATGAAGATAACAAATTTAGAAGATAACAATTTTCAAAGAATGAAATGTGAAGAACTGTTGTACATGTATATGCAGTAAGTGTCATATATGTCCAATATGCAACAGAGCTTGTTTGTGATAATTGTACATTTATTTTCACTGACGATTGTTTGTGACCATTTAAACCATGGCTGTGATTAAATTGGGGTTGTTGACTTAATTTCAGTGTGAACAGAGGTAAGGTGTACCAAAGGTTGCGTGAAGATTTCAAATTAATCAGAGCTTGGGAGTAGTTAGACAGGTCTTTTGGACATCCATCCAAGTTCAGTAACAAAAAATACATATATTATTGCAGTGCACTAGTAATCTAACAATAAAGTAATCAGTTTTGTCAAGGATATATGCACATGTGTGGTTGCAATTACTTGTATCACTTTCACAGATGTGGGATTATGTTATTTTCAGAGAACACATTATGACTCTTACTTCCAACACTTTAGCGCTCCATGCTGGGTGATACTTTAAGTGCATTATTTTTGGGAGGTGGTTGTCCAAACTGCAACCTTCTGACCGGCCTAACGTAAGATGCTAGTCATTATTTGCTGCTGGCAGCTAAATGAATAGTTACCAGGTAACATATAAATCCACGGCTACCTAGCAATGTCCCGGTAAATACATTGTTTTGAAACCCTGGTAAAGATAACCATATTGCTTAGCAAAACTGTGTAGATAAGCATAGTTGATCAAACATGTATCATACATTCATCTGCTTGGCACTCGGAACATTCTGGCAATATTCTGGCTAACCACCCTCTTTGCTTATCCAATGAGCAACCAGGTTATTTGGTCAAATTTGAGTACACTGGGTTAACCTTCCACAAATGCTGCTTTACAATGTTTGACTGGAGAACTCTTTGATTGGTTAATTCGGAATTTTCTTTGAAGTATTCCAATTTGATTGGTCTTATTTATTCGAAAGTTTATTTTTTATATCTCAATCAATAGACACATTCCACTGTTACCCATTTCACCCGAAAAACTTTTTAAATTGTTTTTAAAATCCACATTTACTGTGGAAAGTAACATTTTTGACCTGTTTTTGAAGTTGATGGACACACTTTTCATTAGGATAGCACCACTTGAATGCCTCCACATCTACTTATGTTCGTTCATTTTTATCCATTCAAATGTCACTGTGCAGATATCAAATATTTGATGTATAGCACCCAAATGTACATGTATACATGTACCTACAAAACAAGCAATGAAATCCTTTTTTACAACACCAAAGTTGGACGTGGAAAACCCTGTTTTGTAATAAAAATACAGCCACTAGTACAATCTCTATAAATTTGTTTCTACAGGCAGCGTGAATGTACAACTTTACATTACAAGGAAATGGTGGGGGAAAAAATGAAGAAAAAAAAATCTAACAGCAAAATAATCTAAAAGTTCATCTTGATTGCAATATTTATAATTACAAGTCAAATTGATATTGCCCGCCCTTTGTGTTTAAACATCTTAAAGTACACTGACCTCGTGTTGTGGTATTCAAATATCTTTAAGGAAAGTGATACATTTGGTGCAAGTAGCTTGTGTTAATGATTATTTTGAAAGCAAAATTGCATACAATTCTACGAACTGACGCAATTCGTCGGGTGCACCACGAAGTGACGTATTGTCTACGGACTTTGTGCACACGATAGGTCATTTCGTGGTGCGACTGACGAATTGCAAGTGACTTTTCATAATTTTTTTTTTCATGACCAATACGGGCGATTCCCAAAACAGTGCCCCACAAGAGGTTACCTTGGAGAGTTACCTTTTTCGCAGTGCATTGTGGGAGACGGTCAACAAATTCGCCATGGACCGGGACACTTAAAATTGTTAGTTTGTCTGGTCAGTAGTTTCTTGAACTTAAATGAATACCACTTATAACCCTACATGGAAAAGACCATGCTGTGCCATTACGCCCCAAGTTGTAATAAAGTCTGTTACTGTAGGTGCCCTGTTACTGTAGGTGCCCCGTTATGGCAGGTGCACCGTTATGGCAGGTGCACAGACAGAGTAGATTCAACATTATAATTTGTGATTCTCGTGCACCGAGCAGTGCAGTAGGTGAACAACCCTGGAACATAAGGGTTATAATATCATCCACTACATCAACTGTCCTCAATCCTGCAACATCCTTCGAAATTCCCCCATGGACTTTGAGGGTCTGAGACGGTAAACATTGCTTTGACTCCTTGTGGGTACTTGACTATACACAGTTCACAATGGACTCTGGATGCAAGTTCTCCAAAAACAGAAACAAGCAGAGATATAAGACAAACAATTGAATATCGGTGCTGAAAGGCGCCGGGTGCCAACGTGAAGATGCTACACACTTGAGCACGTTCAGATGGAGAAATGTTGCGCACGATGTGTCATACACCAGCCAATCAATGTCTACATTCTGTGCATCCTGCAAACTGGAGATCTCATGAGTAATCACACAATGTCATCTACTGTTCCAATACATCCGAGGAGACCTTGTCACCGAATGTTCCTTGTTGATGCAACGATAGTTTATACGGTGACTTTCGACCGCATCACAAGACGGTTGGCACACACAGTGTCCATTTGAAAGCAGGCAAACCAAATGTATACCGTAATTTTGAATTTCACTCACTAAAAATAGGAAGGGGATTCCCTTTCAAACAGTACCGGGGGAAATCACTTTCCAAACTTGTACCAACCACAAGAAACACACACAAATTATGGCATTAACAAAATGAAGGACTCTTTTCCCACAATAGCGGGAACAGTCCTGTTACAAAAACCAAGTATGGATTGAAAATAAATCCACAGAAATGCGAGTATTCAAAAATAGGAATATTAATAACAAGATAATAAATATGTACAGAATGCTGTGCCGAGTTCATTAAATTCTATACTCTAGTTCTGCAGCTTAACTTTGGTAAGTTCTATAAATAAAGTGCAGAGCTCAAAATGCTGTTTGTTATTACGGAACCGTGACAGTTAGAGGTTGATCTGTTGGGATGCAGGGACACAAAAAAACAGACCTAGCTTACTGTGTCCATGATAGGCCAGCAACGATTATTTGGTCAATTGATTTGATCGTTGTGTCGGTTATTGGGTGACCTTTTCAGTTCAATTAATCAAGGACAACTTGGTTTCAGAAGGTACATGAACACAGGCCAACAAATATCTCCGGACCAACAGACCAACCAGCAAAACAAACAGAAGGTATCTGACAAACAAACAGATCCCATTTTCAGCTCTGCACATATTTCATTTTATCTTTCAGACATATATATAATAATATATACAATCCATGTCTAACTGACCAAAAAAACAAAACGAAAAAAGTTGTGAAAACTAAAAAGTAATATTTATAACAATTATAGCAATATTAATATCATTATAACCACAGTATACATACATTACATAGTTTACAATATACAAGGGTTACTTTGAAACAAGTTTGGGGCGTCTACCGTTGAGAGGACAGCGGTCTCAGCTTTGCTTGATTCTCTTGCGCGGCGGTCCCATGAATGGTGGACTCTGGGAGGTGGCAAGGGCACGGAAGGCATCGGCTACAAGGTTGGGGTGACTGTGGACCATCGTCTTCCAGCCCGTGGTTTCCATGACCTCGGGGGCGTGGCTACTTGAGAAGGAAAGGAGGGAGGACAGGGTTTGAATGGGTTGAGTTGCTTATTCAAATGAGAACAAAAACTGCTGTTTGGAACTAAGTAGTCACAAACAGCAGGCTAGTCGAAACGTTGAGACCAAAGACAAGTTCTTTTAGAACTTAAAGCAGGACTGTTCTTATCAGAACAAAAAGTACTTAGCGAAAGTTGATAATAAGCAGGACAAGTTCTTTTCAGAACTAAATATCTTCTAAGCAGTAGTTATTACCACATGGTGTTACCGCAAACCGAAACGATAACAATAAGGATATTTTTAAGCTGCACAGGGCCAACCAACATAATTATTACAAGATATACCTCACATTTTGCGATGCGTGGATTTGCAGAAACTCACCTGTTAATGAAGTCAATTGCAACAGCTTTCAACTGGTCTGCGCTATGTAGGTCTGCTAAAACTAGGACTTCTGCTACGTTTTCTATGACCAGATTGGAACATAAGGCATCTTCACACATCACCTTCAGTCTTTCAAGGGCATACTGTAGTTGAATCAAGGGGGAAAATACAAAACAAAATTACAAATGTGAACTGAAAAGGAAAACAAGACACGCCTGACCAACAAGCTGGGAATGTGATACGGCCCGTCATAGAAATGGTGCACACCTTCAGATGTTTCTATAGATATTTTATTTGTTATCCCAACAGCTCCAGTGGAATACCGATTAATGCAGAGTGCTTGGCCTCGCGAGTGGGATAAGAAATTTATCTTCCAGCAAACTTTCGTGCACATTCAGCATAAAATTGACGGTGTGTGCTTGGCGGGATGTGTGTGGGAATGTGTGTACATGTTCATCTTTTCAAACCGTGGATGAAAAATACCAGAGAACAAAAGAGAACAATAATTCCCAACACGATTCCAAGCATACGTCCACGATTGGGGTCGTGTACAAAACAATTGGGAGTCTTCCTAAAAAGTTTGAGTACAAACAAAAGAGGGACAATAGGACGTCCACGATCGACGGTGAACACACATTTGCGTGCGTGCACGCAGTGTGTCCCACTGGAGCACTCGTGAGTGGTGACCAAGCGCCATCTACATGTTAATACTCAGAGTCCATATTCCCCATACCTTATCTGCAGCTGCTAATAACTCAGCAGCCATGTTGTCCAGGTTGGGTGCTTTGCCCGTGTAGATGAAGCGAAGGATCTCGTTCATCACGTCTGCTTCCACGTCGGTGATGTCCACCCGGCCTAGTTTCTTCTCTTCCATCTCGTGCTCGAACATGGCGTTGAAGACAGGTGAACGGGCTGGCCAATAAAAAGGAGAAAGCTTTAAGTAAATGCATGATGGAATGGTACAATAAAGTGGTAAGTTTCAAGTGAAAAGAGTATCTCCTGCAGGAAGTAGGCATTAAGGTGCCATCATCAATAATAATAATAATATAATAATTGGTTCTTGTAGAGTGCTTTTAACTATTAAAGATCAAAGCGCTTACATCATTATTACCCCTGCTGATTAGGCCATTTAAACATTCCAAATACAATCTCAGCTCCCTGGGGAGTATACAGCTCGATGCAGCCTTTTAGGCGCAAGGAAGCTAATTCAATCACAATAACCATCTCTGCCCTCACAGGTACCCATTTACTCCTGGGTTGAGAGAAGCAATGAGTGACAAAGTGCTTTGCCCAAGGGCACACGCACCATAACCCCAGGCTGGACTCGAACCCACAACCTGCAGAATTACCCGCAGATCACAAATTCAATGCTCCAAAGCAAGAGGCCACAACACTCCATGACCAATCGAATATCTCTAAGTAAATATGCAAGTATTGACATAAACATATTATATACACATGCCCTGCATGCATTTATTTGCATTCTTACATTATATTTTCAAAAATTCCCCTCTACCTACCCTCCTCTTTTTCCGCAATGTTACCAGAAACACAAGACCACAAACGTTTTTGAGGATTTTACCTGCTAGTATTGCTTTGTGTGCTTGGAACTCCTTGCCTGTGACGGATAACGTGACGTCACTGAACGACGTCCTTTCCCATAATGCACTGAGGTCGTCAGCAAGGCGACATTCAGGGACCTTCAACTGGGCCTGACTGGACTGACCGGAAATGTTGACTGTTTCTGCAACCACACTCACCTGAAAGCAAGTTTTCAAAGGTTTTCTCATAGTTAGTGTAGTTAGAAGGGACAACCGAGTAACAGATTGGAGACGAATTGCGTAGACTCTAAAGGACCCATGGAACATATTTTGTCAATTCCTGTTTTTTTGCCAATACTCAAAAAGCCATTTTACTGGAACAATATTACTGGAACAAGGATAGCGTGCTTCCTCGTTTTTCAATGCAAAGTCATTACAATTGCTTACTTCACAGAATAATGTGAGTTTATCGTCAGGGAGGAGACCGTTGGCTTCATCCATCAGAAAGTCTCGTCGGATGAACTTCTTGAAGCCCCAGTCTTTGCCCTGTACAAACCGGTAGGCTCTTTGACTTTCTGTGGAGTTTGAAGAAAAACACAGAAGACAAAATAGCGTAACTCACAAACTTCATTAGGCAGTGATTAATAAGAGTTGGAAAATAAAACTGGCAATCACTCACTGTAATCAACACAAGGACGAATAAACTTCCAGGTGTTTTAAATTGTAATGTTGGGTTTTTCCTTCGTTGACAAGGTTGAAATCTTTAGACACTTTTGTTTATAAAAATGGTCTTACGTCACTTGTTTAAAAGTCCACTTGCAGTACACAAGTGAAAGTTTGATGTAACACCATGAGGCAGAATCTCTTTTTAGAAGATGTGTGGTTCTGAAAAGAACTGGTTGTTTGTGAACTCCACGTTCCAATCAGTATGCTCCAATCAGTGTGCTTTCATCATCAGCATCCACAACTCCACGCCTCAGTATTCATCCAGCTCTATAAATGCAGCCTCATCCACTCCATTCGGCTTTCTCCTGAAGACGATCAAGCAAACCGATCGGAACGTCGTGTTCACAACCAACCGGTTCTTTTCAGAACCACACATCTTCTCAACAGAGATTCTTCCACATGGTGTTACTGCAAACCCCCACTAGTCTACACTACCGACATGCAAAGTTTCAAATCTTATTCATGTTCACTTGCAGTACATTACAATGCAGTGTTATATAGTTGAATGTATCACAAGTCCACAACAAGTAAATCACAAGTCGTTTCATATATCCAGTCACAAGTAACAGGGGATGAACGATAGGAACACTTTTGACTCAACTACAACACTGATACAAAGAAGTTGCTGCAACACAATCATCTTTCTCAAACCATTGCAAGACATCTTATAATTTGAGACTACTCACCCATTGCCTTTGTCTCTTCTCTTTTCGCGTTCAGGATGGAGAATTTGAACTTTGCTCGCACCTCAGCTTTATTACAAGACACCAGGAGGAGGTATAGGGATAGGTAGTCCTTGCTTTCTTCATCCAAGCCCTTGGGGTTGACTCTCAAACACCTACAAAAATTATAAACAAATAAGATGTGTCAATTCCTCTTTTACATATTTGTGAAGTGTTCTGGCAAAATGAGACAGAACTGGGCAGAGGTCAAAATAAGGGTCTGCAGGTATTAGGAAAGGGAATACAATTTCTCCTTACAATACTGTTTATTGCACTTCAATCGGACATTCCGTTAACAAGTTATGGCTGTTTAAAGTTTGCATTTATCGACATGTCAAGAAAGTAAAATACAGAGAAAAAATCCTTTTAAGTTTCAAGTTTTGTATTTGTGAAAATGAAAGATGCCAATTGTTTTCCTTAAAAACACTTTAATTGAACGATTTTTTACTAATCCTTTCAGACATGTGTAGTAGACTTATATATCAAAGATTACAAATTTCAATAAATCTGAAAATTGAAAAAAAATGACCCCATTCGTTTTTTTTGTTAAATTTTCCTCCACAACAGCCTGTGTCCATTTCCGTCTCATTTTTGCCAGAACGACTCAAATTTCAAATAAACAACAAAGGAAAACTGACTAGGTGCATTACAATAATTTTCAAGTTGAACAAAGAAATTGTCTGGAGCGGGGTTTGAACCTGCAGCCTCCGGATTACCGTTCTGGTGCTCTACCAACTGAGCTACCCAGCCCTATGTTGGCGGTTCCCCATTTTGTCAATGTCTTTGTTCCAGGGATGCTAGTCAGAAGCCAATAAACCTGTAGCCAGGCAATCACGCCCAAAGTCCCGATGCTAGCAACATCAGCAATACTGCAAACCTGGTAAATAACGTTCCTTGGGTTTGCAGCATTTGAGTTGGCTTACTTTGTGCAATGAATCAAGGATCAGATTCCCCATGTCATACCATTTCAGTTTGTCGTTGGCTCCAGATGAGAAAGTGGAGCTTTTCAAAACCTCTCCCATTTCCTCTCGGCAGAAGCTGAAGTTGTTGATGGTCCACATGTAAGAGAATTTGACCACCTTCACCTGATGACAACGATGAGGAGTTGACAAAAAATGGGTTAAGTGGTCATAGGCACAGTGATTTACACAAAATAAGGCTTCCTGAAATGTCAAAAAAAATCTAAATAAATTTGGTATACATTATAAATTTGAATTTCCTGGATCCAACCTATCCATATCTACCACTCAATGTAACATTTTGTAAAATGTACAATGTATTAACCATGTTCTCTATCTTTTGATGTATGGGAGTATGGAGCTATAGACATAAATGAGAGTGGGGAGGACAATATACTTGGGTTGAGTTGAGTAGGCTTATAATGTATCTGCGTAGGATTTTGAAATACTGTAAGTATAAATCATGTTTAATTTAATTTATGTGAAATATATGAAACCCTGTACAAATTATATATTATGTGCACAAATCTTTCTCTGAGATTTAAATTTGATTAACCTATCCCCCCTGGGGAGTTTGACAAATTATTAAATAACGCTTTCAATATGTCATGTTAAAAGCCACATTATGCTAAAAAAAAAGTTTGAGCCAAAACTGTCTACGTGATTGCATTTCGTTACATATGTAAAGATTTCACATGCACATCTACAGTCCAGATTACATGTACATATGTAAGTTTACTCATTTTGTAGACGGCGTAGGCTCCTGGTACAAGTAGGCGTACAACGTATATTATATCCCTATTTACAGGACAATGACTACAGTATGTAGCAGGGATTAAATCTAATTTCCTGTATGACCTAAGAACCTTTAGTCTGAGAGTATTGACTGGCAGGTTTCTGGAGCCCTTATCCATTGTTGTCATCTGTGACTGCTATAATCCAACCGTGGTTCCTTGAGCGCTTGCACATGTGTGCTGATGCACAAGCGCAGGTTGTTAAGAAATGGGCATGTGCAACTTTCTAGCCTAGTCATTAAAGGTACTAGACAACATTTTCAAACATGCATTAATTTTGAAGAGTGCACCCAGAATTATGATGTCATAGATATCAGATGTAACCGGGACAGGAATAAAGTGGACCCTAATTCTATGGAACGACCCATCACTCATACAGGTTGCACTGATACTGCCATCTGCATCAAATATATTGCATGCGATCACAGACAAAAAAGAGATGGAATAGGCCTACTTAAGCGGTATCATGGCCGAATAGTGTCAAGTTATAGTTTTTTTTCTTTCATACATGTGGACACAATGATTTGCTTTACAGTCAAAATTGTCAACAAAAGAGGCATCAGCGTCTGTGGAATGGATAGGCTAAAATATCAGGTGGGTCAGAGCAGTCCTTGGCAGTGATAAATGAACATTTCCACAACCTCCTCCTTTGTGATCTGTTAGACTAATCTATCAATCAAAATGACATTCTGGACAAAGTTTAAAGATGTGACATTTGACTGGAGTAATATGAACTGACCATTTTAAGTAACGAGTGACTGTTTCATGGTTGCTCCAGTAAATTAAGATTGATCAATGGCCTGGGGCCCAACATCAACCGTCAAACCAAATATTCTTGTCCAACTTCAAAAGTGAAATGTTGAGATGTTTCAAAAGCACTACTGTACAAATAGAGTGTGCAGGACACTTTGGCACTTATTTTTAGAACTGGCCCCCAATTATGGCCTTTGTTTGGAACTCTCTGATTGATGACCTTTATGATCAATGTGTTGTGTGTCCACTGTTCAGGGAAACCAGGAGGCCAGATGATAAGACCAAGTGAAGAAAAATAAACCAATTTCTTGCTCCCGCCCACTTCCTTTTTTTCCCACCCGTCTTTTTGTTTTTCCCATCACACATTTGCAATATCTTTTACACATGTATCTATGTAAGTTGTTTTTGTTCCCAGCAAAACTGTACAAGTTCAAAATCTGGAAGAAAGGGTGATAGCGCCTTTGAACACAAAAGTTTCAGCAAAAGAAAATGGAAGAATCTATCCGCCATCTTTGAAAAATTGCCATTTTGAGGGATAAAAGGGCTGCCTCCTTTTTTCAGAATGTCCGGATGAGAGACTATTTTTTTTTTTACTTGGTCTATAACCGTTGTTACAGTTTGTTCACGACACTCACCAATCTGTGCATTACTGAACCTGCAAGTGTACACTCATGTGTAAAATACTTCTTTTTCCTTTCTTGATTTTTTGAACAACTCTTCCCATCCAAAAAAAAAGTTTTGAAAAAAAATATTTTTTTGTTTAATTTTTGGTTCAAATTATTAACATGTCTACATACATGATGTGCATGTAGATTATATGGAATAAGTCATGCTTTGAAAAAGCTGTTAGTATGAAGTCTTCCATGTACATGTACACTACATGTACTAAATAATTATATTCAAGGCTTCATTTGCAAGGAACCTTCGCCAAATACTGCCCATCTCCACCACTGTCCTGTAAACCAATATATTAGCAATGGCAATTCATGTACATGTGTATGGATGGTACAAGCGTACATGTACATGTCCCTGAGCACAATGAAGTACTGACAATGAAATTCAAGTAGGAAAAATGAATATCACATGCTTATTTCCTCATTGTTTAAAGATACAGGGTTGTTGTTAAATTAAGTTCTTCATTACTTTTTAAAAATTTAGGCAGCAGAGTTGCCTAATGTAATCTGCAAATTAACCCTGCATAAATAAATCTGCATTGAACCCTTTACCTCTCGTACCGCCCCGACTTGCCCTGCCTATTACTCCTTATACCGCCCAAACCGCCCCATCACTGTCTGATTTTATGGATTCATGGAGGATTAAATACAATGTAATGCAATAAATGCTAAAAAAAGGTTTAACACTTTTGGACACTTTTTAAAAGCGCAGGAATTATTTTAAAAACTTTTGATTTTTTTAAAATTAATAAATGGTACAGGGGTGTGAATCTTAAAATAAAAAAATGAAACAATAAAGTTGAAATTAAAGTTGTTACCCTGTCTCAATGAAGTGTGCATATCCCCAGCATGCTCAGCCAACACACGAGTTCCAATGTTTACGCAATAAACATATTTTATTCTCAAGTTTACAAAATAATCAAACAATCTCAAGGTATATTGTGAATGTGTTTGTTTAATTTGCAATGCTGAATTTCTGGTCGTCCTACCTGGGTGTAGCACCAATTCTCTGCCACGGGACACGACATCTCAGCTGGAGGGGGACTCGGGGCCCGTGACGTCGCCAGCTTGAAACCTCAGTCACTCCGACGCGCCGCTCAGAAAAGAAACCCAGAAATAAAAACCTCCAGTCAATCTGCAGGGAGCACAGAGAACAGAAAAACAGATTTGCCGAGTACGATAACTTCATATTGAATTTCACAAGCCGGGGATGTGGATGGATCTCATTATGTTGGGTTCCCCGAGGCTGAACGTATTTATGGGTGAATTTGGCTCGCTACGTTAAAGAGCCATGCTGCTCTGCGGTTTGAATGGCTATTCTTTCACACCATTGTCAGTACGCTATTCGTGTGTATGGCTATTGGTTAGCAGGAAATTTAATCGGTGAAATACATTTGCTGAGTTTAATAAAGCTGAATTATAAACCAAACACAAGAATTGTACATGTATGCACATATGTATGTTAATTAATACATGTACAAGTATTCCTGTACTTTTAAACAGTATGTACAATGTACACAAATAAACTGATACCTTGTGCACAAAAATTCTGTCTTGCACCACTTTTTCAAGATATTGCCAAAAAATTTGATGCAGAGTTACATGTAGGTATGCCCTAGAATGATTATACATGAACATGTAACTTGTTCTTGTTCCATGGCTAATCATGAACGTGAAGTAAACATAAAATTGCAACAACAAAAAAAACCACATTAATTGATCATTGTTCCTGCACCTTTAGGACAATAAAATTCTGTGACTTTTCCATGACAAAATTATGAAAATCCATGACCTAGTTCATCAAAATACAGACCAAAACTGTAAAACTTGTTCGTGGAACGTGCGTTACAGAAACAGAAAAAAAAAAAAAAAAGCAATAATGTCTTTCAAAATCAAAATGTTTAAATTACCAGTGACATTTCTCACATTTTGTTGGGTATAAAAATTAGATTTACGATGCTAAATTATAAATATTTGTACAAAGTTTAAAAAAAAAAAAAATTGGTCCTCACCAAATTCCATGTTTTTTTCAGGCATGGAAATTGAAAATAATATTGGATGACTTTTCCAGTTTTTTTTCCAGGCCGCAGAACCCTGATACATGTACATGTACATGTATGGGTCACATGCATAAGATGTACGAAATCTAATAACATTGTTTACATGGATAGTACACAGCATGGTCATGTAAACCACACAATTTACATTGAACATGTGGTGATTGAGCCATGAAGTTGAAAAGTTATTCTTACGTATATATTTTCCTACGTACACCCAATGTTCATGTTGGATTGCATGTACATTTTTTTCCCACACATATCAAATTATCAATCATAAAGTAATTTCCTCATGACAAATTAACCTTGTGGTGACAGCACTCTAAACGAAATCCTCATGGCGCCTGGAGTTACCCATGCATGAATTTACTCATCACACTCGGCCAGGACTTTAATAATAACGATCTTTCCAGGGAGAAAATTAATAACGGATTCTCGGCACCGTCTGTGACACATCCTCACACTTCTGACCTCAAGCAAAAGAAGAGAGAGCGAGACAAAAAAATAGCAGAGCCATCGCCTTTTGTTTATTTTAATTATCGACACTGTCCCACCACTGAACTCCATGGGTGTTAATCACGGTCACCCTCGGGTGAGCACAAATATATCCCTGACAGGATACCAGCGGGTTTCGTCGGAGCTGAGCCCCTTCGCAACTTGCTTAGTGATTTATGGCACTTTCATTTTACTAGCACTGGAGACCGTCAAAGCTCTGGTCTTCCAAGCTTCTGATCCCTGTGCATGTAACTGAGTAGCCATGAGCTAAATGAAATATGCATGGGACAAGGACTGACAATGTGGGAAGAGAGTGATTTAACTTAAGTCAGGCTTGCTCTCAGCATGGTTCAATGATAAGTCGCATGACCTGAGAACTCAACTAAACTTTAATTAAAGGCTGGTTTATACCTGCCCCAACTAGACGGAAAAGGGCGACCCTGAACTCAGACATCTTCTTGTGAATTTAATGTACATGTTTTACATTGTAATTGCAATTGTTCATTTTCACTGGTCTCTAGTCTAGTCTACCGGTACATCCGGTGAGCATTGGCTTTTTTAAAATTTCCTAGTGCATGATGTATAATGAATGCATACATAATCAAGTAATGTGCAGAGTATATGTACATGTACACTTAAAATTTTAGTGTTCACTTCTATTCTAATCCACTGGGCTTAAATCATACATGTCTAAAATTAAATAATAAAAAGTATGAATGATCTGCAGAGTCAATTGTGCACTAAACGGGCATATACCGGTACGCTTAAATTATGCATCTTGATGTAGAGGATGCGACATGCCACATGTACTTCTATGTATGTCATGACAAATGAATGCTATAGTTTTGCGAGAACAAACTGAACAAAAACACATATTTATTTTAAAAAAAGTTTTGTAGAGACCTGTGTTAAAATTGCTCTCATGTATACATACAATGTACAAATATGTAACCTACATGTACATGTACATTGTGTTTACCTATGTACATGTACATGTACCGGTATCAATAACACCAAATTATACTGGCACTGCATGGAAACTTGCAGATAGGTACATGAATTTAACAACATTTATGACCTTACAATGCAAGCTAGGTCAGCTGTAGCAATATCAGCCCAGTGTTGACCTCCTCCTCCCCCCCAGGTGCATCAAAACGGGGTCAATTTGTGCAAGCTCCGTAGCACACAAGTAGGAAATAAACACTGCACGCAACAACAAACACAAATACAAGAACATGTGCTGTAAACTAACAAGGTTATCGCCACATTATAGCAAAACACAGAGTATTTATGCACGAAGAATGCATTTCAGACTTAACTTGAACATGGACTATTATATCAATGATGTGCATGCACTTGCACATGTATGTACATAGTTCTTTCAACAGGCTGTGCACTAGAAATAATAATCTTGTTTATTAAAATCTGCGGCTTATCGAAATAAAAAAAAATGTAAAACCGTCTGCCCAAAATTCCACAGTTGTCTTGTCACTGTTAACAGAGTGGATATATACAGGTCAGCAAACAATTTTGCAAACATGTACACTAACCCTACAATGTAGGTCAATAAAAATTATTCAATAATAAAAAAACAGTCATCCATAAAATCCTTAAATTGCTGAATTCAACTCGACCTACATTGTAATACATGTAGATGGCTTATGTTAGTCAGGAAGCCGAAAACCGTGAGAGGGCATTCTATAAAAGATGTTGTACATAAATATACCCTTAAAAAAATACAGGTGAAGTGTATCATGCATTTAAAGGGAATGTACATCATTGGCTTTTGCTGTAATTTTTCAGAAATGAACTATTTGAGGGGTTACTATAATAGATCAAATATTGTTACACTGACATGTTTGAAGTTTTGTGTTCGAAAATGCTGGAAACACCAAGAAAAACACAAATGGTGGAGTAGTCTGGTTCCCTGACTCCACTAAAGATAAAATTGATCAATTTATAGATGCCGGAAAATTGTAAGGTAAGGGAACCAGTCCACCTGGCCTGCACCCGTTCATAAACATGTAACCAATAGCAAATAAAATTTGGACTGAAAAAATGGTGAATTTGGAGGAGAAGTTGAAAAATAGTTAGGTTTTTCCAACGGTGGTCGGCCGACCACCGTTGGAAATTTATACAAAAATACCATTTTCTTGAAAATGACTTCACACCAGGTGCCATAATTTTACAGGATGCTTTTGACTGTCATTTACCAACATCCTAGTAAGCTATTTCGTAAAAACTTTGTAGTTCTATTTTTCGATGTTTGCAAATGTTGTATATTCCCTTTAAGTAAAAACAGTGTCCACGTAGATCTCACATGTATGGCGTTGTCGCATAATTAATAGCATCGAATGCCAACAACCTCCTTGATCACGCAGGTAAGTTGAGTCCATTGACCCATCCCTGGAGGGGGAAAACCAAGGGGAGTAACGAGAGACAAGTAACTGGTCTCACACGCACAGCGGGGTACCAGTCATAATAATAAAAAAGGGGTGTACGATCCTGCATGCGATGCACACGTCCGCAGATGGTAACCGCTGTTTTCCCTGCAGCCCGCATTCGCCATGCGGTCACGTCTCGGAACACATCAAGAGCAACTCAAGTCAAGCTGGTGTGTGATTACTATGACAGGATTGATTATCAGAATGGGGGAGGGGTGTTAATGTGCAACTGTGGGCAAAGTGCAGTGACTTCTTCTCCAGCATCACAGAATAGACAGGGGTGAAATGTTGGAGTGGTGGATGCACTTTGCATTGTCAGGTGACAAAAACAGATGTTCTTACTGTTCCCAACTTAAAATGCACCTGCAGCGTCATAAAATTAATGCCATGCTGAAAACAGCCTCACTAATGGAATTTATGACTCATTACCAACACAAACATGAATGTCTCTGTAGGTAGGTGTGCAATCGAACATGTATGTCTTGCAAATTATGTATGTAATGTATGGATGTAAATGTAGACACTATGTATACACACACGTTCAAGTACACTCTTTTAGATGATGTACCAGTATCATGTACATCTGCAAAAATACATTATGTACAAATGAAATGGTCCGTGGTTCACTATCGGTACAATGCATGATGATGTTTGGCATGCTTATAAATATTTCATTAAATTCTACAAATAAAACTATATGTAATGAAACCTCTGCTGCATAATTTCACTCAATTGATAGTCTTAATTTAAGCAATTTATTGCTATCAATAATTCAGAGACAATTTTCTTGATTAATTATCTGCTGAACGTCCAAAATTATTTCTTTCATGGAAAATGCATTACATATATAAGCCTTTATATCATGATTGTATTAATAGCATGCATGTTTACCTTAATTGTGCAGACACGTACATCATAGTACATGTACACTGCACATCTGCACTGACTATACAAGTAAACATAAATACTTTGTCCAATCTACATCAATTTACAAAGGTTGTATCAAACATGCACTTTACACAGTACAATGGTCGGGATTAAAATACCTTTGTCCACTTTTCCCCCCTTGTAATGGAGCAAATAAATTGACATTACGTGTACTTTTCACAGGCTCTGAGTGATGTCGTAAAGTACTTCAT